GGGGGGGGGGGGGGGGGGGCGGGGGTATTTAGGCCTCGTATGAAAAGCGAGTGCGAGAAAATCGCGAGGGGTCAGCAGCACCACCGCACCGCCAGCTGCTAGCCTGCCACTGGAACTTGGAAGCTGGAACAATAAAAATAAGAATAGTGGGCTCGGATAGACGAGACGATGGAGCGCGAGCCACTGGCCCACCGAGCCAGGCAACTTGAGGCAAGGCCCTTGCTATGAAATCATTAGTAGTATGTATGTATGAAGGTGTAGTAGGTATTCGGGGTGGAGCTATCCATAGCGAAGAATCAAATCATCCAATGAATGTTCTCTTCCGGATGTCTCGCTGGATCTCCTCCGAGTATTATAACTCCAGTGCAGTGCAGTGCAGTGCAGTGTGCTCCAAGAAGAGCGACTCGCTTGTCTTCAGGGCAATGTTTCAGCTGCCAATTCCTGGCTTGGATGGAACCTATATATATATATATATTGTACAGAGCAGAGGAGACAATACCCATTACCAGCAGCCTTATCTCACTCTCAGTGAGCTCTCTTCATGTTGCAGGTATAAAGTTATATATAAGATAGACAAGGGGGTACCTGTCAGGAGCAGTGAGTGCTGTTGATGTTTCTCACAAAAATGTTGCTTGATGTTCTGTGTGATAAGTTAGATATTAAACAGATCTTGTTGTCTGTTTGTGTATGATTTGCTGTAAATATTTAAATATAATAAGAAACGTGGCAGCGGCTCTTTTGGCCAATGAACAGCTGTCAAATAGTTAATTGTGTAAAATACACAATTTAGTTGGCTTCAAATCTGGGTTTATGAATAAATAAATATTTAACTAACTGTGATTCTGTTTATACTCCACTGGTCAGGCAGTATTATATTATTCAATACTATCTGATATGTATGTGAAGCTCACATTTTCGGATATTCAATACTTCAAAAGCAGTCAAAAGAATTCATCTGCTTCCTGTGCTAGATATTTATCACTTTATTATCAACAAAGACAAATTCAACAAAGACAAATTCAACAAAGACAAATATGAAGGCGCTAACTAGATATTGCGAGAGATCTCTCCCCCTCCCCCTGAGAGCATTCTATGTATCAAGAAGATGAAGAGGAAGGGGGAGATAGATGGCAAATTCAGGCTGCTCTATCTCTCATAAATAATTCACTATAATATCTTCTCATATTAATTAAACTTCCTCATCCGCAAAATGAAAAATGATATATCAGCAAACTCGCTTCGAAAAAGAAGATAGAGAGAAAATATCAGTATTTATTGTCACTACCTCCCTTGTATCAGGGAGAAGGTTGGGGATGTGATTTTCATTAGATAACTAAAAGAATTCATCAAAAATATACACAGTACATTGACAGCCCATTCATCCCATATAAAACCATATTTAATGCCAGTAAGTTCATCATCTTCTTTCACTGCTCATTGCAGTTCTTAAAAAAAAAAAATTAAAAATAAAAAATAAATATATTAAATTAAAAATAAATAAATAAATAAAAAAAAAATTAAAAATAAAACAAATCTATAACCCAATCTAGCTACTTGCCTCTTCTTATCCCGGCTAATCTAAACCCCTCCCCCGCTTTCCCCTCAACAGTCTCCAAACCCTCCTCAATCCGCCCATACCTCGCGAACCAATAATCCCCCAAATAATCCCCCCGGGGCAACCACGGCCTCCGATTCGCCGCCTTGGGCATCAAATTCTCCGCACGCACCACATACGTCGACGACAGACTCAGCAGCCGGCGGCCCTCCAGCGTCGACGCCTCCTTCGCATCCAGCCGCGGCACGGCAGCCACCAACCCATGCTTCTCCATGTGTTTCAGGAGCCGCACGATGAAGTGCGCCGTGGCATCTGCGCCGAGGGTCCAGGAGGCGTGGGCGTAGCCGATCACGAAGGACGCGTTGGGGATGTCTTGCACCATCATGCCGTTCCAGATGTACTTATCTGGGATGTGGATGGGTTTTTGGCCGTCAACGGTTATGCGCGCGCCGCCGGCGATGAGGAGTTTGAGGCCTGTGGCTGTGACGATGATGTCGGCGTCGAGGTGATCGCCGGAGTTCAGCTGGATGCCTGTCGGCGTGACTTGTTTGATGGTGTCGGTTTTCACGTCGGCGCGGCCGGTGTGGAGGCATTTGAAGAAATCGCCATCGGGGGAGACGCAGAGGCGCTGGTCCCAGGGGTTGTAGCTGGGGCGGAAGTGGGGGTCGTGCGGGATGTGTTTGGGGAGCTGGGCGGAGACGGAGAGTCTGAGGATGCGCCGGGCGAGCCAGGGCATGGATTGGCAGAAGGTGTAGAAGAGGCGGGTGGTGAGGATCCAGATGACGCGCTGGACCCTGTGGTACAAGGGGCGGGGTAGGAGGTAGGAGAGGAGACTGCCACAGTTGGGCAGGGAGAGGATATAGGTCGGGCTGCGCTGGAGCATGGTTGTGTGGGCGGCGCGTTGGGAGATGCTGGGGAGTAAGGTGATGGCAGTTGCGCCGCTGCCGATGATGACCACCTTTTTGCCTGTGTAGTCGAGGCTTTCGGGCCAGAATTGCGGGTGGATGGTTTGGCCCTCGAAACTGCTCATGCCGGGGATGTCAGCTTCGAGCGGTTCAGTGTAATTGTAGTAGCCGGTGCCGAAAACGACGAAGCGCGCAGTGTAGGTTTCCGTGGTCCCCTGGCAGTCGACCTGGAGAGTCCATCGATTGGCGGTGCTGGACCAGTCGGCAGCCAGCACCTTCTTGTGGAAGTGGATATGCTCATCGATGCCGAATTTCTGCACAGTTTCCCGCATGTAGGTCCTCAGCGCGGGGCCTTCAGCGATGGGGTTGTTCTGGTTCCAGGGATTCCACGCAAAGCCAAATGTGAAGAGATCCGAGTCAGAGCGGATGCCAGGATACCTGAACAGGTCCCAGGTGCCGCCAATGGCATTCCGGGCCTCGAGGATGGCATATTTGTAGCCTGGCAGCTCGCTCTGGAGGCGGTAGGCCGTGTTGATGCCCGAGATGCCAGCGCCGATGATGAGGACGTCAAAGGTCGACGAAGCAGCGCCAGCATCGGAGACATTTGAGACAAGGCCATTCATTCTGATTGGCGCTGCCCCGACAGGCGAGTCAAAAAGGAGTTTAGATTGTTCCTTTTAGTAGTAACTATTTAGTTGCTGCTGAACAGCGTTATGTTGTATGTTCCAGGCCATCACAAAAAGGCTTTTTCAAGAAGAATATCCCGTTTGGAAATGTTCAGGACATCCAAGATATTTTATGTAGGTATGGATGTATTTTTATCAACTCCCTCAACAATGTCTCTCTCCCCCTCGGCCCTCCCTCGGCCCTCCCTCGGACCTGGCTGGCGTCAGACACACTCAGGGAATGTGAGCCATCCGTTATTGTTATATTATTAAATATGTTATGGGTCAAATATCGGGGGAACGGCGCCCGCTAACAGCCGCCGAGGAACTCAACAGGGAGCGGATCATTCGTTAATCGTACACTCATCAATATCAATGGGCGATAAATGTGGGGGGGGAAGAAGAGAATCGGACTAGGCTGCTGGCATTTAGTTAGTTAACTACCCTTGTGCAGATTCGGCCGGAGTAACTAAAATATTTGCTTTTTTTCTCTTATTTATTTCTGTTTTAACTAGCCTGGCTGCTGGCGTCGGCCCATGTGAAATATTGCTGTTTTAGTGGAACTATGGCGGGCAATGAGGGACTGCGGCGGAGATCAGACCAGACCAGACCAGACCATGAGGGCGCATCGAGGAGATAGATGAGAGAAAAGTTGAGACGAAGAGGAATTGACTGTTGATTTGTCCTTGCGCGGTCTGTCTTGTTTGTTATTTTCTGAAGAGGCATTGGTAAACAATTTCGGAGGTATCAATGATATAACTAGTTATAATAGTTATATATCACAACAGCAACACACGAACAGCGACTACTATAGAGACAGCAAAAATGACAGCAGCGACAACGATCAAAAAGCTGACTCTGGCGCAAAAGATGGACATGATTCCCGGACTGTGCTCCATCGTTCTAGCTGCTCTCTACGCGCTGCTCACCGGTCTCTCTCGCAGCGAGAAGCAGCCAAAGACGCTGACATTGCACGTTGGATATGCCATCCTTCGAAAGGCCACGGCCAGACTGTCGCCGCTGCAGCTGCAGTGAGTACTGATAAAGAAGATCGTTTGGATAACAAGAGGCTGACAGGGAAATTTACAGACTTGTTATGCCGCCTACCAACAAAATCTACGAGCGATATGCCAAAAAGGCCAACAAACCAGTGCAGTCCGTCGAGCTGCCCCATGGCGTCCATGGCCACTGGATCGGAGACAAGAACGCAGAGAACGTGTTGATCTGGTACCACGGTGCGTGAACAAGGACGCGATTTATCCTCACATCCCATGATATCACGAAACAAAACTCACTCACACCACTATTTCTCCTCCCAATAGGCGGCGGCTTCGCCCTCCCAGCCAACATGGGCTACTTCCGCTTCTTCTCCCGCACCATCGCAGACATGCACAGGGCTGGGAAAGCCCTCGCCGTCTTCTGCCCGACCTACACCCTGACCCCACACGCCGTCTACCCAACCCAGCTCCGCCAGGCCGTCGAGTGCCTCCGCTACATCCTCGACACGACCGGCCGTAAGCCCGCAAATGTGTTTTTGGGCGGCGATTCCGCTGGCGGCAACCTCGCTGGCGCCGTCCTGTCGCACGTAGCTCACCCGCACAGCCAGATTGACGCGGTGTCGCTGAGCGGTAATTTGGGAGGTGCCGTGCTCGTGTCCCCCTGGACGTCTCTGGATACAGAGTCCCTGCCCGAGATCATTATTGATCCACAAGGTGATCTGATCACGCATGCGGTGGGCGGGCCGTGGGGCGGCACGTACATTGGGACGACGAAACGGGATTACTATACGGATCTCTCGATGGCGCCGGCCGAGTGGTATAACGACTACAAGGTCAATTCGGTGTTGATTCTTGGTGGGGAACATGAGATTCTACTACCTGCCATTGAAGATTTGGCAGCGAAGTTTAAGGTACGTGAAAAAAAAAAAAAAAAAAAAAAAAAAAAAAAAAAGTCCACAAAAGGGACATTCAAAAATTGCTAAGTCTAAAAAACCTGTAGGATGGATTTTCGAACGTCGAGTTTTTCGTCGGCAAGCGGGAGTGCCATGTAGCCTTAATATTCAACCTTTATCTGGGAGACAAGACAGAGACGGAGACGGGGAAGCGGATGAAGATGTGGCTACGGGAGCTTCTGAAGTAATCATCAGTTCACAGTTTTTATGTGAATTTTATTTTATTTTCTTTGTGTCTTTACTTCTTTATTCTATATACATATATACAAGGCATATTCATACTAGTAAAACACTCCCCTCTCATTGCAGCGTTACGTCTATGTCTCTTAGAGCCTTCAATTGCATCGAGCCAATCCCCCTCGCTCGCTCCTGCAACCACATAGGGAACGCTCTCAGCAATCTGAGCCCGGACCGCCGCGTTGGAAGCACAACCTGCCCGCTGCGCTGCGACAGAATTTGCTTCACAACCGCATTGGAGACCACATCAACCGTCATCGTCGGCATGTTAAACACAGTCCCCGGCTTGGTCAGCTGCTGGATCATCGGCGTCGCCACCCACAGCGGGTGGATAATACTCGTCCGCACTTTTTTCGCCTTATACCACATCCTCAACTCCTGCGTCAACGACTCGTGGAACGCAAGCGCACTCGCCTTGGACCCGGCGTAGTCGGCCATCTCGCCCAGCGCGACGAACGACGCCATGCTCGCGATCGTGATGACGTGCCCGTGGTTCTCGCGGATCATGGCGGGCAGGAACTCGCGCACCATCCAGAAGTGCGAGATGGTGTTGACCTGGAAGGTGCGCTGGATGCGCTCCTCGGGCTCGTCGAGGATGGTGCCTTCGTAGCCGACGCCGGCGTTGTTGATGAGCACGGTTGGGTCGCCGTGCGCGGCGCGGATGGCGTCGCCGACGGCTTTGATGCTGGCGGTCGAGGTGACGTCGGCTGCGTAGAAGAAGACGTTGGGCGCTGTTTTTAATAATCAGCAAACTATGTTCATATATATCATTTGGATTTAGGGGACGGAGAACGGGGAACGGGGAACAGACGCAGCTTAAAGTCCGGCTCATTCAAGTCCAAAATGACAACTCTGACCCCCCTCTGCGCCAGGTCGAGCATAATCTGCTTGCCAATGCCGCTGCACCCGCCCGTCACTAGCACCAGTTCGCGCTTGTTGTCCCATGGCCGCTGGCTCTGCCAATTGTTCAAGGCCTGACTGGAGAGGGTGCGGTTGATGGTGCGGAGGAAGCCGAGCGCGAGGGCGGCGATGAGGGCCTTTTTGAGGAGTGGGGAGGAGTTGAGATAGGAGAGGAGCGGGTCGAGGGTTGTCCCGATATAGGGGCGGAGGATGTCCAGGGGTTGTTGGAGGGCGGTCATTTTTTTTTTTTGTATTGACTTATTGACTTTTTGTTATTCTTTATTCTTTATACTTTCTTTTTCTTGATAGATGGTTTCTGTGCCTGGTTTGGCTCCGATGCTCAGTTCCTCAAGCTGTATATATATATACATATATATATATATATTATATCATGTAGTCTGTCGTAGCTTTATGAGATGTTTTATATCCATGTTACATCTTGTGTTCACCTGCCTATCCCTCCCATGTGTATATGTTTTTTTTATTTATTTATAGGTTTTATATTATATTGTCCGCTCTTCCGCTGTCATCGCCCTGGGCCTCGGAGCTTTTTATCTGGTTATTGAAGTCCGCTGTGGCTCTGTGGTGGGGTAAACTTGCAAAGGAATAGAGGGGAATTAATAGCAGCCTTTGCCCCGGCCTCACCGCCGGCGCCGACTAACTAGTTAACCCTCATTGAGTCCTTGGGGTTGTATTTGTGTCTTGGTTAACTTATTCAAGCATCTGCGGGCCATTAAATATGTTAATGTTACCCCTGCCGCCGCCAGCAACCTCGGCTACGACATGTGAGAGACGGGGGTCGAGGAATTAAAAAAAAAAAAAAAAAAAAAAAAAAAATGAGATAATACAATGGCAAATAATGATGACGAAAAGAAGGATAAAATACATAATTATTGAAGACGATGTGCGGAGGCTGCTGCTGTCATGCGTCATGTCTCGACCAGGCAGCGGTTAACCAGCAAACCATGGATATCAGGGGAGATAAATATAGTCATATAGAGATGGGAGAAAGCCAACATGTTATTTCCAGACATTGACCCTGTCTGTTTCTTGCATTGTATTACTTACTATTCAATGCAGCCATGTCCCTCCCCATCGTTGGCGGGATCAGTGTCCTGGAGAGCTACGTTCTCCAGCGAACTGTGTTCCCCGAATCGGCCTTCTACGGCCTCTGCCTACGTGTACTAGCGCTGAATATCGCGTTGAAGCTGCTATATCATGTCGTGATATGGCCGAGATTTCTGAGTCCGTTGAGGCATCTGCCAGTGGTGAAGGTGTGTGTGTGTGTGTATGTGTTAAATACCATCCATATGCTGATGCTGTTCTTCTGCCGCCCCTATTCGAAAACTCAGGGGAAATATTTACACAATACAGCCATATATGGTTTCAATGATGGGCCCCTTAAAAATAAATAAATCAATCAATCAAATAAAAAATATGTATTAACAGCATTACAGGGCAGACTCAACATGGCCAAACTCGTCTTCGACGAACCCTGCGGCAAATTACCCTTGAAATGGATGAAAACCATCCCCAACAACGGCTTGCTCTACTTCCGCAACAGTATCGGCCACAACTGCCTGCTGCTCACCAACCACGCCGCCCTGCTCGACGTCATGAGCACAAACACCTACGATTTCGAGAAGCCCGGCAAAGTGCGCGCGTTCCTTGCGCGCATCATCGGCCACGGCTTGATCTTGTCTGAGGGCGCCATTCATAAGAAGCATCGCAAGGCCATCAACCCTGCTTTTAACATTAAGAATATCCGTGCCCTGTATACGCTTATGTGGGAGAAGACGGGCTTGTTGCTGAAGGAGCTGGAGAAGGATCTCAAGGAGCATCCGTGGGAAGGGGTAGGTGGTGCGCAGGGCATGGGAAAGGTTGAGATGGGCGAGTGGGCGAGGTGAGTGTTAGAGCAGACTCAAAAGAACTTACATGGTTCCTTTATAATTTCTGTATTTTAAAAAAAAGTTTCTGACCTACTTTTCTAGGCGGCTCACACTTGATATAATCGGCCCTGCTGCCATGGGCCGCGATTTCCGCTCGATGCAGTCATCCGAGCACGCCGTGGTAGATGCCTTCTTGTCCATCCTGGAACCTACTAAGGAGAAGATAGCTTTCCTGAACGTCAATTTCCTCTTCCCGCAATGGTTCACCCAAAGACTGCCCTGGAGCATTAATGAGGTCATTACCGAAAAAACGGATTTCCTGCGCAGCCTCTGTCTGGATGTTGTTCAGGAGAAGAAGGCGGCTCTTATCTCCAGCAAGGCCACCGCTAAGGAACTTGAGACTGATATCCTGGGCACAATGATGGTCGGAGGAGACTTTTCGGATGATGAGCTTGTTGAGCAGATGCTCACTTTCCTTGCAGCAGGGGTAAATCCCACCCCTTTCCTCCCTCCCCCCTATCCAACCCACATCTCTAACACGCGCATGAAAATCAGCACGAAACAACCGCCAGCGCCCTCACCTGGGCCTGCTACCTCCTCACAAAGCACCCAGACATCCAAACCCGCCTGCGCGCCGAAATCCGCGCCCGCATCCCCAGCGGCAACAGCCCCATCACCTACGCAGACCTCGAATCCCTCCCCCTCCTCAACGGCGTCTGCCAGGAAGTCCTCCGCCTCTACCCCACCGTGCCCATGACCGTGCGCGAATCCATCCGCGACACCAGCATCGCCGGCAACCATGTGCCCAAGGGCACGCGCATCCTCATCTGCCCCTACGCCATCAACCGCAGCCCGACCTTCTGGGGCGAGACGGGCGAGCAGTTCCTCCCGCAGCGCTGGATTGATGTCAAGCCCGATGGGACGGAGAGCGTCAACCACCATGGCGGGGCGGCGACGAATTTCGCGCAGATCACGTTCCTACATGGGCAGCGGAGTTGTATTGGGAAGGATTTTGCGCGGGCGGAGCTGCGGTGTGCGCTTGCTGGGGTGGTGGGGAGGTTTCGGTTTGAGATGCAGGATCCCAAGCAGCGGATTCGGATTGCAGGGGCGGTGACGACGAAGCCGGTTGAGGGGATGCATTTGAAGATGGAGAGGGTGGAAGGGTGGTGAGGTTTTGTGATATATTTTTGATTGATACCCATGAAGTTTTGATTGAGGAGGCGGGGGGGGGTATGTATTATGAAATTTATGCTTCCTGAATGACTGTATGTTAGTGAATTAAAATGTTTGCGATAAGAATGATATTTGTATAAATATAACATTACTTCTGTGTAGTTAGTCACAGCAATTACATACTAATGAGATGTACATTTGAATTGTCCTTTTCTTCTAACCCTATTGAGTAGTTAACTACTTATTCTGCTTCTAGGGCAATGTAGATGATATCTTTCCAATTAGGCCCAAATGAAGATACGTCCAGCTAAGAGGAGTTGATCGGCGTCAAAAAAAAAAAAAAGAAAAGAAAAGAAAAGAAAAAAGAAAAAGAAAAAGAAACGATGCAAGGCTAGAGAGTAACTTACTGTGGCGTGATGTTCTACATATTTATCCCGCCCTACCCTACCCTACCCCCGTCCTATCAAGTTACCAACCATTGGGATAGTTATTTCTCCGTGCAAAAATGGATGCCGCAGCCGAGGTGAGATAGCTTTAATAACCTTCTCGCAGCTTGAAATTGAGTAAAAAATATAAAATAACTACATCCATGCAACTTCCAAAATCCAATAGTTTAGTTAAATACTCACGCCCAATAATAAATAAATAACTAGTTGATAAATAACATCTAAAACAATGCTCTCCCTCTCCACCCTTCTCCTGCCCTTCCTCTCCAACCTCTCCCTCCCCCCACCCCAGACCATCGGCCTCGTCAACGTCTCCCTCCCCCTTCTCGTCCTCTCGGAGCGCTACTCCTTCTACCCAGGCAGCTACATCTTCAAACTCCTCTCCTCCGCCGCCTTCCTCGGCGGGCCTCTCTACTACCTAGCACCCTCTTCTTCGCCCTGGCAATGGCAACAATTGAACCCGTACCACCTCCGCATCGCTGCGGGTCTCGTCTTCTCCGCCATCGGTGACTTCTGCCTCATCCCCACCCGCACGGAGTACTATGATAAGCACATCGGGCCCCTGGTCGCGTACAAAAAGAAGGACGAGGCGGAGGAAGAAAAGGATGCCGACGAGCCAAAGAAACTCTCCACCTCCTTTCAAGCCGGCGTCGGCGCCTTCGCCGCCGCCCACGTCGCCTACATCCTCGCCTTTTTGAAAAACAGCACCGCCATCTCCTGGCCAATCTTCACCGGCACCTTCGCCGTCTCCATGGTACTCTCCAAGTGCCTCGGCGTCATCTACCCGCCCAAAAAGAACAAGAACAACAATGCAGATCTCCTGAGCGGCAACCTGCTCAACCTCTCCATCTCGGACGACATGCGCCCGCTCGTCTTTGGCTATTCGGCTATCATCAGTGGGATGTTGGCTGTTGCCGCATCGACGACTGCTGGGGTTAGCGCTGCGCCGCCGCACCAGCGCCTGCTGGGCGCCGCGATGTTTGTTGCGTCTGACATCTTTGTGGCGAAGGATTCGTTTGGGAGGCGCAAGGCGGGGAATCCGGGGTGGTTGAAGCCGGCTGTTGGGTTTGGGTTGTATTTCTGGGCGCAGATGTTGATTGTGGGGACTCTATGAGGGGGGCAAGGGGTAGGTTTTTTCATTTCCATGGGTGAGAGGGGGTGGGAAAGGGGGGATGATGACATATGATGAATGAGAAGATGACGGTGAAGATTAATTAGGAGGGAGATGAGGCGGGTCCCTTGTCTAGATAATTGCCGTCTTACGCTGTATACGCACGCGGTCTACCTGTTTCTCTGTACTCGATACCTGTACAGTCTATGCACATACATAACTCAAGAGATATAAGTGGATAAAATTCATAATGGGTCCTCAAGCGCGTAATTAGCAGGTTTTTCGAACATGCACATCCCAAGTTTTCCTACCATGGAGGAAATGACCAAAGCAATCTCCAAGCGCCAAAACCTATGAGCAATCATACTTCATGCAACTCGGACATAGACTGTACATGATACAAAGAACCTAGAAGCCAATCGGTTTCCAAGTGAAGAACCCCCAATCCCCAAGACTCCAAACATCAAAAGACCAACCAAACAGAACAGAACCACTCTAAACCGCCTAAACCGCTCGTCAGAAATCCCCTCCCCCAAAGTCTCCCCCTCCTCCGAAGTCTCCCCCTCCGAAATCTCCCCCTCCAGAATCATCCGCCGCCACCCCATCCGCGTACCCTTCTTGATAATCATGATGATCACCAATCGCATTCGCCAACATCGCACCTCCCAACAAGCCGCCCCCAAGGCCCAGCGCTGCAGCTCCGCCAGGTCCTATGCCTCCCATCCCCCTACGCTGTCTTGGTCGCTGGCCGTACATATATGGTTGCTGCGGGCCGTACAAGCCAGCACCTCCGGCTGGGTATCCGCTATATCCATATGGTGCAGAGTAGGGGCGCTGGTATTGCTGCTGCTGCTGCTGCTGCTGTTGTTGGTAAGGTTGCTGGTGATGATCTGGGGAAGCAAACCCACTGCCGGTACCGCTGCTGGTGCCATGGTGGACTTTGGAGGAGGCTTTGCTGATTAGTTTCCCGAGAAAGCCACTGCCGCTCCTGGACCTGGATTTTTTTGTTTCATGTGACGGTGGTGATAGTGTCTGTGATTGTGGTTGGGGACTGCCTGCATACGTCTGCTGGCCTTGGTCCCGCCCCTGCCATGCTCGCTCATCCTCTTCCGCCTGCAATTTCGTAGCTAACTTCGCATCTTCAGCTATCATCTTGTCATCTATACTTGTATGAGTCTCCGGTCCCGAAGAATTCCGCTGCCGCGCGGGATTATACGGGTTATTAGATCTTAGTTCTAGTGGTGTGGAGGCGGAGGGGGAGGCGGTAGCTGTCTTTTTCATAACGTCTGTTGCAGCTTCTGCGACTGTGGTAGCGGAGGTAGGGTCAATGGGCGTTGCTGTGGCTGCTTCGTCATATGAGGGTGGAAGTGTATCAGGGAGTGGAGGCGGTTCCCACTGTGAGACTCCCGTTTTTAGGTTGATGTAGAACCTGTGATTTTCGCAGTTTGGTGTTAGAGGAACTATTTTGCTTCTGCGGGAAGGAGGCGGGGTTTCTTTTCCGTTGTGCCCTGTAGAATTGCAATGAGAGATAAGACGTACCATTCCTTATACCGGTCGTCGAACTGCGTTTTCCAGCCGTCTGGAACGGGGGGAGGTGGAGGGGTGGATGGGGAGGCAAATGACATGCTAAGTGATCGATGCTCCAAGAGATCGGATGGATAGCTTTATGATGCGATGTGATGTCTGTTTGACAGCACGGGAAAATGTTCAATCATTCAACGCGGGCATCTCACGTATTCTGTCGTTCTTAGATCCTTCGGAAATGTCTGTATGTTCGTTCCTATTTAATGGCCGATAGATGATCTGATCGTGAGTTCTCAGGCAAATATGTAATGGAATGGAAATGAATTAGGGCTTGGGATCCAAATGCGGCAATCGGCAGGCGGGAACGGCGATGACGTAATGTTGTCTTCCTCGTTCACGGCTCAGCCATAATTCGTGCCTATTAACATTATTGACCATCGACTAGGAAGTACATCTGTTATTTAGAAAAGAAATAATAGCTAGCCAGGAATAGACGAACCAAAGCTTCTTTACAGCCAAGATAGCTATCTAGGTATGGTATGTTGCGGAAGTTTTCAATTTTCCCCTTCCAGATTAGTTAAGGCGAGACTGGATTCCTCTCAATCATCCACAGCTCCCTGACCATCCTCATTTTCCCCACCAGTCACTCACCTCAAGGCAACATGTTTATTTCTGTCAAGTTTTCACAATGAAGTGGCTGCCCCTGCTTTAGCCAGCAGCAATGGACTCTCATATACTCAAATCAAAAAAGAGGTGGCAGGATGAAAAGATGTCAGACACACAAGAACTACTGAGACCACAAAAGGAGAAATTTCAACAGGCCAGCATATTCAAAATTGTCCAGCTCTGTACAGAAGGTCTTGATTAGAGCAGCATTATTTAAGCCAGTATGTCGGGCTTATAACACATCTATCCCCAATTTTCTAGGTTTGTTCACCAGTTCCATTGTACGCAAGGTTCTTATACATCATCTCACCTCCTCCGCGCCGCCGATCCGCCCTCTCTCCCGCTCGCAGCCGCTTTCACTGTCGAGTCTAGAGCAGCCATGGGTCCCTGACTCGTCCCGGCCATCCAACCAGCAAGGTCAAACCCGCCCGCTCCGGCTCCAGCTCCGGCTCCAGGCCCCGCTCCGCGGATAGCATTGGCGCCAGCCCCCGCCCCTGCCTTTGCGTTTATATCACCAATCGCGGCTGTTCGCCCTTTGCGGGAATGTCTCTCGAACTCCGCCCGTGTCTCTGGGTCCACTTTATTTTTAAGGTTAATTAGTTGACTGTGCATTACTCGTGGGGTGGAAAGGGCTTCGAATAACAGAAGAAGGCAGACGTACTCATATCCATAAGATAAGGCATTCCAACCGTCACAGCAAGAGCAAATACCACGAGTAGAATCATCGGGTTCTTGAACAGGCTCAACGGCGAAACTGTGTAAAAATACAATTAGTAATTTTGATCGCAATGCTTCGAGCGACTTAGTCTTTTTTTTTTTTTTTTTTTTTTTTTTTTTTGAAAGAAGACGATGAAACAAAGGAATATAATGGAACTTACATCCAGCCCTTTCCTCATAAAATTCCCTCGTCCCCATCACCCTCGCCTCAACGACTGCAACCTCCCCAACCTGAACCATGCCCTTTTCCACCCCGCGATTCTCCCATGCGTTCCCCCTGTACGTCTCCCACACACCCACTACGCCACCATCCGCATCGACATCAACCCGGTACGGCGCAAAGATATAATCCCGCGAGTGGATGTCAAGGAGGAATGATTGCGAGCCCTGCACCTGTCCCGAGGGGATGTTGAATACGAAGTTTGATTTACGCGATAGTGGTGCTTTGAGGCGTAGGCCCGCTGGTGTAGAAGTTCCGGAGGCCGATGAAGACGAAGGGGAGGAGGGATAGGAGCGAAGGGTAGTAAGGGTCGCGTGAGTAGAGGCCGGGAGGGAATTAGGGTTCGGTAATAGGTTCGAGGGCGGGATTGTGATGGTGAGAATGGAGGCGGTGGCGTAGGTTAGGAGGGAGAGGAGGAGAAGAAAGAAATGTGACGATCGCGGAGGATGCATGATTGCTAGGCAAGGTGGGCAGCACAAGGGAGGCAGAAGCAAGGCGAAGTGGCTGGCTGGCTCTGGTTCCCAGCTTTGTCTGTTGAGGTAACGAAATTTACATACATTAGTTGATATATGATATATTGGCGGCCAGAGGTTGGTGATGTTTGCATTGTTTGTCTTGCTACTTTTAGTCACGTGCATCCAGTCCAACTTCATAGATTGCCGTTGACCAGTTTCAAATACGCACACAGGATAACATTCCTCCATGATTGATATTAATATGGGATGAGTGTTGCGGGCTTTTTACTAGAATGCCAGTGCACCGATCATGGCGTTTTACCCCTTCTTTTCCTGAATAACTGAAAAGCCCGCTTTTCTCCTCCGCAAGTCCATTCACCATGCCAGTAATTTGACGTCTACTTCGCGAGGAAATTACTTACTCTTCTGCAAATGAGAAAGAAGTTAATATACTTCACCGCCTAAGCTATCCCAGCCAGGAATCACAATTCTTCGCGCTTCTTCATAGGAGGTGCAACTGGGTTAGAGCAATTATTGCCCATCACTTGAACCTTGAATCGCCTGATGAATGCGATGTTGATGATGTAGAGAACTGGCTCCATGGAAGCTACAATGTGTGTATTCCAGTTACTATTGCCAATTGGAAAGGAAAGAAACGGCCTGGAGACCGTGTCATGCTTCGGCTTCCTCTGCCATATCATGTTGGGCCAAATTTGAATAAATTACTCCATATCAACAAAAGTTCCGTTCGGCAATGCATTACATCCACACTAGCTGCTCTTGCGTAGAATAACCCCTGCCTTTTAGCATCCCATAAACTCACCCACCCAGCGCAGAAACTCTCGGAATTAGACTAGAGGGCGGTCTACGGAATGACACATTTAGAGCTTCCTGAAAGAGAGGAAGCTAATTTGCGCGATGTGGGAATTATTCTTAACGCGTGTCTGGATAAAGCAATTGTGAGCTTGGTAGATGGATTGTGCGGAAGGTGGTGGTGGTGCTATAGATACTTCTTGCTGGCTTTTTTAGTAGCTATATATAATTTTCTTTTTGGAGATGGGATTAATTAATGGGTTAAGTTTACGGAGTCTAGTTCTTAATAATAACTGTTATTAGAAGGACACGCATGGCTTTGATATTCTGCTTTCTGTTTCTGAGTTTTGAATTTTAAAATCTCCGCCGTTTCATGTTTTACACAGCAGTAGAGTAGTATAGTTATAGTACACAGGTATGTACTGTACTGTACGGGGTTTATATATGCATGCACGTCCTTATATGGAAGTAATATATATTTATATATACAATTGACACAAAATATGTTCATCTGAAAAAGAGATAACGAGATATACATTACAAAAACGAGAAAACGAAAAATGAGAAAAAAAGAACTCAACTAAATGATAATAAATAACACGAAAACCGAAAAAATAAAAGCAAAAGAAAAACTGATGAATCTAGGTAGGTATATATATATGTTATATATCAACCCGCCTACGGGGAGAATATGGAATGTGACAGGTATGTATGTATAAGACATAAGACGAAATGGAAAAGGGTAGGAAGAAAAGTAGATATATATCTACATGATGTATCACACCCAAACAGAGCTTTTGTCAGTGTACTCTGTACATCATGACACGTTTTTATGTGGCGTGGCGTGGCATGGTGTGCGTGTGGCATTACACAAACACAAACACAAACACGATCCCGAGCAACCACGCTATGTTGTGAGCGGAATGCGGAATGATGAGGCAGGGGGGATATATATATACCGAACTTCCCCCCGTAAATATGCGATGAGGCACGTTTGTTAGGAATAAGAGCGAGTGGATGGGCGATACAAGACGGGAGCTGTGCTTTGTGCACTATGTTTGTGCTTTGCGATTGTGGTACGAAGAGGGGGGTGTTACAACTTGGCGTTGATGGTTAGGCCATTGCTCTGCGCAGGTACCCGCGTGTATAGCTCGTCGAGGAGCTCGCGGTACATGCGCACAGCCTGGGGGCGTTTGAGTTTGAGGCTATTGTTTCAAAAAAGGATTATGTTAGTTATGATGTTGTACACAGCAGAGACACAAAGAAGTACCGGGTGCGGTGGATGTGGGAGAAAAAGAGAAAACTCACGTTGGCGTCAACAACCCGTTATCGACCGAGAACGGTTCCACAAGCAACGCGATAGCCTTCACCTTCTCAAAGCCCGCGAGGTTATACTTCTTCCCCGCCCGATCCAAATCCTCCTGCACGGCACGCACGACCTTCTCATTCGCCGCCGCGGCGCGGATCGCGTCCATATCCTCCGGCCCAATGTCCTTCTTCAGCACGCGGCCCGCAAACGCCGCAAACGTATCGGGCTGCACCCCCATGATCGCCACCAGCGATGTCTCCACGCTGTCGCCGTGCACAAACGCCTGCGCCAGGTAGGAGCATGCGGTCTGGTAGATCCCCTCCAGCCGCTCGGGGGAGATGTACTCGCCCTGCGCGAGCTTGAGCAGGTTCTTGCGCCGGTCGATGATGGTGAATCGGCCTAGGTGGTCGACCTGGCAGACGTCACCGGTGCGGAACCAGCCGTCCTCCGTCATGGCCTTGGCGGTCTCTTCGGGGTTCTTGTAGTATTCCTTGAACAAGGCTTCGCCGCGGAGCAGGAGCTCGCCGCGCGGGTAGGGTTTGTCGTCGATAGAGTACTCCATGTCGGGTAGTGAGAGGAGGCACGCTTCGCTGCTGGCGTGCAGCGAGCCGCAGTGGCCTGCGGTGAGGTCGTTCGAGCTTTGGCAGAGACTTGTTGCGTAGCTTTCAGTAAGGCCGTAACCCTGCATGATGTCGCAGGCGAAGGCGATGCGGAGGAATTGGTGGAGGGATTTGTCGAGCGGTGCGGAGCCGGAGACCATACTGCGCATGCGGTCGAAGCCAATGGCTGCGCTGACCTTTTTCGACCAGATGCGGTCGTAGAGCATGTGCTTGTTGGTGGGGTTGTCGGATCGCTCGATGTTGGCGGTTTTGGCATTCACGATGTGTCGGGATAGCGTGCCCTTGAAACCTGGGGCTTCGACGGAGGAGGCGCGGATGGCACCGCCGAAGCGGTTGTAGAGGCGCGGGACAGAGGCCATCATGGTGGGCTTGAGGGTTTTTAGGTCGTCGACGAGCTCGAGGATGTTGCCGTGGAAATAGCCGATGCTGCCGCCAACCCACAGCATCATGTGTTCCATGAGACGTCCGAAGATATGGGCGAGGGGGAGGTAGGAGATGAGGACGTCCGTGGGGTAGTGCATGCAGGTGCTCAAGCCGGACGAGGCACCGGCCACGGCATTTCCGTGGGTGAGGACGACTCCCTTCGGATTGCCCGTGGTGCCGGAAGTGTAGTTGATGGTAATAATGTCATTAGGGGTAGGGGGGTTGTAAGGGCGGTTCAACGAAGCACCCAGTTCTTCGACCTCGGACAGGGAGTAAATCTGCAAGCCCACTGCGGCGGCTAGCGGCACAAGGATGTCTCGCTTGGTGTGGCCTTCTGGTTCACCAGCGTCTAATGGATCCATGCAGACGACTAGTTGCAACGAGGGCAATTCTTTTTTCAGCTCGATTAAAGTGGCAACATGGGGCAGCGAAGTGACCACACAGGTGAGCTCGGCGTTGTTAATGATATATTTCGTAGCATCTGGTCCGAGAGTCTCGTACAACGAGACGGTGTATAGTGACTGAGACATGCAGGCCAGGTCTAAAAAAAATTTCAAGACCTATTTTAGCAACAGTTTATAGCAGAATTGAACTTAGTAGAAAAAAAAAAAAAAAAAAAAAAAAAAAAAAAAAAAAAAAAAAGGTACACACCTGTGAGTTGCCATTCCGGTCGATTCTGGCACCAGAGGCCAACACCGTATTGCTTCCCCTGAACACCAACGCGGTTATGAAGCTCGACCAAGCCTACACCCAAAGCAGCACGGCGTTGCTTGACGGTTTGGTAATCCACCCACCGGTACGCGCCCCAGGTCTTTGTAACGGGGTCCCAGGCACGAGATCCGAGGCAGTGGTTCTTGGGGTATCGGTTGGCTATTCGCAAAGAGTAGGGAATTAGCAGGAGAAATAACACAAAAACACATATCTTAGTATTATTAACAGAATTTATTTTAATTTGACATACCACTTGACTCGAACATATCATGGCCAGTGAGAACCTGTATAAGCCAGACAAAATAGTTAGTTAAGCGTAGCATATACTTAACTCCCTCCCCCCAGACAATAATCTCAGATCCACCCTCTCCGCCTCCCCCCCGGAACATACCTTAGGATCTAGCGTCTTGACTAGTTCCCCACTGCCAACCTTCCAATGGCGGTATACCCTGGAGCGTCCAGGCTTTTCGGTGCCGGGGAGAGCGACCGATTCCGGGGTGCCCTTTGGAGGGGGTTGGGCATATGCCAGGCCGTTGACCTCGACTGGACTTTTCGACGAGAACATAGCGGTGGTTTCTTTTGTGTGCGTGGCCTCGTTTAGCTTTTTTTTTTAAAAAAAAAGAAATAAAATAAAACTGTGGGGGGATGGTCGCAATTATAAGACGGAGAGGAAGGAGGAGAGAGGCGAATTATCCCAAGCTGGAGGAAGGGAGCGAGCGGATTGATAGGAGAGACTGTTGGAGGGATTCGCAGAGAGATGATGTGACAGACAACGAAGAAGAAGAAGAAGAAGAAGAAGAAGAAGAGAGCGACGGAAAAGAAAACGGAGAAGAAAAGAAAAGAAATAGTTAATGGTTCTTCTGGAGGCGGCGGGGGGGCGGTGGAAGATGGAGCAGGAAAAGCACATGTCAGTAACTAATCAGTAAGTGGATTGCGATGTAATAAATCATGGCGCTGGTAATATTGTTACAGCCCCCGTACCCGCCTAGCTATCTGATATATATACATATACTACATAGCTATAGTTGATGGAGTTGCATGTTGCTTCGAGGAGCGGTGGCATGGAGGTGAGGATGACAATAGTGAACTCTTCGACAATTCTTAGATCAGCTAGCTAATAAGTTAATGTCATTCCCTGGTTAAAAAACTACTCTAAAACACCCCCCGAGTGAGATTAGGTACCTTCTAGCAGGCAACTAGGTACTATACATGTATATACTGTACATACATGTTTATGCCTATATATATGACTAACACCGGGCTGGATCGGGCGCCGGCGAATTTCTGAAGCTCTTATTAGTATGATAGTTATAGTTAGTATGATAACATAACGTTAGTAGTTATTGTTGGGGGTCCCGCGGTTGATCGGCCCTTCTACCAGCAGTGCGCTGGTGGTGATCGAGCTCTTTTGCCCCAGTAGCCTACAGTTATATTATATATTTTATACTTTTGCAGCGCTTCAACCTCGGCCCAAGTAAATACCTTCATAACGTGGAGTTTGGTACCGCCGATACACGGTTCCCCTCCGCTGGGGTTAGAAAGAGAAAGAGACTGGAGAGATATTTCTCTCTTATGTACTCTGTATTTATCGAGTTACCGCTTATTACTCTGCGATACTTTAAATACATATACGATAAGTTACCAGCCTTCAACATCCCTCACAGCCTCCGAGGCTTGTGCGGGTTAGGCCGAGACATTCTTATTTGACCAACAGCGCTCTTGGCAGGACTGGAGTCGACTCGGCCAAGCGCTAAGTTAGCTTCCACATGCTGCGCTCTCGATCATCTTTCGCGGGCTGCTTCTTGGTTGGTTCAACTTGGCTGGGTATGTCTCAACTCTCAACCAGTGTGGAGGAGGAACAGACAAGACCAGTGAACCACTGACCACAGGATGAAAGGACTGCTACACTGCAAGACTGTGCATGTGCTTCTTTCATGGGTGGTTTGGTGATTGTCGCCACATCTCTTGCTCTACCCTACCCTAGCGTTACCAGCAAAATGGTTGGTTTCCCCGGATCATTTTCTATCTATCATCCATGAGAGATCCGGTATGGAAAGAATAGACAGACAGCCCGCCCACTAACCCCCGCGCTGAATACAATGCAAAAACTCCACGAGTTGAGGCATGAATATTGCCGGTTGGCGAGGTTGATAATATCCTGATCTAGTTTCCCAAGCCCTCCTCCTTTGCTAATAATAACCTCTATATGCAGCTCTCTACAGCGTAGATGAATGAGTCTAACTAACTACCCCAACAAATGACGCAGAAATGGACACGGAAGGGAAAAAACAAAGGGGCTTGAAAGAACACCCTTCCCCACCGGTGCAAAAAAGTCAAAGTCTATATCCAAGCAGCTGCTGCTATCCAAATCTTAACCATAGTCTAATCTAATCTTTTCATTATTGTCCCTAGAAAACTCCCTCAAATCACGCACCGCGGATTCGCATAGATCCAATCCAACACGCTGAAAAGCGTCCAGATATGGATTCCGGCACTGAGCACCACAAACAGGTGGAAAATCTGATGAGACGCCCCCCAGATATCGAACTTCTCCGGCGTCCACGACTCGGGGAAATGCGTCTAAAAATACCCATTTTGCTGCCATTAGCTGCGGGGTTTTCAATAACATCACGCCTCCTTTCCCCTCCTTTGTTTCTTTGTTTCTTTGTTTCTTTGGTTCTTTGTTTCATTGTTTGGCTGTAACTCACCGCATAGAAGAGCGTGCCAACAATGAGCGCCAGGCCCTCGAGCAGGTAGTAGCCCAAACCCGCCCGCGGGCTCCATTCGGCATACGGATATATGCACGCGGCATGGATGATGGGCAATAATCCCGACAGCCCCGTTGCGACAAACGTGGCGAGCCGGAGCATCCGCCACCGGCTGCTTTGGAACTTGGGACTCACGACGATGATGGCGGATAGGGTTCCCAGTGCGAGAGTCTACCGTCCGGATATCCATCCACCCTCTCCGTTAATCAAGGAATGCTCACGACAGTCACGAGAAACGGGGTAAAAGGGGATGAGGGAGAAAAGGGCAAGGGAATCCCACCATAGTCCAATACACCCGCCTCAACCCCGGCTCGCAATCAAACGTAACATAAATCCCCGACACAAACGACCCGATCGTCTGCAGCAGGATAGCCACATAATCCATCCTCCCCCACAGCCCCGCATACTCCTCCGAATGACACAGCAGCGTGTGGTACGCAGACGAGATCCCAAAACACAAGACCGACGTCGTCAGGTAGATGTGGACCGCCAGCCGGTGCTGCAGCGCCAGTACCGCCTCGTCCGGATACCGCGCGCGGAAATACAGATGCAGAATCGCATTGCTGGCCAGCGCGATCGCGGCAGGGAGCAGGTGCGAGTAGATGTTGACCGTCTCGTTGTGCAGGGTGCGCAGGCTGTCGATGCACAGGCGCACGGAGCCCGTGATGGGTCGGTAGCCGGTGAGGAGGTAGGTATTGTGTGCGTACCAGGATGGTAGCTCGCTGGCGCGTAGGAGCTGGGGTTTTTGGGCGGGATTTTGTTGTTTGAGCGGGGTGGTACCTTTGCTGCTACCTGTCCGATCCCCCTCGCTGCGGGCGGGTGAGAGGCGTTGGTAGAGAGTCATGAGTGGGGGAGCTTGGAGATTATAGATTATTACTGCGAATCTGGTATCTTTGTTAGTTTACTGGGGTGTGGCGAGCAGAGTGAAGAGCGAAACAACACGCACCGTATACGACGGAACACATGAGGCTAAGAAAGAAGAAGAAAAAGAAGTACAAGAAGAAGAGAAGAAAGAACGAAATAAAATAAGATATAATCACGGAGAACAGCCCGATCGATAAACTCCTTCAACAAATAAATTCGGGGCGTTGCTCCTATCACCAGCCCTCACGTTTTCACCCACAAGGCTGCGTTGTTGACATGTTGGAATGTGACAAAGAACGCTAAGTGATTGGTCGCCGGCCCCATATACAGTGCCCAGACGGGGGTTGCCGTTGCGAGTCCGCGGCGGCTGGCCTGAGATCCAATCATAATATTCAATGATAATGCCCAGCGATGCCGCTTGGATGGGGCTTTTTGGGGGCCACGGCAGCCTTCTTTTTTTGACCAACCAGTATCTCCCTCCACAAGATGGGATTTACAAATCAACCAGGGCACCATTTCCTATTCCAGCAAGGGTGAAGAATCCTTGGTTTCTTTCTTCCCTTTTTTTTTCGTCTGGCGTACTGTGAAGAAGACCAGTCAGCACCGCCCGGTTATCATTAGCGCTGGACACGTCGTTGTTCATACAGCTGGTGAGTTTGTTTCCTGGGCGGGTTTTCTCAAAATTAGAATCAATGATAAGTTACGGAGTAGTTAACTATTTATTCCGTATTTGATAGTTTCGTTCCTGGCGGTTGGAGAAAGTCTGTTTAAGGTTTGGAGGCTCAGTTAAGGTTCCGGGGTGATGAGTCAGCAGCGGGATGAGGCTGAAGAGAACTTACCGAAACTTGATGACTCCGTATTGAAGGTTTCTCCAAATGTTTGTTTGCTACAACGGCGCACCTTCATGGTGGCTGCTGTTGATGGGTATAACGAGAGGTTATTTGCTGGAGGCTGAAAATGAGATTTCATTAGCACCAGAAAGCAGCAGCAGCCAGACATCGTGTTGATATCATCAACACTCTTGATAAACGTTTCCAGGCGTCGACAAGACGAACAAAACAATGTCAGAACATAAAAATAGACGAGTACAATACAGGGATATACGCCTCCCAGAACAGAACCTCACGTTGCAGCCTCTCAAACTCTTCGAAGATCGGGTGAATTTATAACACCCAGCATGAAAATACTATCGGGCGCTTTCCATTCGTTGATCAACCACTGGTGCTTGCAACCCGCTCTGGATAGGTGGACCTAGGGCCGGCCCGGGCTTGCTCCAAGGCTGAGAGCCAGTGCTTCTACATTTACTAGGCTTTAAAGCTAAAAATAGTGTCAGAATCAACCCGCCCGACCTAGATGCTATTATTTCCTGAGGGGGGGGATGCGATGGGATTCCCCCTAACCCCCCAGCTTCCCGAGCGCTGCCCGCCTCCTTCTCTTCCCCTCTCCTCTTTCTCTTTTCCTGCACTTTTTTTTTTTTTTTCTCCCCCTTCCCTAAACACACCACGCAAAAGAATGATCTCGTCGCGTAGATTCCCCCCCAACCCCGAGCTGCTGCCAATCAGTGCCTCGCCATCGATACCTGCGTTGCAACTGCAACTGCAACTGCATTGCGCGGCCGTTGTTCAGAAATGGCCTCCCGAGATGACTACACCGTCGGCTGGATATGCGCCCTTCCCCTGGAGATGGCAGCGGCGAAGGCGGTACTTGATCACATCCACGCCGATCTGCCCGCAGATCCAAGTCTGAATGACTCCAACTCGTATGTTCTGGGAAGCCTCAACGAACATAACATTGTGGTTGCATGCCTGCCCTTCGGCGTATATGGGACCACCTCCGCCGCAACCGTCGCGGCGCAGATGCTAGCGAGCTTCAAGTCCATCCGCTTCAGCTTGATGGTCGGCATCGGGGGCGGCGTACCGAGTACGAAGGAGGATGTTCGGCTTGGTGATATTGTAGTGAGCAGGCCGTCGGCGGCGCGGCCGGGGATTATTCAGTATGATTTCGGGAAGAAAATTGGAGAGGGCCAGTTCACTAGTACAGGCGCGTTGAATAAACCGTCTACCTTACTCCTCACGGCCGCGGGAAAGGTCGAGACGAATAATATCCTCGGCGAGAGCCAGATTCCCCGTTACATCCACAAGATTGTCGAGAAGGATCCCCTCGTCTTCGCCCATCCCGGTTCAGAGCAGGATGCCCTCTTCGACTCGAACTACGACCACGTCGCGGCGCTCGGAGATGATGGTACGTGCACTCAGTGCGACCCCGCTAGACTCCTCCACCGGCCGCCGCGAGGGTCGCAGAACCCGAAAGTCCACTATGGTCTGGTTGCGTCTGGCAACCAGGTGATGCGACATGGCGGGACACGGGACAAGTTGGCGCGCGAGCATGGGATCCTTTGTTTTGAGATGGAGGCGGCCGGCTTGATGGACATCGCCCAATGCCTGGTCATCCGGGGAATCTGCGATTATGCAGATTCGCACAAAACTAAGGTCTGGCAGGGGTACGCCGCTGGTGCCGCTGCTGCCTATGCGAAGGAGCTCCTGTCTTTGATGCCCCCTGCCCCGAAGCCACCGCCGCTGGCATCTATCACGGATTCGACGGTTGCCGGTATTCTCGATGCCTTACTCCTGACCAGACCCGAGGTTGACCGGAGCTCTCTGATCGCATTGAAGGGGCGGAGAGTAGCAGGTACTTGCGAATGGCTGCTACGACATGACCACTATCAAGAGTGGCTGAAAGGAACTGATCCGCCACTCCTCTGGATCTCAGGCGGGCCGGGAAAAGGGAAAACTATCCTCTCCATCTACATCACTGAGGAACTGGAGTCGGTGGTTGACGACGCTCAGGGTGTTCTCCTTTACTACTTCTGTAGTAACCGTGACAAGAACAGGAACTCGGCCATGACGATCATGCGAGGCCTATTGCACCAATGGCTCAGTCTCCATCCCCACCTAGCACAACATATTCAGAACTTCTTTGATGGGTCCGAAACGACCAAATACACTATTTCTAACTTTATCTGCCTCTGGAAGCTCTTCCTGAGCCTTCTCAACCACACCGACGCACCGCAGGTGGTATGCGTGCTTGATGGCCTAGATGAGTGCGAGGAGGAATCTCTCAAGCAGCTCCTTGACGTCTTGAGTGAATATTTCTCGAACTCCGAGGCGAAACCAAACACATACCTAAAGGTCATCCTCCTCTCCCGCCCGCAGCCTGGACCTTTAAAAAGCAAACTTCACCGATTCCCTCGGATCAAACTTGATGACTCGGACGTGGAGATTCAAAAAGATGTTGAGAAATACATCTCGGCCAAAGTTGCCGAGCTGGCAGCCGAGAATATCCTATCGGAGGATAGGCTACGTCAAGTTAGCCAGACCTTGATGGCCAGCGCGGAGGGAACCTTCTTGTGGGTTGGGTTTGTCGCGGATGAGCTCAAGGGCAAAAATTGGCTTCAAATCAACCACATACTTCGCGGTGTGCCCAAGGACCTTGTTGGGGTTTATCAGCGATTGCTGCAACAAGTCGAAGACAAAGAAAACCTGGTCCCCATCCTTGAATGGATCGTTCTCGCCGCCCGACCCATGACCGTGGATGAACTAGCAATGGCGGCGGAGATCAAGGCGTTTCATGCCCTGACGCCAACCGAAATCCTGAAGGATAGGCTTGCGTCCTGTGGGCTGTTGGTGAAAATCGATGGAGACGTGGTCAACCTCGTCCATGAGTCGGCGAGAGAGTTCTTCCAGAGCGACCAGATCAATATCGACGGGATCAACGTTTTCCATATGAATCACAAATCGCATAAGACTCTTATGCGTACCTGCCTCGGGCTCATTGAAGGGAGCTACAAGTCTCCTGGTAGTATCAGCAACGCCTCCCTCCACAATAGCCTCTTGACCTATGCCAGCCTCTACTGGCCAGAGCATTTCCGACAGGCGTTCGACTCGGTCGAGGCCCAGCTTGAGTTTTCAAGCCAGTTCTTCCGAGCTGAGTCGCCGGTGCGGGAGGATTGGTGGAAATTCTACTGGGATCGGGAGCAGTACGGCGGAGCTCCGCCCTCGTTCACGCTTCTACACCTAGCGGCGTACTTTGGCAACTTGGCCTGGGCCAAGATGTTGCTTAAGCATTCTGCCGCCGCCGGCATTCCCTTCCGCCGTCGCACCTCGAGAAAGGATTCTTATGGGCGCACACCCCTCTTCTGGGCTGCTACGCGCGGTCACAGAGACGTGGTGGAGTTGCTACTCGAGCACGGTGCCAACATAAATTCTAAGGACCGCGACAAATTGACCGCGCTCCATATCGCAGTCACTGGAGAGCACAAGGATGTCGTGTCTCTACTACTAGATCGGTCCGCCCGGATCGAGGCCAAAGGTAGCTACGGGGACACGCCATTGATCCGAGCCATCCAGGCCAGTTCCAAAGATATCGTCAAGTTACTGCTCGAGCACGGTGCGCGGGTTGATAAATTACCTACACCACCAGGTGTCGCCGCCCTGAAGGGGCCGATGGATCCACTGGAAGAGCGCGTGAAACAGTTGCTGGAACTTCAGGAAATGCTTTTTACTGCGCGATATGATAATCAATCGAGACTGGTTGACCTCACGCTCAAGATCCTAACCGTCTCACTCAGGTACAAACCTATCTTTAGACTGGTTGCGCTGTACGTGAGACACTGGTCAGTTGGCCGCTGGGAGGTTCTGCAAGACCTCGTGAAGAATAACGAGACGGCCAGATTGCGAAAATGGGCGCAGTCATTCAGCAGCTTTGGCAACCAGTTGGTCGAGGCTAGGAATCCCAGAGACCTAGAGGCCATGACGGGGCTCTCGGTCCGGGTGTTTGAGGTGGTCTCTACTGCGGATCTAGAGGCGTTATTGGTAATCGGGGTCCTGGTAGGTTCGTCTGTCATGCTCGCATCGGCCAAATCCCGATGGAGAGAAGGTGTAGATATCTCGGGCAGGACGTTCTCTCAATTCGCCTCCCTCGCCTACCACAGGGGCACGGAGGAGTCACTGGACTACGGCGTTCGCCAGTTCCTGATCGATCTCGACGCCTCCATTCGCGCCGGCAACAGGGCGGACACGGTGGATCGGGTGGTGGTCATGTTCAGCACGCACCTCGCCATCCTCGCTAGCAAGGATCCACGGCCCATCGAGTACTTCTCGACGGTCCTCACGGAATATTTCGAACACTATATCGGCGGCAGCTATGAGGAACAGCTCTTCAGCGACGCCAGCGAGGCATGCGCCAATGAGCTTGCTGCCATCAACAAATGTCAGGATTCCCGCAGATTGTTCCTCCTCCTCTCTGCCATCTTCAAGATCGCTCAGCACTCGCGGGAGAAGGGGCAGGACCGGCTCCTCAACATCCCACCAGCGTCATGTCTGATCCTCTGCCAGGATGACCCCGACTCCCATAGATGGTTGATCGGCGAAGGGATACCGGAAACAATGAGTGTGCTGATACCCCGACAACAACAAGGACTCTCGCGAAAGCGGGCGTTCAAAGCTCTCGTGGAATGTCTGATTATTGGGAAGCAATTTGGGTTATCACTGTCTATGGGGGTGCGGGAAACGGTGAAGCGAAACCTTGAACTTATTGACGGGGTGGACGGAATGCTGGATCAACTTCTTAGTACATGATTCTTGTTTAATGTTTATGATTACTTTTTTGGTTGTTTGCAATGTTCCCCCCCTTTCTTTTTCTAAATTCCAATTCATTTCAATGTAATGGTTGAAAAAGAAAAACCCCTCCTTTCCACCCGCCTTGGCAGACATTTTGATTCACCGCATATGCTCCGCTGAAGCTATATATATATAAGGAAAAGGAAATGAAAAGGAAAAGAAGAACATGAAAAGAGAACGAGATAGTGAAAAAAAAGGTAAAAATGTAGAGCAAGAAAAGGAAATACCAAAAAAAGAATAAATATAAACGATGACAGGCGAAGGTGGCAACAAAGGAGGAAATAGAAAGGCCATGTTTGAAGAATAACATGATATTAGTATAGGGGATCGAAGGGGAACAAAAGAGACTGGTCAAAAACCAAAATAGCAACAGTATTACATGAAAAAAAGAATATGAAAGTGGGAAAATTAGGAAAGGTGAGAATAGAGAATTGAAGTCAATGGAATTCAATAAAAAATGGAGGAAGATGTAGTAAAACAAAAGCAAAAAAAAGATAAAAAATGGAAACAAACAAAGAGTGAATACAGGCTAGTCGACCTTCCCCGATCCATTTCCACCACCAAGTAGCCCTTCCTTTCCATCAAGGTGGAAGAATCCACCCCCTGAGCTACCAGTGACTGCACCTAGGAGGCCTCCAGCACCCCTGCCTTTTCGAAGTCTACCCTTCGTGAAGAGGTACGCAAATATCAAAGCAGCGAAGAACATGGCAATAAAAAGGATAGGGTGGTTGCGGTAAAAGGAGCGCGTGCTGAAGTACATACTTTCGAAGATGCCGACGGTGGATTTCGCCTTGAGCCTAGATGATGGCGAGACGACCTGAGTGATGGTTTCGAGGATAGAGGTTCGGCTTGGCATTATGTAGGCACCACTAGTGGTGGTATCCCAGTACCGACGGTTCTGGTTCGTTTGAAAAAGGCAAGAGTCAGCTTTTGGATGTCTAATGGATCCGTTGAATTGAAAATTGGGATACTACAAGTGAATTCTCAGGGGTGAAGAAGGGCAAATATAGAGTAAAAACTTACATCTTCGTCAATGATGATAACACGTTCACCGTTTTTCACATCAATACCGTACGTTGTCCGAATCCATCGATCCCAGAAGATACCATCAATCCATGCAAAAACGACCTGCTTTTTGTCACTCTCTCGGATGGTTATTTGCCTGTTTTTCGCTGCACGCAGTGCCCGTTGGTCATTTCGGTCTTCTGCTTCCTCGATACGCAGCTCCTTCGCGTCCCGAAGTTCCTGCCTCTCAAGCTGGAACAACTTGGTTTGTTTATCCATCCACTCAAGCGCCGCATTTTTCAGCTCCTTTTTGTCCTGGACAAATTCGTCCGAGCGTAGTCGGCTGAGAATACCGAGGACTACGTATTTTCCATTAAGAATCTCGCGAGCATTAGCAGCGGTGAGCTCTGGTACTATGGGCAGCCAGACACTTTCCATCCAAGTGAGCACCTGTCGGAAATCTCGCATGTCTTTGGGGGCGAGCGCGCTGTAATAACTGGCTTTTCCACCCCTCGAGACAAGAAGACGAGGCCACGTGGAAATTCTGAATCTCTGGGCAAGGACATCGCTGTCAGTCTTAACAAGCTTTGCACGCCCGACCAAGCTCAGAGTTAACCGATCCAGAGCGGCAAAGTCCTCTGATGTAGTGGCCTTGTCGAAGAAGTATAAGAAAATAACCTCCTCAGTTTCTTCCATTTTCTTAAAAGCGTCAGCATCAACATATTGAACGCCGTTACCAACAACATCCACGGCCTTTTTGGCGTAGTTGACCAGGTCTCCCAAGCCCCTAAGTCCGTTATACTCAACACGTTCCCCACCTCTGAAAAAGTAGATGGTAGGGAAAGATCCGACACGAGCATCCTTGCATAAGCGTCGTTCCGTCTCACAGTTAACTTCACCAACATTTAGGACTTCTTTCATGTCCCTAGCCATCTGCTGCCAAGATGCAGCCATGGCCTGGCAATGACTACACCAGGGTGTATAGAACTTGATAAACCATGGAACATGAGTGTTTGTAACGAGTTTCTGGAAACTTTCGGCTGTGAGTGATATCGATTTGCCTTGAGGGTTGGGCACCGGTCCACTGGGCCTTTTCGGCACCGCGGGCTGGCTCTTCTCCTCCGGTGGTTCGGACTTGGCTGATGGTTTATCTTGCGGTTTATCTTCGGGTTTATCTTCGGGTTTTCCTCCTATTTTAAGGGGGGCGGTAGAAGTATCAACCTTGGTATCGCCAGGTTTTGGTAGCTGCAGGCCATTCCGAGGCCTTGAGCCAGGCTTAATTTGTTCGAGCTTATCTTCAATAAACTTGCTCAGTCCTTCCATTGACTTCTTGCCGGTAAATGTCTCCATTTTCTCTCCTTTGTGGTAAAGTATAAACATAGGGAAGGCGTTGATTTTGAGGGCCCGGCACTTGTCTGCGTTGGCAATGCAGTCTATGGCAGCGAAATTGAAATCGTAGAAGCGTTGGAAGGAGTTAAGGGAAGAAACTGGGTCTTGCGTTTGTTTAGATGTTGAGGTTGAGAGGGGATTCGAGGACTACATGCAATTAGTGATCATATTCCTTAGAAGGGGTGGAATAATACTAACGTAGTAGAATTCGTATAACGTTTGCCATGTTGGTGCGATAGAAATACAATACCCACAATATGGGGAGAAATGCTTCACAAACCTACAGCATTGTCAGACACACGCGCACACACATATATATTTCCAAGATAACAGCAAATGAAATAATATAGAGAGTAATAAAGAGTAAAGACACGAGACGTACCAGTAACCTTCCTGAATACTTTCATCAAAAGTGGACGCATTGAGTTGCTTCATCGGGGGAACTTCGACTCCATTAAAGACTGTAGGGCCTTCATCTGGACCGGTTAGATTCTCCGCTCCGGAGAATATCCGTGGCGCTTGTATCGAAACATCCTCAGACCCAGACCCGCCCGTTGACGTAGCGATAACGGGTTTTAGCAGCAGAGAGAGTAATGACCAAGCAAAGAGTGAGGTCTTCATTTTACGCGGCTGAAGGCCAAACGGGCCCCAGGACCAGAGCTTAATCTATCCCCAGATCACTGCAGAAGCTGGCGAATATTTAGATGTTTTTCAAAATAGAGTTAATTGTTGTCAATGAGTCGCCGTTCTCTTAATGAAGGAGTTGGAAGATATAGGATCGGGGCTGGTTCTGGCCAGATAGGAGGCTGATTGGCTTGGTTCAGAATGGCACTGAGGAGCATGTAGGCTGCGAGAGTATCTGTCCAAGTAGCTAAAGTCGCAACAGAGGCTTGTTATGGATGTAGTCGCCGAGTTGAAGAGCGGCGGACGAAACCTGGCGTGAGATTGATCCTTCGTCGTCGTCTCGTCGAGTCCCCCTTAAAAGAAACCTTGGAAGTTGTTTGAGCCGCAAGTTCGCGGTTGTTCTTTTTTTGGAAGTAGCACCGCAACCGGAGAAACTAATATTCCTGGTTCCATCGCCGCCTTTCGAGCGCGGAAGTTGGAATCACAGACGCCAGCGACCACGAGAACAACGTCAGCACGCTTGTTGTCGACAGCAATTGGGCCGGGTATCCTTTTTAATCGGCATTGTCCTCATATACATCCCCATCATGAGGTCCTCTCTACGATTGCTGGCAAACGTCAAGTCTGCCAGATACCTCCAACCCCATGCACCCACCGGCCTCACCGGCCTCACTACCCACCCAAGACCCCGACAGGCTCTCCTCATCCTATACACAAACACTTTGAACAAACTCCAGAATATCCCTGAGTCGTCCGTTTACCGCCAAGCCACGGAAGCCCTCACAAAACACCGATTGAAGATCGTCGAATCCACCAAACCGCCCGGCTACGACAAATGGCACCAGGAAGTACAACAGAAAGTCGCAGCAAACCCAGACCTGGTCAAAGCCATGTCAACTCCAAGTGGTGGTCTTGCGGCAGTCTACACGCCATTGGGCGGCCGGGTGTCGGAACTTGAAAAGCGACACTATGCCGAGAACATGGAGAATGCGTTGCGCCAAATAAAGGAGGAAGAGGAGCAGTTCGAGAAGTTGCCAGAGAGAGTGAAGCCTGCCGTGACACGGTGGTCGAAGGAAAAACAAGAGACTGAACAGCTTGAAAATAAAGAGGAGCCTGCTGCAGCCGAACCCCGGATTGATTTATATGATGAACCAGCTTTGGAAGCGGCGCAGTAAGTGTCAATCCAATTCCCGTCTTTATCTTCCGCTCCTTTTTTATTTGGATCCGCTGTTCTAATTAGATTTTATAGGATCTCCGAAATTGAAAACCAGATTGGAGCAGGTCTGATAGAGGAAGTTATCGAAGTTGCGGAAGGGGAGCTAAAACTTGTAGATGATATGATCAAATTTAAAGTGTAAGTGCGCCCTTGCAATAACAGAAATACGGTCAGGGAATTGTCTCTTTACTGATTCCTATTCGTGTGTAGATGGGAACAGCTGGTAGAAAACCCGAAGCCAGGCCAATGGACATATTTTGGCAGAGACCGAGGCAGTGATGCAAGCTAAAGGCCCTGGCGGTTTTCCTTTTGGCAATTTCATTTATCGACCTAGCTCATAGTATGGGGTCCTAGAGGGTTTAGAGAGCTTTAATCGCTTTGTTCTAATCAAATTTTATGTTGACTACTGTAAATATATTAAATATTTTCGGAAGCCCCATCTTTCCAGAGCATGTCAAATCTTATGCACCGTTTTTCCTGGGCTATAGGCGTTTGCGCATCGAGTTTACAGCATATGGCGGACATGAAACACCAGATATCCTGTGTTGTGCAATAATATTCTTATAAATTTTATGAATCTCCAATATACTCTATGAATAATCAAATTTAACCCAGGTATTCCTTTCGTTGGTCTATATCGACATTATTGTGCCGTCCGCCCAAAATCCGGCGTTGTGTTGCGCTAACCGTCTTGGGAGGCGTGGTGGGACTTCTGATCCGAAAGTCGAACCTCACATACATTGATACTGACAAGTTGCACTTCGACGTACTGACGGCATCAATTTCAGCATCATTCCCCGCGTCCTGTTGCTTTATCAACACATTTTATCTAGGAAGATACTGTTCCGTCAGTTCCAGCGACTAGGAATATATCCTAATCGCCAGGTGTTCCCTTTGGTACAGCCGCTCGCGGGCGGCACACTTATCGCCACAGAGCTACTTAGGGAAAGTTGCCCACCATGCGGTTAGATGTGAAGGTGCGTGGAATGATGGTCTTCGAAGGATTACATATTTACTGGCTTGCGAAAGGGTAGTTTTGAATGGTACAAATTGGGACTGACGTTATCTTCTATGCTAGCGACAACTGTTCGCCCGGTCGGAGAGGGTCAAGGGCATTGACTTTCACCCGACTGAGCCATGGGTAAGTGCAATACTCTCTATGCTTGCCAGGGGACGTTTCTCTAACTTATTTGCTATTAGATTTTAACTACATTGTATAGCGGTAAGCCATTGTTTCCTAAACGGGTGGTGGAAGGTCTCATCACTGATGCGCTGGAGGAACACACAGGTCATGTTTATATATGGTCTTACGAAACACAGGCACGTACACACCCCAAGCAGAGGCTATTTCCAGTGATGCTAACCTCCAATTCAGTCTATAATTAAAACATTTGAGCTTACCGACGTCCCTGTCCGAGCCGGTCGATTCATTGCGCGAAAAAATTGGATTGTCTGCGGTTCCGATGACTTCCAACTCCGCGTCTACAATTACAACACGTCCGAAAAGATCGCATCCTTCGAAGCGCATCCAGATTACATTCGGTCTATTGTCGTCCATCCGACCCAACCGTTCGTACTCACCGCTTCCGATGACATGACGATTAAGCTGTGGGATTGGGACAAGGCATGGAAATGCGTTCAGGTTTTTGAGGGACACAACCATTATGTCATGGGTCTGGCCATCAACCCGAAAGACACAAATACATTTGCTTCAGCGTGTCTTGACCGGACGGTAAAGATATGGAGTCTGGGCTCACCGCATGCGAATTTCACACTTGAGGCCCATGAGACGAAGGGGGTTAATCACGTTGATTATTACCCACAAGCGGATAAGCCGTACCTGTTGACGACTTCCGATGATAAGACTGTAAAAGTTTGGGATTACACCACAAAGGCGCTAATAGCTACGTTAGAGGGCCACACTAGCAATGTTTCCTTCGCGTGCTACCACCCAGAGTTGCCTGTCATTATCTCCGGCTCGGAAGATGGAACCATCAAAATCTGGCACGCCAACACATATCGACTAGAGCAATCCCTGAGCTATGGCCTGGAGCGTGCATGGTGTGTTAGCTACCAACGTGGCAAACAAGGCATTGCCATGGGTTTTGACGATGGAGCTGTTGTTGTCAAGATGGGTCGTGAAGAACCTGCTGTTTCCATGGATGGGTCCGGAAAGCTGGTTTGGGCGAGACACAACGAAGTCGTGTCAACCGTAATCAAGGGTGGTGACGCAACTCTCAAAGACGGTGCCCCCTTGTCGCTCCCGACGAAGGAACTCGGTTCCTGCGAAATATACCCGCAGACACTCACCCACTCTTCGAATGGGCGGTTCGTCTCCGTCTGCGGAGATGGCGAATACATTATCTACACTGCACTTGCATGGAGAAATAAAGCCTTTGGAGAGGCTTTAGACTTCGCCTGGGGTTCAAAGGATAATAGCAATGATTATGCGATTCGGGAGTCTAGTACCAGCGTCAAGATTTTCCGCAACTTCAAGGAGAAAAGCGGAGGTCTCGATGTGGGATTCCAAGCTGAAGGCCTAACAGGTGGTGTTTTGCTGGGAGTCAAGGGCCAAGGTGGTATCGGGATGTTTGACTGGGAAACTGGTTTACTCGTGAGGAGAATAGAAGTGGATCCTCGAGCTGTAGGTTTCTCGAGCCATTTTCATTGCAATTACATGATTACAGCGAGTATCTAACATTATTTATCCCTAGGTATACTGGTCTGAATCGGGAGAACTAGTTACTCTTGCATGCGATGATGCTTTCTACGTCCTCCGTTTCTCCCGCGAGAATTACATTGCCGGCCTCAACAGCGGCGAAGCTGACGAGGATGGGGTCGAAGCTGCTTTCGAAGTAATCACAGACGTCAGCGAATCCGTCCGGACAGGCGAATGGGTTGGCGATTGCTTCATCTACACTAACTCCACAAACCGCCTAAACTATCTCGTCGGCGACCAAACCTACACAATCTCCCACTTCGACCAACCAATGTATCTCCTTGGCTACCTACCCCGAGACGGACGCATCTATCTTGCCGACAAGGATGTAAACGTAATCTCTTTCTCCCTCTCCCTCGCCGTCGTCGAATACCAAACCCTCGTACTCCGTGGTGACATGGACTCCGCCGCAGAACTCCTCGAAGACATCCCTGCCGACCAAATGAACAAAATCGCCCGCTTCCTCGAGGGACAGGGTAACAAGGAACTAGCCCTCGACGTCGCCACGGACCAGGAACACCGTTTCGAACTCTCCTTAGCTCTCAACAAGCTCGACATCGCCCTCGAAATTGCGCGCGCCGCTGACGTCGAGCACAAATGGAAAATCGTCGGTGACGCAGCCATGGCCGCCTGGGATCTCGCCCTGGCTCAAGAATGCTTCTCCAACTCCAAGGATCTAGGTTCGTTGCTGCTCCTGCACACCGCTAGCTGCAACACCGACGGTCTCCGCCGTTTGGCCGAGCAAGCCGATTCAGCAGGCTCGCATAACGTCGCCTTCTCCGCGCTCTTACAACTTGGCGATGTCGATGCGTGCATCGACCTCCTTGTCCGGACGAATCGGATCACGGAAGCTGTGCTGTTCGCGCAGACGTATAAGCCCAGCCGCGCCGCGAAGCTTGCAGCCAAGTGGAAGGAGAGTTTGGAAAAAGAGGGTAAGACGAAGGTGGCAAGGATTATTGGGATTCCACCTGGGGCTGGAATCGAAGGGGTTGAGACGGATGACGAGTTGTTTCCGGAGTGGGATGAGTATTTGAGATTGGAGACGGAGGGAGGCGTTAAGTCTGTGGATTTGATTGATATTAATGGCGATGATGAAGTGGAGGAAGTTGGTGGTGGTGATGGTGAGGCGGAGGCAGTCAATGGCGTTTCGGAATAAAGGGAGTAAAGGATATAAATTTTTGCTGCTAGTGTTGTCGTTTTGTTGTTTGCAACGAAGGGTAAAATGAATGAGGTCTTTTCTTCTTCTCCCCCCTTTCTTCACTCCGTCCGCCCTTTTCTATCTTTCTTTATTTCCAATTTGTTGATTTAATTTTATCCTTTTCATATCTATTACAGTTAGGGAGAGCCACGCGTAAAGTCAAAAAAAAAAAAAAAAAAAATGGTACATTTCCCCATGTTCTTCCCATCATATTTATTTCTTTATTTCTTTATGCCTTCTTGCTTTCCTTATCTTCCTTTACCTTCCTTATACTTTTTTTTTCCACCTTTTTTGTAAACGGCGAGCGTGAGAGAAGTTACATAAAAAGTCATCCTAGCAATAGGGCCCTATTAACTAACATCCCTTTCCCCAAGCTAAGCAGAAGAGAACTTGCACAATCATATATAGCTACTATTTTGCCTCGCCTTTTCGCTACATTAGTCTTTGCAAGATATAGATAACGAGCATGCCCTCATTCTTCACCATTTGACCCACTACAAAGAGAATTATACCACTACCAACCGATGAAGGGACCCTCAACCGGGCCACAAAGTGTACACGGGGTGAGAAAGCTTGAGTCAAACATACCTTATGTATTTATACTCCTGGTTGGAGAAGGGAAGGAAAAGGAAGGGGAAGAAGCAGATTGCTGTGAACGCCCTATTGCGATGGACACGTTAACATTGTATATGCCAGGGAGTGACGTGGCCATGAGGCGGTTGGGGGCTTTCTTCTACACCTTCTCTGAGACTAAGTAAAGTGGGTGATCTATGTCTTGAGATATACATACATATGTTGGAACTTGACGTCTGACTCTTTATTTTATATTTTATTTAACATTCCTTTTCGCTAACGAGAAAGGAAAATAAGTTGGTGAAAGGAAAAAAGATAGTATGGAGACAGACCAGACCAGATAAAACCAGGAGAAGAGGGAATGAAAAAAAAAAAAAAGGAAAAAAAAAGAAAAGACAGACAGACGCAGAAAATGGTATCTATCTGACATTGAAAATATATTCACAGAATATATAAGTCAATTTGACTTAAGTTTTCTGGTTTAATTGTGGTATATTGTGTCTAACACACCTACTAGAAAGAAAAGAAGAAAAGAAAAAGCAAATAGACAACAAAAGAGATCTCAAACAAATAGATGTGTGAACACAACTCGCTCGACCGCCTTGTGTGTTGCAGGATAAATCAAAAAAACTTGAAAAAAAAAAATCTTGGGACAAAAAAGTAAAAAAGAGAGAGAGATAAAACGTGAATGGAGGTGTCTGCCACTTGTATGTATATTGCGGCAAACACACGGAGGAGTGAGAGATATCAGGGTTATGAAAAGGAAGGGAGATCTAGAAATCTAGATATTCGGATTTGAAATGAAACGAAATAACGAAGTATGAAAAGTGAAATTGAAAGTAAAACAAGAGGAAACTGATAGGTACTTTCCGCGCAATGAGGGGACAATCAAGAAAGTAGAAGAAAAAAATGAAAATGAAAAAAAGAAATAAGAACAGAAATGGAAAATAGTTGGGCGAATGAACACTGCAAAGGAAAAATTGAAGTAAAACAGACATGAACAGGGGGCGAGTAGTAAGAAACAGGATAACGAGTGAAAACAATCCAGTCAAAGCAAAATCATAAGAGATTCGTTAAACTGTGTTTGAACTTCCAGAGTCAAAAGAACACGGGGCGAGAAGACGGAGGTTAAAGAAAACAGATAGTTGAAGATCTCTTGTTCTTCCATCAGGTCAACATCGGAGTTGAAAACAGGGGAACGATTATTCAGGGATACTTCCGAAAGATGGGTCCTTCACGCTCCCTCCAGCATCGCCGAGGCCAGCAACGGGGCGATTGTAGGACCAGCCTTCGAACTGTCGTTGCATGGTTTGAGATAGAACAGGACCCTCGACGTACGAGTCTACAGGAGCTTCGGACGTGAATTCGCGATCGAAATTCTTGGTGTCACGGGCATCAACCTGTCATACATATTATTAGAACTCTGCATAGGCCCAGAAAGGGTTATATTGAAGATGAGGGAGGAAGTATTGAATGTCGAGAGGCCCCCCCCCCCCCCCCCCCCCTCCCCCCCCCCAAAAAAAATAAAAAAAGGAAACATACCACATCAGGGCGGAAGCTCGGCTCATATTTTCTCTGAAGCAACTTGCGCCAATCAATGTTGGAGAAGAAGTGATGTGCTTTGATTTCAGCGGCACCGTTTGCTCCAAGACGACGGTTCGGATCACGCTCGAGTAGTCTAGTAAGAAGGTCCCTCGCCGCACCCGGAACAATATCCTGGCTTGGGAAAGTAAGTGGCTCTTGGAGGATCTTCCGGTACATCTCATTCGTGTTCTCATCGTAAAATGGTGGAAGTCCCGTTAACATCTCGTACAGGAGAACTCCGAGTGTCCACCAATCCACAGCCTTTGTGTATCCCTCGGCAAGCAGGAGCTCAGGGGCGAGATATTCGGGTGTGCCACAGAATGCTAGCAGTAAATTAGCGCCAGACATCATTTAAAATCATCTCGGCTAGCAATCACTTACTATTCGTCCGGTCTTCATCTTCCATATCAAGCTTACACAATCCAAAGTCGCACAGGGCAATGTGGCCAGTATAATCCAACAGAATATTTTCTGGCTTAAGGTCACGATAGATGACTTTAAACCCGTGTAGGCACTCCAGCGCACAGATCAATTCTGCTGTGTAAAAGCGGGCCCTGTTGATATCGAAACGCTGCTCCTTTTGGAGGTGGTGGAACAATTCACCACCGTTTACGAAGGCCAAAACAAGATATAGCTTCTCTGGGGATTGGAATGAGAATTTGAGAGGAACGATGAAAGGATTGTTAATTTGGGAAAGCACTGATCTCTCAGCCAGTGTATGCGCCACTTCGGATCGAGAAATGATATGGGCTTTGCGAAGAGTTTTCATTGCATAGATACGGCCAGTATCACGTTTCCTTTAACAATAGATATATGTTAGGTCGCCGGCCGTACGAGCATTGTGGGCGATGGGCAGCTAGAACTTACATAACTTGTATGACCCTTCCAAAACTGCCTCTACCGACGACTTTCAAAAGTTCAAAATCTTCCATTTTGAGACTCTTCTGACGGTTTTCAACAAACGACACACCAATTTTGATGGCTCCTGTACCGAATTGCAAGTTTGTCCATTCCGTGCCAGACTGTCCCATTTGACGCTCCTGTTCTGCATGGGCTGCGGCTGCCTTTTCGCGGTCTTTCTTACTCAACTTGGGATCCTCCACGAAAGGACGGGCTTCTTCAAATCTCGGGTTAATTCTGCAGGCACCCAAAAAAATATCCTCACTTCTGCCAGCACCTGGTCTGGCAGCAGGGTTTCGCAGATAGAGTTGAATGTTGAGATCAGTCACACGAGAGACATCGAACTTGAAAGAGGTGTTATCGCCTGCCCAAAGAGGATTCTCCGGAGTACCTGATACAGCATCAACGAAAACCTGCTGCTTGTCAAAATCCAGAAGAGCATAGGGAAGGTATTTGGCGGAATATCGACCATGGATTGTAGGTGCAGCATTGATCCCGCCGCTCGTCGACTGAGGTCGGTTGGACTGCGCATAGGAACTAGTAACTGTTCCCTGGGTGGAATGAGATGAGGATGAGTTGGGTCTGATGGAGGGTGGTCCAGCGAAGCTACTGTTGCCTGAGATCGAGTTTTGGAAATGTGCATTGAACACCTGCTGGTAGTGAGGCGAGAGTGAGAAGCCCTTCCCCTCGTGTAACGTAATGATGAGAATACCGGGCTTAGCTGGAGCAACGGGAGGTGACACTAGAGCCTCTGAAGCAGCTAAAATTGAAGGATTACCGTATTAGTGGAACATGATAACATTCATAGGCTTCAATGATATGAATAAAAAAAGGGCCTTACCAATGCCGTTTGAGTTTGGAGAAAGGGCGGCGGGACTTGGAGATGCACTGCCATTTTCTTCCGTGGTAGCAGCATCGGGCTTAATGGTAGACGTCGACGATGACCTGCCAAAAGAATCGGCTAACGGGGCAAGATGTGTCTCCTTAAGCTCTTTGGGGGAAGAATGTCAGTAACTCAAAAACTTATGGAGGGAAATAGGACTATCATTGGGAAAAAGGGCATACTCTTTGTAAGTTTCCACGCCATGATGATGAACCTTGGGGAGTCAAGGCGAAGACGAAGTGCGATGAAGGACAGGAGAATTCCAAGGGCTAGCAAGGTGAGCGGTTATCAGTGCGAAGAGAGTTCTATCGCCTGTAAGGGATAAATAGGGGGAAGTTAGGAGAGAGGAGAGGTCAAAGGGTGTATATATTTGTAGACTAAGGGGACGCGGTATTTTGGATCTAGGGGTCTAAATGAGGTAATGAGCCTTGGACGGCACAATGTCTAGAGAAGGACGGGACAGAATTAGACGGCCCGACTGATAACAGAGGGAGAGGATGGAAAGTGAAGCAGAGTGCTCCCCGGGAGTATGGAGCTACCGGGTAAAATGACTGCTGCTGGACTTGTATAGAGCGGAGGGGGTTGGTGTTGTTGTTGGTTGTTTCGCAGCAAGAAAAGCAGAGGGGGGAAAGCCGCCAAGTACACAGGACAGTACGTACAGTACGGAGTACAAGTACAGTAAGCAGCGGCGGCTGATTAACGGGGTCGGGGGTCTCAAGTCCAGTCCTGGAGATCTGGGTCTTGGAAGTGAAACACTGCTCCGCCTTCTTCCCGAGAAAACGTTGATGGGTTGACTCGATGTCTAATTAAACGACCGACCCTCCACAAGCTTACTTACGCAGCGTAATAGTAAATAAATATTAAATAATTGTCTGGTGTTGGGTGTGTTGGGTTTGGGAAGTTGGACGGACACCATTTCGTCCCTTTTCTCCAACTCTCCCAACCTCCTTAGCCACACTTCCAGCCCGTTTTAAGCCACCAACATCTCCCAACCGAACTTGAACCCCACTAGGCCAGATAAAGACTAGTGGGCTACATCACCTGACATTAGCGGCGGCTGGCGGCTGGCTCTGGCGGCTCTCTCGGTAGATCGGAAAAGGCTCTCTTCCGGCAGCCAAACAGCCGCTCCCCCGTATCGACCATCACGACCCGGGGAACGTCAAGCCCTGATCCCTGATTGTCCTCATCCGCTTCTAATTCTCCTGCCCGCTAGACAGCCTTTGGTTATTTCCTTTTCGTCGCACAAAGACCATGTCCACGCCATCGGGCTATTTACTTGTCCTATAACTCATTCCAAGACCCGACCCGACCCACTGCATAGTACAACACATACCAGGGCGAAATCCCCCCCCCCCCCCCTCCCCCCGAGTACCACTATACTTGTTGCGTCTCCCTAAAGGCCTACTAAACACCACTCTCACACTATAGACGGACACTCGGGAAACGGTGATGCCAGTTTGATTCACTCAATGGGTGTCATACGGAAGAAGACCGCTGCGCGCGGTACCGAAGGTGGAACAAAATACCATTGCGACGTTTGCTCTGTGGATGTCACCTCGACGGTATGTACTGACTGCGTATAGTACTGACTGCGTATACTCCGCGCCATGTTATGTTCAAGATACTGATGTTTTGGGGGGTTTGATGCGGTTAGGTGCGCATTTCTTGCGCGCATAGTGCCTGCCATGAATATGATCTGTGCGTCCCATGTTTCGCCGCCGGCGAAAGCTCAAAGAATCATGATCCGCGAACACACCCATACTACGTCATCGAGCAAAACTCGGTTCCTATCTACCAACCTGACTGGGGCGCAGATGAAGAGTTATTGCTATTAGAAGGCGCGGAAATCTACGGCCTAGGATCATGGGCAGACATTGCTGATCATATTGGCGGCTACCGAACAAAGGAAGAAGTACGCGACCATTACATCGAAACTTATATCAACAGTTCCAAATTCCCTCTCCCCGAACGCGCTGATCCCAACGACAAAACTCTACAAGAACAAATATCGAAAGAGGAGTTCCAGGCTCGCAAAAAGCGACGAATCGAAGCTCGAAAAGAGGCGGCACGGGTCGCCCCTCCTGCAACACCAAAGCAAAAGCCCACGGCCTCTGTACCCGCCTGCCATGAAGTCCAGGGGTATATGCCAGGCCGTCTCGAATTCGAGACGGAATTCGCAAATGAAGCTGAGGAAGCGGTGCAACACATGTCATTTGAACCCGGTGATGGCCTAAACGCGAATGGGGAAATGGACCCGGAAATGGAACTTAAAATGACCGTGAAGGACATTTACAACTCCCGTCTTACCGCCCGAACGGAACGTAAGAAAATAATATTCGAACACAACCTATTGGAATACCGCAAAAATACCGCCCAAGACAAGAAACGGACAAAAGAAGAACGCGAACTCCTCAACAAAGCAAAACCATTCGCCCGCATGATGAATCATGAAGATTTCGAGGAATTCACAAAGGGCCTCGAATACGAACATAACCTCCAGCTCGCAATAGCCCAACTACAAGAATGGCGAACGATGGGAATCGGCGATCTGAAAAGCGGAGAGAAGTACGAGCAAGAAAAGCAGCAGAGAGCCCAACGCGCAATCCCGCAGGGAGCCTTTGATAGAATGGCGGGCACACGCCCCAAACCATCACAGATCCCAGATACTCCTTCCGCCGCCACACAATTAACAATGCCAGAACTACCCCTTCGCCTCCAACGCAACGGAACCCAACAGAAACAACAAGCCCCCGTCTCCACCTCCTCCGGCCCCGAACCAGCATCCGCTCTACCCTTGAACGACTTCGATAAAATGTTCGCTACCACCGAGATGAACGGGACGTCGACTCCCAAACCACCCGCAAAGACGAAATACGTCATCCCGCCAATAAGCGGGCTTGCGCCATGGAAATTGGAAAATGACATCGCCCCGGACCTGCACTTGCTGACGAAGGAGGAGGTGGAGCTGTGTAACATTCTTCATCTGCAGCCTAAACCGTATCTCGTCATTAAAGAGCATATGATTAAAGAGGCGATGAAGCAAGGCGGGAGCTTGAAGAAGAAAGATGCTCGGGCGATGTGTAAGGTGAGACCTAGAACACCCATCAGAATCCCCCCACTCGAAACCCTTGCCCCCACGGTGGTTTTTTTCCTTTTCACCTCTTTTTTTTCTTTTCTCTTTTTTTCCTTTTAGTTTCTATGTCGCGCCCGTCACAATTCCAAATCATATGAATTGACACTGTTTGTGAATAATAGGTCGACGTTGCCAAATCTTCACGAATATACGACTTTATGGTACATAGCGGGTGGATAGCGAAGGCATAAATAATGATATGAAAGGGGGACGAAGAGAAGGAGTTGAGGGAAAGGACGGAACATAAGAAAATGAGACAGAATCGAAGGAGCCATTTTCTACCCATTATCATCCCCTTTTACCGAATTTATTATTAATTATCACCAGTATCAACAACATCATCACCGTCATTATCATCATTACTACCTCACCATCTCATTCAGAACCCCTCCATCTCCCTTATAATTTTATAACCCCCATTACCCCCCTTTCACTCTCCCTCTTCATTTTTACTACTCTCGTGTTAAAATTTTATTGCCTACCTTTAACAACCATTGATATCCAATTGCACAGTGTTGCACAGCCATCCGTTTGGTTTTTATTTCCCATGAAACTGTATTTAATCTATTTACAGATTTTAGGTTTAAGTTATTTTTCCCTGTGTAAGGAAAGCAACTGCAGGCAGTGGTGAAATTTAACTTACTTTTTTTATTAAACCTTCGATTAGGGGTAAGGTTTGGGTCCAATTTCAAGCTAGGTTACTGTGTAGTATAAGATACCTTTTGCACAAGCTTCTCAGTATATATTTAATGAGGAAGTCGCATATTAATGCGATTTTTATTAACCAACAAAAGCTCATAGTATAGTACATAACCAAACTATTTCAACCAGCTCCGTTCCACAGTGATCATGTCCTTTTTATTTACAAGCCAGATAAGTTTATATCTTGGGTTTAACCCGGCCTCCTCTTCTGGCTTCTCACCATCGGGCCTCGGCAGTTGGCCTGGAACTTCCCCGGATCTTGGCGTCTGCTCTGGATGGATTGTAGAATGTTAAGGAAATACATCCCGAGCGTAGATCAGGACGGGTAAGCCGCCATATAAAATAGTAATATTTAATATCCCTTTCAAGGCTCTGACCTCGCGTATCGGAGTTTGTTTTTTTTTTTTTTTTTTTTTTTTTTTTTTTTTTTTTTTTTTTTTTTTTTTTTTTTTTTTGAAGGGAACATCCACCGCTTCACCTCGGGCATATAAAGATTCGATCCCGGGAAACACTGGAATAGAACCCCCCATTGTATTGTATACATCCGGACAAAGCCAGACAAAAACTACTACTTAATTTGTCTTCTTCACCGTATCCCACAAAAAACCTACCCCCCATCAATCTTACAAAAATCAATATATATATATAAATATATAAAATAAGAAAAAAACGACAATATGACCGTACCAAACTTCACAAACCCCCCACCACCCACCCAACACTGCCTCCTCAGTTTCCCGACCCCGGAAATCCTCCTGGTAACCCTCAACCGGCCCAAATCGCTCAACTGCGTGAACTCGCAGGGCCATGCGGAACTGCACGCGGTGTGGGAGTGGATGGATGCGGAGCCGTTGTTGAGAGTTGGTATCATTACGGGCAAGGGGAGGGCGTTTTGCGCTGGGGCTGATTTAAAGGGTAAGTTCTATTTAATTAAGCTAAGCTATTCTTAGGCTTTGTTGTTTAGGCAGGAGGAAAAATAAACATATACAAAAAGTTTCATGTGTGGATGTTTCTTGCAGTCCTAAAAGGAAAATAAAATAAAGGGGAGAAATAAAAGATAAAATAAATAAATAAATAAAAATAAAAAATAAAATAAAAAAATAAATGAAACGCCATAAACCCAAAACCAAACCCCGAAACCCATTAACCTAAGACTAAAAACCACAAATCAAAAATCTAGAATGGAACGATAAAAACTCCCAATCATCCGGCCGCCCAGCACCACCCCCCTCAGGCTTCGCCGGCCTATCCCGGCGCGCAGGGAAAAAACCCGTCATCTGTGCTGTCAACGGCCTCGCCTACGGCGGCGGTTGTGAGATCATCATCAACGCCGACATCGTCATCGCCAGCAGGCGCGGGGCGAAATTCGCGTTGCCGGAAGTTAAGCGCGGCGTCGTCGCGTTGGCAGGTGGGCTGACGAGGCTGGTGCGGACGGTGGGGAAGCCGCGGGCGATGGAGATGGCGTTGACGGGGAGGGTGGTCCGGGTTGAGGAGGCGGAGCGGTGGGGGCTTGTTAATGAGGTTGTGGAGGATGGGGGGGAGGCGGATGATGTGGATGTTGGGGACAGGAGGGTGGTGAAGCGGGCCGTGGAGGTTGCGGGGGAGATTGTGGCGAATAGTCCTGACGCGGTGATTGTGAGTCGGGAGGGGGTTAAGTTGGGGTGGGAAGGGGTGGGCGCGGAGGATGGGAGTCAGATGTTGATGGAGGGATGGGCGAGGCGGTTGAATGAAGGGGAGAATCTGAAGGAGGGCGTAAAGGCGTTTGTGGAGAAGAGGAAGCCGAGATGGGTTGCGAGTAAGTTGTGAGGAGGAATGTTTGCGAGCAGGTATTGGGCCTTGGATCTCCTTTCTTCTATTCCATGCTTGGCTGGATGCACTTCAATATCAAAAAAACTGTAACCTTATTAGAATAGAGGTGGAATATATTAGAACTCGAATACGGTATACAATGTAATTACCCGAATCTCATCTGTTGCATGTCCCATTCGTATATATAAATACAACGCGCTAATTTCTTCAATTAGCCGCTTCATCAAAGGAAGGTATATAATGTTGAAAAATTGATACATCTGTCCAGTGAAAAGTCCACGACAAACGTCGCACCATCAAAAACAAGCTTGAGGATGAAAATGGGCCCAGGTACCGGACTCACCAGCTGAATTAATTGAGCTGTTGAGAACTAGCATCGCCACCATACGAAATGGCCAACAGAGCTTCTAGAATACACAAACCACCCTCCCGGGATTGATGTTTGTGGTTGCCCTTTTTAGGGTTATCCTATCAATTCTCGGTCTGGTTCAATCATGTTCAGCTGGCTAGCCTTGTACCTACTTTCATTCTGGCAACATAACATGAGAGTGACACACCTGGCTTTTTCGAGGAAAAACCATGCCAATTACCCACTGGAGTGAGATCGGTCGGAAGGATTGTTCTTCGAAACTACTGGCGGTTTACGTGAAGTAGTCGGCGTTTCCGGGCTCGCTCGCCGGTTCCGCCTTGAGCTTAACTGTGAAATTTTGTTGGTATCAAGTGAAGCGTTGCAAGACACTGAGCGTTTGTTTGTTCTAGATCGTGTATTGATTCTGGAATTTCGAAGCGGTGGTTGTCGATCTTCATCCAGGATTCTACAGCACAATGGCAAAGTAGATAGAGATAGTTCCGCATCCTCATCTTCTCCTGGTAAGTCTCTTGTTGCATGAGGCACCGGACTCTGAGGCGCACTAGCGGGCCCAAACGTAGAGCGGATTCGCTTCCTCGATTGGAATGATGTAGAATCTGTAGGATCTGGAGAATCTCGCGTGGCACGCTTTCTAACGTTTGAGGTACCATTTGGTTGAGAAGCGAGACGAGAAGGTTCTCGAGGTTCCTTTCTATTTCTGGGGCTCTGGGGTACGGAGCCGGGTAGGTTAGATGCATTTCCATCTGTGAAAGCATCTCCGTTGGAGCCTACCGTCGTCCTAGAAGTTAACGAAGGCTCAGCCTCCCCTGTTGGTTCCGGGGAGGCGGAAGGGACTTCGACAAAACCAAACCCATCTGAGCGGTACTTGTAGCGAACACGGCGACCAAGCCGGCTGTCACTTTCTTCAGCATTGTTAAGCACAGATTCGTCGGCGGGAGGGCTGTCTGGTTGCTCAGAATCTTCATCGTCTGGCTCTTCGTGAATCCAAGTCATCCCAGGCATATCGCCCCACTGTGGATTCCAAATCTTTTGCGCGAGCCAGTGATTCTTGACATTCTCGTAGGCTTTGGTGTTGATGTCACTGGGTTCGATATCTAGTTCGTCTTCTAACCATTCGCGCTCCTTGGATATCTGGAAAAGAAACTGATAGTATGGACGCGAGGGCTTAGTTTCACGTTTATGGGCAGTCATGCACTCCGCACTAAGAATATTCCATCGTTGGTTCGGTGGGTCTAGCGTAGGTCCCGAACGAAGTGGGCGTTGGATGTCAGCCTCATGTTCTGGTTCAAGCTCTGGCTCAGGGGACTCCTCATGTTCCCAGCGGCGTGGCCCAAAAGGCTGAGCTTTCCATCTACCACTCCATATCCCTTGCTCTTTCCATCGGTTGGTGACATTCTCGAGTGCATTCTCGGCGAAAGTAAGCTCCATCTTAAATGGCAGTGTATCTTTTCGTCCTCTCATCCGCCTCAGGCACTGGTCTATCAGACGTTCCTCCTCTATCCTTCGCTGGTAAGCGAACTGAGGTTCTGGCATTGAGTTAAGCCTTTCCTTCTTGCGTCGCTCCCGCTCCCTTCGTCGATCAGCTTCAGTGAGCGGGTGAGGCGGACTGGGTGGTTGTGTCGTCTCTCCCGACGCGTATGGCGGTGGGGGGTCGTTCAACGCGGATCGCTCGCGGGTGAGAAGCTCCGGGTTGTCCTGTAACCTCTGAAGGGCGTCAATGACTTCCGCTAACGTAAGGGGCCCAAGGCCATTAACTTGAGTGACCATGATCGCAAAAACCAGGATGATAGGTTTGATTTCAAAAGTGTTGGCCAGAATATCGCGAATGAGGTAAATGGAAAGCCGCATAGAGTCAGCATGAAGGTACGAGTGGGAAATTAATTTCGAAGCGTGAAGTTTGGAGTGTTGTGGTCGAGCGGTTGTTGGCAGTTGTTGTCATGGTTCGTCGGGCATTTGCCTGGCTGGTGGAGGGGAATATCCTTCTAAGATATTTATTTGGTATGTTAACTATTTACCATAACTAACTACAGAGTAGTTACTCTGTAACTATGTACTCCGTACGGAGTACTGTACCTCAGCTTCCCTTATTCTATTGTTGGTGGGCAAATCTATCAATCACAATCTCAACAATAAGGATGGATATTGTGTATGTAGTATATACTCTGTACTCACTCATAGTGACTATTCTAGCCCATTTATTAGGTCTTGGGAATCAGGAAGAACTCATTCAAATGTAGGATTATACTGACTATACTGATCAACCTGGGTAAAAATCCTTTCAGTGTAACTACAGTAACTCTTGTAAATATGGAGTAAATAGTTGGTTATCTCTGCATTATTATTATTATCATTTTTATTATGATTATTGACAACAGCAACCACATACAGATACATTCATGAGCTGTTGAAACCTACTTAGATAGTTCAATATGATTATAAAAAAAAGATTTGAACATGATGAGAATCAAAGATCTCATGTCACTATCATCTAAAATCTAAATACATGCACAGTATACTGTTTATAGACTGATTTCTTCATATAATATTTGTATAAAATACTAGCTATATTTGTAAAATATAAGTATTTTTTTAGTTAATTATTCTAGAGAGTATCTACTCTATATTTCTTATCTTCAATATAAATATGTATGCTGAATATGAAGCTATACAGAGTAGTGTCTACTCTGTAAATGTATGTATGTAGTTCTAAACCATGCTCTTCTTTTTCTAACTATAGTCAAACAGCACCCAGACTGCTTGGATATTGGTGCCCTGTTGATCTGGGGATGAATCACAGCTGCACAGGTGCTGCATGGGTGCCCAATGTTTCCCCTTTATGGATCCCGATCTTGCTTGGGTGCAAAACACAGCACTGTCAAAGCGTGCAAGGCTGCCTTGCCTGCCCGCCTGTCTTTGAAGGACAAACAATCATGGAAAATCTGCTTGACTGAGTATTAAAGGGACCTCTTATGTGCCCTCCTCCAGAGATGTTCCCTTGAATCATGTCCTCCCCCGGCCACTTGCTGTTCGCACCAAGTACAATCCTCATCAGATTTTGCCATTCATAGACAAACTATGCCTGCTCCGCCCTGTGCAGTTCCTCATCCTCAGGCTATATTTTCTCTCTTACCTTTAAACGAAAATGCGCACGCTGTCATTCAGAATCCATCCAACTATCATCTTCTTTCCAGTCATGTTGACAGTATGCATAGGCAGCACCATATGCTAAATGTTGGCTTCCAGATTGGCTCAGCTGCACGATATACGTTGGCCACTCTAGGGCGCAATGGCGACATCGTCGTGGATGGGCCAAGTATCTCCCGAATTCAATGCTCATTTGAAATTCTCCCGGAGTATGATGTCGTGATGCTTTACGATGAGTCAACATCTCAAGCCACCCAGGTTTTTGGTGACGAAGCTACGCCGTTCAGGCCTGGATGCAAGCGTAAGGTCGTCGTTGGCGAACGGTTCAACAAGATCATCGGCATGGGTGGTATCGGCTGCGATCAAGTTCAATTCGAAATGGTATGGCATCGGGCTAATTTCAAAGGGGAAGAAGAAGCGAAGAATCGAATAGAAAGCGCTCTACAGGCTCGAACTATGGACAACGTACCTACAGTTGTACCCTCGGAAATCCCTACCCCAAACCAATGGCCTACCATACAACAACCGACAATTCGGTATAAAGTATTGTCTGTTATTGGTCAGGGAAGTTTTGGCGTAGTTTATAAGGCTGTCAATGTCGACTCGGGAAGAACTATGGCAGCCAAAACCATTCCGCAACCTCAAGGTGGATTCCAATCCCAGCAAAAAGATCGATTGGAGCGAGAGATTATGGCACTCTCTAGGAGTTCTCATGTTAGTGAATCCTTCGTACTCTGCCATGCATCTTGCCTAGCTGATATCAACAGCGAAACATCGTTGAATATATCCACTGGTATTCCTCCTCGCACGAACTGTGGATATTCACCGCCTTGAAAGCAGGAGGAGTGGATAATTTAATTGATCAAAAATACTTTGATCAAAATCCCGGTGGAGTTAATGAGCTTCTTGGTCAGATGCTCCAGGCCCTTGACTATCTCGCCTACAACAGAGTTATCCATCGCGATGTTAAACCAGCCAACATCCTTTACACACCACTTGAATCTGCTCAGTCTCACTTTCTATATCAACTCACGGATTTTGGACTATGCAATTCCACTGATGCCGCCAGATCATGGACTATGCAATTCCACTGATGCCGCCAGATCAAATGTTGGGTCGCCCATGTATCAGGCCCCGGAGGTGCAATAGCCGGGAGGGGACATGCAAACATGCAAAGTAGACGTATGGTCTCTCTTCGTCACAGTGGCGGTCGCGCTGAATGTGAACCAATACGGGAGCAAAATGCTCAGCTCACACGCCGAATGCGTTGCTTTCGCTTTGCAGACCGCAAGTGCCCCTGAGTTGCAAACGATCAAAGACATGACTGAAATAGACCCCTCTAAGCGTCCATCCGCAGCGCAGATGCTTGTAAAATGTTATAATGGGAGGGGTCTTACAACGCCACGTAACGAGGTCCCTAATTATCCTAAGGAAAGTTTGCCCATGCCCTTCCACACGGGCTTCCCGAACCCACAGCCGGGATGGCCCCCGTCTGGTCTGGCATATCCCTCGCCTCCTGCCGTGCCCAACGAACATTGGATGGGTGCCCACACGTATGATGGACCCCAATTTCCCCAACGGCAAACTAGGGCGCCTAATCGAACCACAAGCGCGTTGGGCGCTCGAAGGCGGCCCCATCCGCCAACCGATAGCAAGCGAGAACCAACACAGCACGGATTCCCCAGCATGTTTGAGTGGAGACAGTGAATGCCCCGTACGTCCCGACTTGATTATCATTGTACTATATCGGTTAATTATTTATCACCTCAATAATTCGGTCACCGTCTTTCCTCCCAAAACACCACCCTGACCTCTCTCCCTTTGGACTTAGAACCTTCCCTTTTTCAACGAATATGAAAGGACGCAGCTAGCCTTCCCCCTTCCTCCCTCTCTCCGCCACTAGCGTCATCGAGTTGACACACCCAAAAGAGAGCTAGAGTTGTTGGGGCCGTTTTACCAAGCCGTTGCTGGTAATATCCATGGAACCGACCGTCAGGCAGACCGGCAGACTCCAGGACGGGACGCCTTTGCCGCCTTCCGTATCACAAAGCCCAGGCAGGGTATGGGAGGAGGCTGGTATAGCCGATCCCATGGGTGGGGTTTGAAACAGCTCTGTGAGATGTTAAACAGGGAATCAGAGATTAAGCCGCGGGTTTTTTCTATTTTCTTTGGGGTTTTTTTTTTTTTTTTTTTTTTTTTTTTTTTTTTTTTTTTTTTCCACCACGACGAATTTTGGTGAAGATTTATATATATTCAATGTATGTACAGTACATACGCATACCCCAATTTTCTGCCGTTGACGGCTCTTGGTATCATGGTGGACAACAACTGCCGGCAGAATGTTGGAAGATGAGCAGTGGGACAGTGGTTGATTGAGACGGACTCGTGGTGTTCCTATGAAAGACAATGAAATTTCGGAGCAGGTGGTAGCGAGAGATGTGTTGGCTAGGAGAGAGAGCATCAATGTGCAGTATGTGAGAGTGTATGAGATACACAGCTTCGCGCCCCGTCTTCTGGTGCGTGAACCCATACTCCCATTCCCCCCATTTCGGTTGTTAAATTCTTGGTTGTTACGGCCATGTCTTTACCGGGGTTCTGAGACTCGAATACTGAGGGGGAAAAAGAGAAAAGAAAATCTTCAAGACCTCTTGACGAAATACAATGAAAGTGTGCAAGATCACGTACGTACACAAAGAACTCACATAACATAACCTAACTCGCGTATATTGATTTCAGCAACAGTGGAATTAGCCAGGTTTATTTGGTGGAATTATCTATCCCTGCCATTATTCTCCCGCCAGGGGCCGTGGGGATAACAGCCAGCCAGCACCCTAATTTCCACCACCAATCATATCAGACCCCGGCCAAATGGCAAATGTCTTTCATACATGCAACCCCACACCTAAACTACCTGCACCACAACACTCGCGCCGCCTAAAGCTATGGGATACGAAACTTCATGCCTCCAGAGGAAACTCACTCTTATGGTTCCTTCAAACCATCAGGCATCCCAAAATCAAGAAGTGTGCTAGGTGGGTGGGTGCGGCATAGGGGTTGGGTTGGCCAGCCTTACTACACGACACTACTACTCCGTAGTGAAGCGAAAAAATCAGCGACTTCACGCCGTTCGAAAAAACGGAATTGACCAGAATAAAAGACTCGGTAAGGGTTCAAATCCTAAAAACCACAGAGTAAGTCTCTCTACGATGAGAAACATCTCCATGAACTGTTTGTGATAGCTGTTTCTTCCCACCCTCAATGCATTTTTGCATTCTACATCCCACCAACCCCACACCACCACCTGTGCTCTTTCAATTCACATAAACTTTTTTCTCTTCAGCTGGGATTTTACAAAGGCAAAACAAAGGAGGCCGTTCTAAGATTTGAACGGCCTTGTTCAAGCCCTGGGATATGAAAAGATCTCAGGGTAGTGAGTGAGTCTAACCGAGGGCTGATAAGGGCAGGGCGACGACGAACGCCCAAGAGCTTTATTGTCTTATGGAAACATGGCAGAAGATGATGCTATGGCTGAATTCTGACCTTCGTTGCTTTGGCAGGGTTGGGGAAGGACCCTTATGATAGAGAGCCACTGCGGGTATAATAGGCACTCATGGGCGCCTATAGGTATAGATGCCAGCCCTTCTTCTGGCCTGCTTGTTAACGTCACTACTTCCCTGAGTAGTGGTGGCCGTGACAATTAACTACTTGCATCATCTGTTCAAGCTACGGGGTGCAATCTCACTCTATCTCCATAGAGCTTCTCTTAAAATTTCTTTGCCAATTGATGATATTCTTACATATATTGAAGTGGCCGAAAATTGATAAAAAAAAAACATCAAAAAGCATAGCTTTGTCTGCCAAAGTCTCTTGAACTCAACTACTTTAACGAACCGCTACAGCTACCCTTCCATCTCACTAATCTGTTTCCCTTCACCATGCATCTCCGATATTAACCGCGGAGGCACCAGCGAATAACCAGTCCCTTGCTTCATGGAATCCTGTTCTTCAGCGAGCGGGCCCAGTCTCGTCTTCCGTCGTCTCCAGAAGAAGATCCACCCAGCCGCACCGAAAAGGACTACGCCAACTCCCACACCAACTCCAGCACCGATTGCGGTTGTTCTTGAACTCGAGCTCCCGCTCCCGCTCTCGCTCCCGCTACCAATATTACCCGAAGACGTCGATGCGGGTAGTCTGGTCCCCGATCTCGAAGCGGAGGTTCCAGTTCCAGTTTCTGTTTTAGTTTTCGTTTCGGTTCCGGTACTTGGCGCAGGCGTCGTAGTGGTACTGGTAGTGGGCGCGCTACTACTCCCCGTCGTCGTCGTCGTCGTTGTCGTCATCGTCGTGGGCGGCGGCGGCGGCGGCGGCGGCGTTTGGCCAGTCGTTGCCACGATGCTCTGTTCATCAAGCGTGAATCGCGAGGCCTTGGGGTCATCGCAGCAGTTCACTTGCGAGCAGCAATATTCATTTGAATCCTCGCCGCAGAGCATGACATATTCGCCGCCGCTGGGGTTGTCTGAGCTTCCGGGTAGAGGTTGAGTGATTCACCGTTTTAGTTATTCAGGATATTTTTCCCGAATACGCTTATTTTTTTAGGGCATATAGACAAAACGTCCCGCATTTGGGGCAATAGCGAACGGAAAAAATAAAAGAAGCGGGAAAACCGAAAGAAAATCTTTTTTAAAAAAGAGAATCAAAAATCAAAAACTGACTAGCAACACGATTCCTCGGACACCCCGGCGAAGCCCACGTCTTATCCGTACATGTCCCGCGTATAAGGACATCCGGTTTCTCCTTCGACGGCAAACAGAGCAGACCCGATGTGCAGAAGAAGCCCTCTTCGCAACATACGCTTACATCGGTGGTGCTGCTGCCGTTGCTGTGGCAGGGTAGGTCGTTGGAAATCGAGCCGTCGAGGGTGTAGCAGAGGGCGTTGGCGGTGGGCGTGATTGCTTGTAGGAGAGAGGTGGTGGTAAGTATGATTATGGTGGCCATGATTGGCAAGAGGGGGGTTCGTTCTCTTCTAGGGGGGGGGGGGGTATTGCGAGGATGCATTGCTTTGAGGGTAGGGGGTTGTAGGGTATATATAGATTTCTCTTTTGTTTAAAAAGAAAAGGGAGAAACAAAAGAAAAGAGAGAGAGGAAGTTGAAAGGAGGAACTTTTTCAAGGGAGGAAGAGAGAGAGAAGAAAGTAAACAAGATGTAGTTCCATATATCCAATCCCACAGCTCTCGATCACATCACAAAGCATAAGTTTAACCCTTTCCAGCATCTTCTCAGAGCTACCTACTAGGTAGAATGTTACCGTATCCATGTAGTTAAACTTATAAGTTAATGTACACTCATAAAAAGAAATAAAATAAAATAAAATTGTATATTAATAGAATAAAATAGCTATGGAGCACGGAGGTTTGCAGAACGTAGGTCCTTGCATACACTAGTAATTTAAGTAGTAAAGAGATTACATGCACATTACCATGCCCTCCTGAACTATTTAGAGGCGACTCCAGGCATCACTTCGCTCCATGAGCACTATTTGCCTAGTTATGTAAGGGGGGGTCCTAACTTCTAAGCCACATTGAAGGCTTCGGGCTGGAGCAATTTAACTCCGGTAGTTGCTGAAATTTCAACCTAAAATTTCTAGTAACTATGTGCATTTGTTTTTCATACAGGACGCCGTTCGCTCGTTGGAGTTATGGGGTGAGGTGGGAGCCAGGAACGGAACAGATAGGATAGGGCTACGCTACAGACTACTCCGTATGTATGTACGTAGTTAGACCACTTGAGCAAAGTGAACACAGAGTTACCCACATAAGTAACTAGGTAAATAAATATATATAATAATATACAAGCAGCAAAGTGAGTGTAAGCGAGCGTTTGATGCTTGCGCAGTCCCCCCCCCCCTCTACCTACCACTTAGGCCGCAGAGTAGGCCGCAGAGCAGATCATAGATTTGTGTAGTAGTAGGTGCCTGAGTGGCATTGCCTGGAGCAATCACTCCACCTGCAACATATGTAATATAATAACATAGCTAGCCTAGCTCTCAATAGAAGAGATCAATCATCTCACAATTTGATGAAGATGCATGTGAGTGCACAGCACATGAGTGCATGTGAAGAGATATTTTGCATGAAAAAGTTAGTTTTTCTATAATATATAGAGGGATTATTATTATTGACAGGCAGAAGAATTGAACTGAATATATCTGATGTGCTCAATACTGAGCTTGACAGTATGTAGAGCATATATGAAACAATGCATTGAATTACAGGCTACAGCTGTTCAAAACATGCTCAGTGAATGAGAATTGTCACATATTGAACAGTGACACATGTTATGAATGTAGAGATTAAAAATGAATGTAGAGATTAAAAATGAACATAGAGAAGAGTATAGAAAAATGTAAATACTGTAGAGAATATATGAAAAAAGCAGAATAAAAAAAGAATGAAGATTTGAAAATAAAATTAATATAAACTGTACAGACTGCAGAGAAGAGCTGAATATTTAAATAGATAGATCTGATAAGGTGCATGTGATATCATGTGATGTTAGTGTTTTTTGTATGGAAGGAAAAGTTGGTTTTTCCATAATAAAAGAGAGAGAAAAGAGAGAGATATAGATATATAATCTCCCGCCTGGGGGCCTTGCTTGCTGAGGTTGTCAGAGCCATGACAATTTCCACATTAGCAGAGTAGTTACTGCTTTGCTACTTTTAACTTACACCTTCAACTAACTTAGTAGACAGGACAGGACAGAACGAGACAGAAACAAATCAAACAAGACAAACCAAAATATAAGTTAAATCACCACAACAAAAAAAAAAAAAAGAAGAAAAAAAAAAAAAGAAATCACGAAGCCAAGCCAACCCTCCTCTTCCATTTCTTCTCATGCCCAAATTGATGCGATGATGATGCCTTCTTCAATTTCCCCTTCCCACCACCACCATTACCACCGGAACTAGATCCAGAATTCGACCACGACCCCCGCCCACGCCCAAGCCCAAGCCCAATCCCAAACCCTATCCCCATGCCCAATTTTCCAGAATTCAACTTCTTGTCCATGCCGTCCTTGAATTTCTTCCAGCTGCGTTCGCGCTCCTCCCAGTCGGCCATCTGCGCTAGCATGAAGTCCCATGTCTTGGATTCCTGGGCGCAGAGGGCATCGTCGTCTATGTATTGTCTTGTTGGCCTTGTTGTTGTGGTGATTGTGGAAGAGGTGGTGGGTGGGGTTGTCCTGTTTCCGGTCGTGGCTTGGCGCTCGGATGGTGGCGGTGGTGGTGGTGGTGGTGGCTGTTCTTGTTCTTCTTGTTGTTCTTGTTCTTGTGGCTGTGCTTGCGGTTGCGGTTGTTGAGGAGCGCGCCTATCAAGTTCTGACTCTGTGGTGGGCGTAGTGGACGCATTGGGGGCAGTCGAGGGTCTAGGGTTCTCTTCTTGCGGAGGCGTAGAGGTAGGGGTAGCTGACTCTGCGGCAGTGATGAGAGAGCTATATTGGTGCATAGCACGTCCCGCCGAGGCCGGTTGGTGAGGGCGACCAGTGGCCAGGGAGACATTTTGCGCCCCGACACTATAGTTCTCCTGCTGCTGGTAAGTTATATAGAGGCGCTGTGAGCGGAACATTGCTGCCGCAGCTTCGCCCACTAGATCAGGGTCTTCGTGGGGGGAAACGGGCAGCTGAGCAGCAAGGTCGGTCTGGCTGGACGCCACTCCCGCGATATTTCCAGAATCCATCTGCTGAGGCGAGTGGGGACGGGGATGCACGACGCTCTCTTCGTGCAAACTGGCTAGAATGCTGGTCGATGAACTCCGGTGACTAGAGCCCGCCATGCCTGCCCAGAGAAGAGATGAGGAGCGCGGCGGAGCGGAGGTTGCCTCGGGTTCATTCACACCATTCCTGGTCTCAGATACCCCCCGCAACAGGGGGGGGAATATATGTCTGGTCATATTGTCACAGCGAGAAGCCTCCGACGCTCTCCGCTTTGCGACATTGTGATAATGGCGTGACTGCAACCCGCCCGCTACGGGCACCCAGTCTGAAACATTGTAGAGAGAGTGCAGGTGGGAATTTGTCATATTGTTCGATCGACGCCGGTCGTCATTGGAAGACGACGTCGCCGCTACGCCCCCGAATCCCGGTGCATTTTGCTGGGAGGAGAGGATTCCGGATCCGGATGGGGCATTGGAGGAGCTCTGGTTTCTTCCCACATCGCTGACATTGGGTAATGCCCCGGACTCACTCCCTCTGTTCTGTGTTGGATGGGACCCAGAATAGTACGACGGGACCGCAGAGACGTACGAAGGGGCGTTAGAATGGATAGAGGAGGTTTCGGGGTCAAAAGTCCCTGTTTGTCGAGGGGTGTAAGGGGGTAGCGGTTCCGGGTATGGATGAAGCAAAGATCGAGCAGGAAGAAAGGCCATGCCGTGAGTTCCGGCAGGCTAATCTGTAGATTTCCGCTGGCAGACTATCTAGATAGGAGGTCTAATTAATTTGCCTTTTGCCTTGCACACTTTAGAGATATGTAGTGGGAAGGGGGTGTAGGAATGTCCTCGAGATTTCGTCTCTAGACTCGAAAAGCAGCCCTTTTTTTTTGTGTGTTTCAGTTTCAGCAGGAGTATTTGGTAAATAAATACCCGAAAATAGCACCCAAAACAGCCAGGTCAACAACGACGATTCCTGTTTCGCACCACCCCACAAGTAGCATAGAGTAGTTGTTGGTCTGATGGTTGCAAGTCACCATGCGACTGGCAATGGCGTAGGTAAATGCGCTCAAGGGCTCAAGGGCTGAAGGGCTGAATGAGGATGAGGAGTAGTGAGAATGGTGGCAGTGCGGGGAGGGAGGGAGGCGAGGGAGGGTTTTTCGAAGTAAACAGTGAGGTCATGCCATGCCGAGCCAAGTCAACCGATATTTGTTACATGTACCCTGGGGAAGGAAAACGTGGATGGGGCGTTAGTGCGAGAGTTTATATATATATATATATATATATATATGCAGAGGAAAAAAAAAGGTGAGACGATTAGAGAAGAAAACCAGTGAGTTTGTATAAAAAAATATATATATATATATATATATATATAATGGCAGGGCGGGGGGTTACCTTGCGTTGTCTAACGACACACAACCAGCCGGGATAAATAAAGGAATAACTACATAATAACATAATAAATGCAACCCAGATCACACATACGTATGGCAGTCTGCAAGGAGAACAAAGAGGATGAGGATGAGGATGAGGATGGGGTTGGTTTGGCAGTGGCTGATCTTACGGTGATTAATTATTACCTAGAGACTCTCTCTCTCTTCTATTCTACTGCGAAAAAATGCATCCATTTGCGTGTTTTTAATCAGCCCACATCATTTGGATGGGATGGAACTGGGTATAATATCCACGTTCTTGTTCTCCCCAATTCTGGCTCGGATAAACGGCCAACCGGGCCAGGTCCAAGTTGTCTTCTTCTTACCTAGGTTAGTTATGTGCAACCAACCACTTTTCTCTTTTCTATTGATGTAGAAAAAGGATTCCTCCTGTTTTTATAGTAGTAGTTAGTACACATTAACATACATCTTGGAGCCATTCAGCCTCATATCAGGGACCAGAATCCCCTTTTCTCTTCTTCTTCTTCTTCTTCTTCTTCTTCCTTTCTCCAAGCTGTACGTACATGCGGGCAGTTGCCTCGTCTGTACATTGTAGTTAACGCATATACTCTGTACATACATTTGAGATCCGGCTCTCAACTTCATTAACTTAGTTACTCCGTCCCATTGCAGGTAGTTACTGTATATAAAATTCCAAAAAATAAAAATAAATAAAATAAATAAAAATAAATAAATAAAAAATATCCCCGCCCTGTCCCTTCTGCCCCCGCAATACAATACCTGCTGAACACCCCCTTCACCAAACCTTATAACAAACACAAGCCTTCTTTCAAGCCACAATTGTGGAATATTGTTTAGTTCCAGGCTAGTACGTGTATGTACTGCAACTACATAACTAACTTAGTTATCTAGAATCATTATTAAATAAATTCTACGGCGTTCAACCAGTCCGATAAGGTAGTTAACTAATAACCATCACATAAGTTCCGTTTCAGAAAAAGAATTTGAAAGGAAAAAAAGCGCCTTAGGAATGAGGGGGCCACTACCTATCTATCCCCTGCCTCTCTACGGACAACCGATTGCAGTTGATATGTAATGTATGTACTGTACATACAAGTACTCATTGCACGGGGGGATGGATTGGAACTCTAATAGTGATGATATTCAATAATTACTGCTTGCACAAGTGCAGTTAACTATGGGACATAGGAAATAATCCAGTAACCCAGAGAAGTAGAGAGGAAAAAAAAAAAGAAAAAAGAAAAAAAGAAAAAAAAAGAAAAAAAAGAAAAAAAGAAAAAAGTAATGAAAGATTCATCAAGTTAAGTTTATTACCTTCTAAGGGCTATCTTAATGTTTAATAGTTAATACAAATCATTAAAACACTAGAAATTTCGAATTTCTAACTTGGGTAACATAAAAGCTTGCTTTAAAAAAAAAATAAAAAAATAAGAAATAAGAAACCCATTTCGCTTCCCAGTGCTCCTGCTCCCTATCCCTGGCCCTAGTTATCCCTAGCCCTTCCCTTGTCATGTCAATGTCATGTCATGTCATGTATGTCATTGTTTTGCCGAAAAAAGAACACCATTCCCCAATAGATAGCACATTACCAGCGTGCCTTTTTTTTTGCCTTTTTGTTTTACGGAGGCGGGGGGGGGGGGGAAATCGATCGTAGAATGAAAACTGGTATAAGAATAAATGAAAGGAAAAAAAAAAAAAAAAAAAAAAAAACAAGAGAAGAAATGGAAAGAAAGAAGAAGAGAGGCCTTCTAGACGGAGAAGAGGTCAGTCAGTCTAGGACTATTATTTCGTCTCCTTCTGAACCCTGTCAACCTTCTCCAGTACGTGGGGGTACAGCGGATGATCCTTCTCCAGGCCCGTGAGCTTCGTCGTCGCATCCGCGGCAGACATCTCCTTCAGGATCCTGAAGAGCTCAAAGCTCTCCTCGTCGTCCGGCACATTCTGGAACTTCAGCGCCTGCTCGACCGCGTTCATCAGCGCCGTGACGCTCTGGCCGCGCTCAGCGAGCTGTGCAGCGGGTCCGATGAAGCGTTCCTTGCGCGATAGTTTGCGGAGGGGCGCGCGGCCGACGCGCTGCACGATGTCCTCGAGGTAGGGGTTGGAGATGCGGGCGATGATCGTCTTGACGTACTCTGCCTGTTCCTGGGCGGGGATGCCGTGTTTCTCGATGATGAGTTTTGAGGTCTCTGCGAGGGCGGCGTTGACTTCGCTGCGGATCTTGGGGTCATTTAGGGCATCGTTGATCGTCTTCTTGCCGGTGGAGTAGCCGTAGTAGGCGGCGGTAGCGTGGCCAGTGTTGACGGTGAACAGCTTGCGTTCGATGTATGGTTCTAAATCATCCACCCAGTGGATAGCCTTGATATCTGGGTGTCCGACGTCACCGAAGGGGGTCTTCTCCACGACCCACTCGTAGAACTTCTCGATTTTGACGTCGAGGCCGGCATCAGCATCCTGGGTGGGCACGATGCGGTCGATGGCGGAGTTGGCGAACTGGGCACGACTGTACAGCGACGCACGACGGGATTCTTCAGTGTTCTCCTTGACGAAGCCGTGCAGGGTGTCTGTGGCTCCAATTGCGTTTTCACAGGCAATGACAGCTAATGGTTTAGACCCTGTTCGAGCATCGATTCCCTTGGCGATCGGTGGGGCGATGAACTTCAGGATGTTAGGACCAACGGCGCAGGTGACGACATCAGCGGTGGATATCTCCTTAATGACGTCGTCCAGGTTGTGTTTAGAGTTTATGGCGCGGTAGTTGGTGATGACTTTTTTCTGTTCTCCTTGTTCGCTGATCTCTGTGACGATATAGGATGACGTCTTTTGGAGGGAATCGATGATACTATCCATCACGTCGACGAAGACGACTTCATAGCCAGACTCGTAGAGAAACTCAGCCACGAAGCCACGACCAATATTGCCGCCACCAAAATGAACAGCCTTCTTTCCCATGGTTGAGGGAGGAGAGAGAGGGGGGTCAGTGGAAATGTGCTTTATTAATTGTGTTGTAGTTTGTAGGGTTGGCGGGGTAGAGTATAAAGGGGTTGGTTCCCTTGTATCTAGATATCAGGAGAGAGGTTACAACAGTGTGGGTGAGTAGCTAGAGTGGACAAGAAGAGGAGATCTAAGAGAATCTAGGGAGAGAAGATATCAAGAAGAGCTGAGGGTGAGTTGGTTGAACAGGAGGAGGGAAGAGATTGAAGGTTGTGTGGAAAGGGAGGATAAAGGGAGGAAAAAGGGAGGAAAAAGGGAGGAAAAAGGGGAGAGAAATGGCAGCTGAGATTGGGCGGATGCTGTGCTCTATTTATGATTCTACGGATTGGTTCTACTCACCGTTTTGGCGGGGGTCCGGGACTGAGCAAATCTATGATTATGATTATGATTATTATTATGATTATTATTATTGAAATATGGCCACAACAAAATGAGCGCGCATCGTTAGTTAGTTACCTTGTTCTGAACTACATTTGCGAGAGGGAACTAGCTAGAGAACTGGAGCAACAATCGTCACAGGGAATCTACCCGTCGCGCAGAACGCAATGCAAGTCGTCGGCTAGATTTTACCTAGGCCCCCTTGAACCCAATCATCATTTGGGGCGCATCCAAATAATATTTTTAATTTGCAATCCAATGAATGAATGAAACCCAGGCGATTCACAGCAAACCAATTGACCCCGCCCTCGAAACCCTCCCTCTCGAAACCCTCCCTCGAAGCCCGCCAAAATTAAGTAGTAGTTACACGGGAGATACACCGAAACCGGCCCATTGTGGTATGGCGAGAGGGGTACCTGACAAGTCCCCGCCCAGCAACGACGTCATCGGGCCGCCTCCCCTCCCACTATCCTGAAACCGGTTTAGCCCGCGCGGAGGCTGAAAGCAAAACTTCTACTTCTAATGTAACTTACTACGTAACTATCTCGGCCATGATTCTTCAAACTCGATGAGATCAATAATATCAGTGAAAGCGGGTAACGTCTTTCTCCCCCCCCCCCCCCCCCCAAAGGAAGCTATATGTTAGTCCAACAGCCGTAGTTGTTATCAACAACCGCCCTGGCCAGACCCGGATAATCGCTGAACACGTCGTCAGTCCTCTCCGTTTGCATACATTTAACAGGCATTGGCATGGCATTATTTACCCAAAGGGTCCAAGGGTCGGAAAGGCCTCGTCTCAGATCCTCTGCTACTAGGCGACTTCCAATCATTTATTATTATTATTATTATTATTAGTTAACTTACCCTCTGACGGAACAAACTAGCCAAGGGTCCTCGGGCTCGATGGAGGTGGCGTTACGCCATCTCAAGGCTAGAGAACAATCATGTCTGTCCAGGAAATTATTTGTCGCAAATTTTTCACTGGTAGGTATAATACAGTAAGGCACTATTTTATTTTATTTTATTTTATTTTCAATGAGAAGAAAGGAACCTCTTTTCTTATTATAACCCTTCACCGGATATAAAAATTCAGTATTGCGGATATTGAAGAAAAAGGATAGTTTATTGGCCCAATTGAACATGCAGTTTGCTTTCACGGCTATTGGCTTGCAACATCAAGAAACACAAAATGAAGAACGAAAATCCGCAAGATTTTTTTTTTTTTTTTTTCTTTAGAAAGAATGTGCCCTCGCAATCATGGGCACAAAAATGACAAGACAGACAGACCTCCCGAGCGCCAGGGGTGGTCAACAGGGGGGGGGGCTTTGCTTGGAAGTGCAATGCACCACCATCAGCCCAACTGCTGCCCGAAAATATTATCCCATTTTAGGTTCGGTTGGTTATTCTCTTGAAGAGGGTTTCGCGTCCGACTTATCTAGACAGCTAGCTAGTATTATTATTGCTGAGGGAATAATGGCAGTATTTTTTGAAAAGGAGGATTCAACGGAACTACAATTAGCCCCGGATAACATCACGCCGGCTGGCTCGAGGAGGAGGAGATGGGTTCAATATCAATTATATTATATACTTGCCGCTGCTTTCTAGATAAACCCGGCAGTAAGCCATTATTATTGCAATTATCTATCTATTCTGCTGGCCGATCACATGCCTGGTATCAGAAGTGGTATTGAAGTGGTAGGGAAAACCGAAGACATTTTTGCCTGTGAAGAATTGATGACGAGGGAGACGATAAAAATAAAAAGCTGATGATGTTCCACGGATATTGGCGCCGTTCCATTTTAGCTCCAATCTGGGTCATCAACTCAGCGCTTTTTGTTGAACTTATTATTATTACTGTATGTATGTATGTGTGTATGTATGTGCTCTGTTAGATGCGCTTTTTTTCTTTTTTTGGACAGTTCTTTCGGGTTGAACAACTTGCTAAGTAAGGCTCGACATGTGGAGTGATCCGTCATGCTTTTCTATCTTGTGTTCGGCTTTTCAAGGGCCCTTGGGTTGGTTTTCAATCCTGGCATCAAAATCGTCGTTCCCCCCCCCCCCCCCTCTTTTGCTGTAGTTAAATGGTGCGACGACAGCGCCGAAGTATGCCAAAATGGGTCCAGGTTTATCGTTGATCTCGACGACTGACGACTGTTAACAGGAAAGGGGATAAAAAAAATAAAAATAAAAAAGGTCCACTCCCACTGATTTACTACATTTCTTCTATATATCTATGCACGAAGTAGCTGGCTATTCCGCTTTTCAACATTAATAACTATTATTCTATACGTTTGGTATATTCTCCGAAACTATCTACCAAAATGTCGACGCTCGCTTTTTTTTTTTTTCTTCTCAGGCTCCCTTGTGTTTTTCAACCCACCAGACATTTCTAATCGACAAACTATCAGAGCCCGCTATCTTAAGAAGTTGGAACCCGGGGAATTCAATGCCAAAACGAGGTCCAGGTCCAGGAGTAAGAAAGAAAGAAATTGATGCAAGCCCCCTTTTTCCTACCTTCGAAATACCTCTCTCAACTCCGACCCTTCTACGTCGTTGCTTTAGGTGTTGCGGCCGCAGGCTATGTATGCTCAGTAAACATGTTTCGGTTCAGTGATACAGGAAAATACTTTCTACCATGAGTCAGAACAGGCTTTATATTCTTAACCCAAGCTTCCTGGCTATGGGAGGGAGGTTTTATCAAAATGGACAAAACGAGAAGAAATCAAAAAGACGCCAGCCTTTATTCTCTGATGTAGTGCAGTAAAAGGAAAAGAAAAAAAAATTCACACCACAATCGCACAACTACAGACAATATATCGTACAAAAACATACCTAAAGAACGGTCATCCAAAGAACACGTGGCGCCTCATGAATAAATGGAATGGGAAGACAGGGGGGTATGATGTCTATATAGTACATGATCAATAGAAGGTATAAGAAAGAATGAGAACTTGATAGTGCTCCATGATAATTGTAGAAGAACAACCAGAGAGACGAAGCATGGATCTAAAATATACAGATGTAAGGTAATTAGCTGGATCGATCAAACAACGGACGCCACGCGAGACACGGAATCCATGAGGGGCGTCGAAAAAAATTAGAGGTATAGGTGTTGTAAAAGCGGAATTGCAGATGCCTCACAAGAAAATGCAGCAAGCGGATCTGATAAATGAAATCATTCGGCACAATTATATTGATAAAATGCTTTCCCCTCTATTTCTTTGGACTGAGAATGGCCTTCAGCTGTTGATTTTCAGTTGTCAGCGCGGTCCGCTCTTCAGCGCTGAGCGACTTTTCCTTAAGCGCCAGATCATGTAGTTGCTTGGCCTGTTTCAGGATATAAACTGACTCCTCAAAGGGAGGTAGATAGTGCCGAGAGAATGGCCAAGAGCCCTCAGCAACTCTCTCCGATGCAGCTTTGACCCTTGTCCCTTCATCATCCACGTCTTTGCCATGTTTAGAAAGCGTCGCGTAGGCAAGCAGTGATATGAGCTTGTCCACATGAGGCCGCAGAGCGGTAATTGCGTCTAATACCCTCTTCTTAAACACATGATCGGTAGTCTGCGGATCCGACATGCGTGACCGGACCGGAGTGGATTCCTGAACGCTTTCCTCCGAAATGCCATATCTGACAAGTTCCACGTACTTCGAGAGGATTTCAGGCTCCGGCTGCATGAGCGCCGTATCCATAATGCCGACCAGTTGGCCTGCTGTCTCGAGTACGTGCGGGTTCTTCCGATCGCGGGAACAACAACTTATCGCGATGACGAAGGTTTTGCGCGCAACCATGCCGGCTCGAGTTAGCATGGCTTTAATGACTCGAAGGGTTTCGGCACTGGAGCGAGCAATGCGCAGTAGGCGCAGATATTCGTGGAAGGAATGCGTGTCTGGCTTTATCGCGGACTGTGCAGGTCCCGATGTGAAATGTTCCCAGTACGCTCGACCAATGGCAATGCCGTTTGGCGTGGTTCGGGAAGCTGCTAGTACCAAGGATAATTCGTCGTTTGTGGGAATGGGGCGGGTGATTTTTGGGCGGCGGGAATTCCTATTCGCTTGAGAGGTTTTACGGATCTGCGCGAGGTCTACTGGGTTGAATAGTCCTTTAAACTCTTCGGCTTCTGATAATGGTTCGGGCTCTTCATTGAATTGTTCGGCTTCTTCGTCTGGAAATCCCGATTCTTCAGATACTGGTTCCGGCTCTTCGGGCAGCGGTTCCGGTTCCTCAGATATCTGTTTCGGTTCCTCGTTTAGAAGAGGGTCTGTTTCATCGCTGTCCATTGACACCTTCTCTGACTCTGGGCTGATTTCAGAAGTGGCTTCTTGTTGCTGTTCCGCCGGCTTCAGGTCGTCTTGCTCTGTATGTTTCGCTTGCTCTGTATGTTTCGCTTGCTCTCTGCTTCGGAGTGCTCCAAGCTGCGCCTCCACATCTTCAAGAAAAGGAACTTCCATCGTTTGGTGCAGCAGAGCAAACACGTCGAGGCAATCGCGTTTTCGTAGGCCAGAAACAAGCAAACGCCCCATCGCAGACACTAGAGGTTGGTCGACAACAAATGCTCCCATTTTCCATCGACGCACAACATCAGCCCATATTCTTTTCCCTTCCCGCACCGCTGCCGCTCTCTTCTCCGCAATCCCATCCGCTTGACTACGCGGATTAAACGCCTTAATTTCGTTGGCTGTACGGGTCTGGATGCCATTGAGTATAATCGTAAAAGTCCTAGAGTCTGGCGCGCCGTCACCACGTTCAGGAAGGGACCCAGCCACTTCCCACAGAGCATCCATATTACCATGTCTGGAACAAACGCCCAAAACGGCGTTGGCATGCAGGATAGAGGGTTTGACTCCGGAGCTGGGTGAGCACAAGCTTTTGTAAATCGAGCGTGCTATCTGTACTGCTTTATTTGAACTGCTGTGCGCTAAGCCTCGAAACATAATAGTGTAGGTGTATGTGTTAGGCTTCCGACCTCTTTTTTTCATCTGTATCCAGTATTATTAGTTTTCGGAATGTTTGACAAGAATGGAAACAGGGCATTTATTCTCACGTCGTTATAAAGCTTGAAAGCCGCAACCGGCTTATCATTTTTCATCTCATGGTCAAACAGCTCGTTCCAAGCAACCATACAATCATAGCCCCTCGACTGGGCCGTCCTCACCAATGTAACTGCCTTCTCAAAGTCCCCCTTTTTAAGTATCTGCTTCACTCGGTTTGACAGAGCAACCCGATCCCTTGCCCACTCCAATTCAATGTCGATTGCCTTCTTCGACACCGTTGGCCTCCATATTCTTTTCTCACCCGGTTGTAATTTCCCGTCAGCCCCTACCTTTGAGTCCTCGCCAAGATCTGCTGCAACGACCTCCTCATCTTTCACATTGGATTTCATGTAGCCGGTCTTCTTCCAGGATGGCGCACGGCGTGGAGCATCTGATCTTAATCGTGGGGCACGTTCCGCGCCACGCGGAGAACGTCTATCGGACCTCGAGGTAGAAATACTCCTCCTATATTCGGATCCATTCAGAGCAATATGTTTCGCCGGAAGCCCTCCTGGGAGTCTACTGAATAGAACGGAGACTCCATTGCCAGTCAATCTGGTAGCAAATGTGCTACGGGCACAGACATTGCTGCACCGAAGCATTTAAATCACGCCTCCTCCGGATTCTTTCCTCGGGGTAATAAAACTGTGCTGTTCTCTCGAGCTTCCGTAATAGAATCAACGGGGTTTAAATCTAAACTTGTTAGGGATCTCCGTGGATGGGCTGGTAGACGGGTACGAGGTGGGAAAACTTACCACAATTTAGTCCTTTTAATTTCAAGTTCCTCAACAGCCTACCCTATTATCATAAGGGAACATCAACTCAATTTTCTGTGGGTATGATAGAACCATCTTCTATCTGCTACGGCGCGAGTTAGTCGCGCTCAAAAATTATTTTCAGCGATCCGCCGGATGAACTAAATTCCGCTGAAACCACCTAATCCAATGAAGCCAGGGCAAGAGAACATCATACAGTATATTCAACGATCCCATTCTATGAGCTAATCTATATTGGTTTTTTTTTCCCCCGCTGGTAAATCCTGAAATACCTATATATATATAAGCGTATATTTCCTCAGCTACCTAGGCATCTGCTCACAAAGGGCCGCCAAACCTTATTATTCTACAATTTCCACATCTTGCACAATATGTATGCAACGAGCTGTTGGTATAATCACTTCCATCCATATGTCGCTTTCTAACATTATATTAGCCAAAAAGCCAGATCCGAAAGCTAAATGCCCCTCTATGCATTTGGTTCAAACGGCTCAGGCCAGTTAGGGATCGGCCACTTGGACGATGTTCCAGCTCCCACTCGGTGTCTCTTTGTACAAGAGAATAAAGAAAATCATTCAGACGGAATCGACATTCCCCTCGCATCAGATGAACCCACCCAAATCGCCGCTGGGGGGAACCATACTCTAGTGCTTTTCAAGTCCGGCGCCGTATATGCTGCTGGAACTAATCAGAACGGCAGATGTGCACATGATCCTGATAGACATTCCTCGTTACTACAATTCAGTAGAGTGGTATTTGTCAGAGAAGACGGGAGTTTCGTTAATCGCTTCAAGGCCATTTCGGCAACATGGGAAGCGTCCTTTTTCGTCGATGCAGAACGGGGTCATCTCTACGCCTGTGGAGTGGGCAATAAAGGTGAACTAGGGCTGGGGGCAAATTGCGTGCAGGCAAATAGTCCCACGCGGATTCGCGACTTTCCACCACCCGCGGCTGAAGTAATTTCTATCTCTAGCAGCCTTTCCCATACAGCGGCAACGCTATCGAATGGGGAAGTGTATGGATGGGGAATCTCGAGGAAAGGTCAGCTAGGTGAAGGGAATGTACAAAAGAAAATTCTGTGGGCACCGCAAAAGATCGAGGATATTTCATTCTTCGCTTGTCAGGTTGCCTGTGGAAGAGAATTTACAGTCATTGCTGGAAGTGCTGAGACGGGGGAGATTGCAATTTTTGGATCTGACAAGTGGAACATAATCTCTGGTGCACCGAAGGAGATTAAAAATTACGCCATGCTAGCAGCCAGTTGGCATGGTGTATATGTTCATGGACAGGATGGGTCTACCAGATCGTGGGGCAGAAATGATCGCGGCCAGTTACTTCCACCAAAGCTTCCACAGCCGACGAAGCTGGCAATAGGGAGTGAACATGTTGTTGCTATAATTGAGAGCGGGGAGGTAGTGGCATTCGGATGGGGTGAGCATGGCAACTGTGGACCAAACACCGATACACAGGGCAATGTGGCTGGGCGGTGGAATGAGATCCCGCTGAGCATTGAAGACAGCAGGACGGTCACCGGTGTAGGAGCAGGTTGCGCGACAAGTTGGATTATGACGGCCTGAATGCATATACCTCTCGTGGAAGGCTCGCATCAAGCATATTAACAGAGAAGGAGCCAAACGTGCCTTCTTGTCAATTTGCCGATCCCCATACGGAGCCCACCAATTCAGCTATCAGGTGGCTACTTTATGCAGGACGCAATATATAATTCAAACCACTTCTCCAGCAATGTCAATCGAATATCCCTCGTACCTATTCTAAAGTCAGTATCAGCATGCCAAAACATAAGGATATACATACCTGAGATATCCGTTGCGTCGGAGGTATTGCTACGGAGCTTTCCTGGTCCTGGGCACTTCGCTGTCTCATACTTGCCCCAGTGGGCGTGATATCCTGGATCCGCCCTCCAATGCTCGCCTGCAGCGCATCCTATAGAACTGAGTTAGGTTTGCCGATCGAAAAACGAAGAAGTAACTCCTGACATACCTGATCCATGTGTGTATCCCATCCAAGAGTGTCCTCCTCCTCATCACCATACTTCGGCTCATCCCATTGTTGGTCGTCGTCAACCGGGACGAACAATGATTCGAAGGGAACTGACGCATGTGGCGGGTGCGGCAGGACACTCGTCTGAGTTTCCTCTCTGGCTGCTGCTTGCGACGGTGGTTGGAGAGGGTGAGCTCTCGGGACAGATTCCGGAATCTCAGGTGGCGGAATGGCTGTAGGCTCTCTTGAATGGGCGGTAGTAGAGCGTGGATATGGCCGAGCAGATAACTCGCGATTCCTATTTCCAGATCCGGGCGACGTCTCTCCACTCTCCCCTCTCGTCATTAACGTGAACTCGCACGTCATCCCACCTACTTCGTACGACACCTGCATTGGCCGGCATGGACGGGTATATCGTGCCACTACCCTTGCACTCAATGAATGCGCGTGGACGACAATGGCCTTGAAGTCCTTGACGTTGATAGCGACATGGAGTTTATCCTCCACTGTGAAATGGTCAAAATCTTTGATGTCAATAGCTACCGACGTATGAACGGGTTGCTTGAGGATTTCTGCAGATAAAGGTTAGACATTTAGAGGCTAGAAGCAGTTTTCATGACCAATTAATGCACCCCCTTCCTTACCTTTTCCATCTGCAACTTTTGTAGTAAAGCTTGTGAACACCACTCGATTGTTTTCAGAGGATATATCCAACTGCTCAGCAGTATGACCAAAATGGTCAATAATTTCTCGCAGATACTTGGAATCTATGCCCCATTGGTTTTCGGTCTTAGATTTGTCGAAAAGAGCATGCTGAATTTCCGCAGCTTCGTAAGTTAATTTGTATGTCTTGACGACCCCTAAATGACGCACGTTAGCGTGCCAAACACAAAAAGGAATCAATGCCAAAAAAAAAATGGGTTGCGCCATACCATGCCTGCATATCATCTGGATGATAAATCTGCACTGGGTTTCGTCCGGACTGTATTGAAGCCGCATTTCACAACGTTCAACAGCAGTCTCTCGGTCTTTGAAGTCACTTGCTCGGGCCCTAAACACCGATAAGAGCGTCTGGATAAATTATTAGCAACTAGTAACACACGAGTGGCACAGGAGACCCCTACCCCCCCCCCCCCCCCCCCCCCCCAAAAAAAAAAAAAAAGTATCGTTCACGAACCTTTATGTATAGTTGACAGGTTAATTTATCTGCCGCACTTCTCCTCCCAGAGCCGGATGCAATGCGCCCCGAGCCAACAAACATATACTGTGAGAAAAATGTAGAGGCATCAAACTTGAAAGATGCATATGCTGACTTTGTCAGATTCAGTGCAGAGAACCGGAGCTGTCATGTTTCCGCTCCATTACTTTTCTGTCAGCCAGCCACAAATAAATAAACCTTCAAAATGTAGGAGGTATTGAAGAAGAAAACTCAGAAAATTGTCCATACGAAAGATTCTTCAGCTTCAATCGATACGTTCTCGTTAAATTTTGCAAGGCATATGAGCACATCATGCAGCTGAAGTAGAGCATCGGGGAGTAGCGTAAAGCTGAGCGAGGTCATGTTTTGGAGATTGGAGGGTGCTCTACTGGGGTGAACACTAGGAATGGCGAGGGAATAGGGACGCGATTTACGTGTCTGCTAGTCTTGAACTTCATCTGAGCTTGCCGGTATATTCTTTCTATCTATATTGCACGCGTTGTAGTCTGGAGACTTGCTAAAGTTAAACGTTAACTTAGGAAATTAGCTTAGGTAATCGATCAATCGATCGATGCTCGATGCTTGTGCTTTCTGGTCAAAAAGTAACTTCTAACTGGCGAATGAATGCATTTAATTACTCTCTTCTTCGAAGATTGCGCAATAATATAATGAAGTATTCAAAGTAGTATTTATTTAATAGCAATCCATTGATATGGCCCTACCGAACGTAGTATCTTCCTAATGGGCCCAGATAGGGGGTATATCGCTCAACTGAAAAATTGCGGACGTCTATCCGTTCTACATCTTTGATGACTATTCATTCTTACATGGTGTGGAGAGGAAGAGGAATCATATAGATAATCAGCCCTTGTAGTTAGTTGGATTAGTCTGTCCAAACCCAGCACCTGGCGGGATCGGCGATATTGAACAGCCATGTTGGCAACCAGCAAATTCTGAAAAGGAATTCAGATAGAGTGGAATAAATGAAGAATGGGAAGGAATTGGTTGAGAAGAGCTAAAACTTAATTGAAATTCGTCGAAAGAAGAGAAAAGAAAAACGGAGAGTGGGAGAGTGCGTAATGATAGATAATAATAATAGAGAAGTAGAGTAGGGAGGAGGGGAGAAGGAGAAAGAAGTAGGAGAAATGAGGATGTGGAATGTGGAATGTGGAGAGTGAGATGAATTAGACCAAATTGCACAAGATAGATATGCAGTAGATACATACATACACAAGAAGAAAAGACAATCAATCCTATAGAGAGAAAGAGGGAATTAAAGCTTTCAATACAAGAGATAGAACAAACATATTGCAAGGAACAAACTCCCACCAGTCACTTCAATTTCAACTGATCAAATACAAATGAGGAAAAAGAGAAAAAGGAGGAACCAAAGAAGGAAAATGCCATTATATACCCATATATCTATTCTCATACCTTCTTCTTTCCTTTTCCTTTTGACCTGCTTGCATTAGAAAAAATTTCCAATCAAGCATAAAATCCTTAAATACTGCAGCTTTGCCCTTTCTCCGTTCTTCAATTTTTTTTAATTTTTTTGGGCCTCTCTTTTCGACGCTCTCAGTCCTCACTCAGCCTTATATCATAACCCTTCTCTGGATTGGTAGATCTCTTCTTCTCCTTCCCAACTTTCTCCTCCTCTAATTTCGATTGAATCAAATAGTGGTCGTAGAGGCACAGGATGGAAGGAAACGGGATGTTACGCTATGTATAGTATGTACGACTGATAAAAGGGAAAGAGATCGAGAGGCGAAAAGAAATAAATTGTAGAAAGTATGCCTGGGTGTGATAAGATAGACACAAAGCCAGGTTTTATTTGGAAACACAAGAAAAAAGCATAGGAAGAAATTGATTTAGGTAGAGAGTGGGGAGCGTAATAGAGAAAGAAAAAATGTGTAGAGAATTTGGTATTTAGAAATAATGAGAATAAACGTAGCAGACATATAAGCTACGCGCATAACAATTTGCACTCGGTATGGTTGTATATGAGAATGGGGAGTTCGAGGTTGAGGAGCGAAGGGGAAAAATCCATACAATGTCAGAAAACCACATATAAACCAAAATAGCGAATGAGGCAACCAAGCATTCATAAGGGATGTGTAAAAAATTAAAAAAAAAAATGAAGAAAAACAGAACAAATGATAAGGTGCTATGGGGGGGGGGGGAGAGGTATGTATTGTATCTCGGGCGAGGCGGTGAGAAAATAAGGAACATGGAATGATGACAAGAAACCACAAGGGGAGGGTAACAATGTTTGTGTGAAATAGCAAGTGAAGAACAATAATGGTAAACTGGGGAATCGTGGAGGTAAAGCACAGCACACTAAGAAATTCCCCTCTCCTTCCACTCCCGCACACATGCGCACACTGGAAATGAAACCTTGACACAAACAGAGAAGGGAAAAAAAAAAAAAAAAAAAAAAAAAAAAAAAAGGCCGATCAAGACAACCCCCTCAAATATATGTAATAAAATGCCAATTTAAGTAAAAGAAGGGAGAGAGACGGAAAACCCCCCTTGATGCAGCAAGAGTGTGCGTGTCTCAAGCAAGTATGCAAGAAAATGTATGTCCGGAGAATTTTGTTCTTTTCCCCCTTTCTTCACCTTCCATTTGTTTACCTCCGCCTTTCCCTTTCTTTTTCCCTTTGCCCTTTTTCTTTTCCCCCCATCAAATCAAGCCCTATTGGTAGCTACTGGATTGATTTTCTGGGGCTACAGCATCAGCCGTCAGTACCACGCTGTGATACAAGATAGAAGAGAACAAAAAACGATTAATATTTATAGGGAATAAAAATGCAAATTTTGTTTCTTTCCCAATGCACGAACAAACACACACACACACACACACTAGAAGGAAAAAAGCCAACGACTTGTTGTTTCCAGCGTCCCCTTTTTTCAAAGCTTCTTTCTTTCTTTCATTTTGTCGGTTTGGAGGAGGATAGAATAAAACTTGAACAGAGAAGACTCCAGATGAGAGAGGGGGGCAGGGACGTGTGAACGATCACTCACGCGGTTGGTATACCTGGTTTCCCTGGCCATACGGGGAATGAGGGTAATTGGCTGGAGGATATGGCGCTGCCATCTGGCCATTGCTTGGGGGATATACCAGGCCAGCTCCAGCGGAAGCGCCGTACTGACCAGGGACCTGGCCGTCCGCAGGCTGATATCCAATGGGCGGTAGCTGAGGACGAATACCGCCAGGGTACGACGTTGACTGGGCCGCTTGTGAAGGGTCAGCCGGGGCGCTGCCATCGACCTGCTGGTTCGCCTGTGCGGCCGCACGCTCTCGCTCCTCAGCAGCCTTGCGTTGGTTCTCTTCTTCCTTCTTACGGGCCTTCCATTCCTTTCGGATTTCTTTGAATTCTAAATTGTTTGGGAAGACAAACCCCCAAAACGCGGGGTTGGGTGGTGATGTTAGCCAAGGTTGCAGATAAAGATAGAATGAACCAACCAGACGGGTTAGAGATAGCGCGGATGGTTCTTAGGGGTGTTGGGAAGTGTGGGCTATGGGTAGCGTCGTCTTGGCGTCGGGTATGGTTTTAGCTAACGGCGCCGTTGCGCGCTACTGCAAAGGTCTCCACGTGTGGTTTCCAGCACCCGTGGACCAGCGCAGTGTAACGCGACTAGCTCAATGCAAGGGCGAAGCTAACCACTTCAAGCATTTTGCGACCAAACAACAAACGGGAAAAAACACACAAGACCACGCGCGTCAGGGGAATAAAATAAGAGACGCGTTGTATAAATAGATAAAAACAACAAACCTTCTGGGGTTCTTTTCGCGCCATGCGATTGCATTGTGACGTGCGCATTAAGGTGGTTTAAGGTGCCATATGCCTTTTCGCATCCATTCCAGCCACACTTGTACATTCGCTCGATTTCTTCATATCGGCGGCGGGGGCGCTTGTGCTGCTGGGCACCGGGGATTGGGACGAAGGAGTATACCTGGGAGAGAGAATGAGTCTGTGTAGACAAATGGAATCAGATGATGTGTTCGATATTTTGCTTCGTTCGAAGGTAGTTCGTACGGCGCCACAAAACAGAGTCAAAGCAGTCACGCACGCGCACTGCAGATAAAGGGAAGCGGAAAAGAAGGGAAAGGCAATAAAAAACAAAAAGCATTCAAACCGTACCTGTCCTGGACGAGGGCCTGCGGTCGCAGCTGGAGACGCAGAACCCACCGTTGTGCCAGGCGAACTATATGGCCCTGGCAAGCCATGTGGATGCTGTCCATATTGATGTGGTGGCCAATCTGGACGGCCGTACATCTGTGGAGGAGGGTGACCCGGATATTGAGTCATTTCGTGACCCTGGGGATTATATGGGGAGTACGGAGGAGGATATGTGGGGCTCGATGCCGCAATTGAGGGATCTATAGGAACGGCGGTGTCAGATTTATTAATCGATGGAGCGCGCTGGTCACTCTGTTGTCCAGTTTGTAAGGGCAGAGACGGACTTGTTGCTTGAGCCATACCTGCCGCGCCGCCGGGCTGGGTATGAGGCGCGTGATGGTACTGTGGCTGACGGGTCAGGTATTCAGGATAAGGGCCAGGAGGAGGGCGAGCTGCGGGCGGAGGAGGGGCTTGAGGTTGAGGCTGCGCTTGCGCTTGATGCTGCTGTTGCTGTTGCTGTTGGGGTTGGGTTTGGGGAGGAGCGGGCGCCGGCGGGTTCAGACCGTAGTCCGGCTGGGGGGTATTGGAGGACGAAATGTTGGATGGTCGCCCTTCCGCTGGCGCAGTGTACTGAGTGGCGGGTCGGGCTTCGGGCTGCGAAGTGTACTGACCGGACGCAGCAGCAGCAGTCTGTTCTGCAGCCGGTCGTTCAGATTGTGGCTCCGCCAATGTTGGATTCGGAGAGTGCAAACCTGGCTGCGCGTAATCAGAGGCCGGCCTGTCCATATAATGACTTTCTTGCGTCTGAAAATGGTAAAGATCCCTTTCTATTTCCCCCCTACAAGCAATAAGTCCTAGTCTCTCTTGCGACTAGGCAGCGAAACACTAGATGTGCACTTTTGGGGGAACTGTTTCGCTTGGCGCAACTGGAAGGAAAAAAGGTTTCCTCACAAGAACAGCAATGAACTTCTGTACGTTACGTGCTAGTGAGAGCCAGTGAGGTGTGCCTGGCCACGAAACAATCCGCGTTATTAGCTGGAGAGGCGGAGGAGGGTTAGGGAGGATAACAAGGAACAAGCTGCGGGAAGCGCGTCGGGGTGGGACGGACGGAGGTAGCTCCTGTAGGAGGCCAAAAGCAACCGAATACAAGAAGACCCGAAGATTGCCTGTTTGCGTTTGGTGTAGTGGCCTTAGTCGTGATGAACTACTAAGAAAAAACCGGGGAGGGAGCTAGAGATAAAGATGACGGCGTATTTTGGAAAAGGAACGATTGAACGATGGGGGGTGAAGGTTTGCAAGTGTGTGTGGGTGTGTGTTCTCTGGGAAGTGTGGTTTTGTGCGAGTGCTTAATCGTCTTAGCCGGGACTTTAGGGGCTTCAAGCTGTACAGGCTTTAACCTTGACTGACACCACACGAGATCCGTAGGGTGCAGGCTTTGTCAAACCCAGAAGGATGAATGGTGCGAGGTACAGTAATAAGCAAAAATAAAAAGCCTCTAAATAAAGTACCAGGTGGCAGCACCGCAGCTCAGTAGGGGTTTCGGGAGTAAATAAGCGTGGTATCGTTTGGTAGAATCGCGGGGGCGATGGGAGACTACGCTGCGTACTACGAGCCGCTGGCTTGTGATGGGACAAGGAAGGTCGGTAGTGGCAGTAACTTAAAAGGCTGGTGCAGTGGTTTGGTGGTGGTTGAAGTGGATTGATGATTGGAGAGGTGTTGATGGGGGCTAGTCTGACCAAAAAGCTGCGTTGTTCCCAGTTTGACGGGAGGAGTTAAAGTAGTAGGTTGTCGTCTGAAGTAGTGCTGGAACGAAGGTTCGATCGTGGCAAAGCGCTTGGTTTTGATCTCGGTCCAGGACTGGTGGAGCGGGAGGTCCTTGGGGGAAAAAAAAAAAAAAAAAAAAAAAAAAAAAAAAAAAAAAACAAAAAAACAAAAAGAACGAGCCAGGTGGGAGAAACAATGCGACCTTGGGGCCCTCTGCTGCAGGATAGAATACCCGAGAAGCTGGGCGGAGTCGAGCTGGGAAATTTCCGGCGGACCAAGTAAAATGCGATAAAAAACAAGCAAATATGGTACTTCGAGTGGGTAAGCAGTTCCTCAACCCACAGCGAAAAAGTGGAGCCGGTATCAGGATTACCGGACAACAGACCGCGGTGTATTTTTCTCGTCGTTTTATTTTTTCTTGTCGCTCAGTGATAGGTTCCAGCAGCTGAGAACAGTGAGAGGCGGTCGGGTGGAGCTCGATAATATTTTAGTATTTTTAGACTGGTTGGAGACGGTGTCCCTAGGCAATCATAATAATGATGATTATTAATCCCCCTAAGTCAAGCCTACGCCCGTAGCGTGTAGTGGTGTCCTTGTTCCTGCCTCCCTGCTCCCCAAGTGTCCAGCAATCAAAAGAATAGTCCTCCTTCAACACCCAGAAAGAGCAGGAAATTCGTATCCGAGAGCAACAGAGGAGACACGTACGTTCCAGGATTTCCTGTCTCAGTTATCGCCACTCCCAGGAGTATCTCTGCTCCCTATTTCCCTCTTCCTTGTGATTTCCTCGAATTCGCAATCCTGGGCGTCTGAACCTTGTTCCCCAAATTTTCCAGGGGCCTGATAGGCCGAAGACGGGAGCGAGGGAGTTGTGTATTATTGGGGCCAAGAGGAGGGGTTGGTGGGCGTGCTGTGGTCCCGCTGCTTCTGCTTGTCAGGTGTCGGTACGGAGTACAAAAGGAATTATACAGGAGCGAGGGCGGGCGCCACCGATTTTCAAAGGGATACAAAATTGGGACAAAAAGATCCCCCCCAAAAGTTTAAAATAAAAATCAAAGGATGATGAGGATGGATTCCGAGCAGATAAATTATTTTTTAAGGGACCCACTCTCCGCCAATGTCAACCAGACGGATGTTGTCAAAATGTTACCACAATCTTCAGCAACAAACCGTGCGCAAAAAGTATTTTCTGTAGTTAATAAATAATGACTTGTACCAGCAATAAGCCAAATGATCTTGACCCGTTCCGGCAGTGGTGGTGGGAGGTGAGGGTGTGATTCCGGTTCCTCTTCTTGCTCTTTTGCTTCTCTCTTGGGTCGTGAAGCAAAGAAGCTTTTCCTCTCTGTCTGCTTCTGTTTTTCTTATTTTCTTGTTTATTGACTCCTGAAAGAATTTACGCGTTTCCACCCTGGTTGCGAAAACACCGGCCAAACGGCACGCGGAAGGGAAGGGGATTGGGGCAGAGCTTGAGAGAATAAGACAATCAGCCAGGTTTAAATCCATCGAATTCGTCGCCCAATGACCCCCAACCCTTCGCCATGATGGACTTTTTAGGGGTGAATTTGGGCGGAGATGTCTGAGTGATGGGATGGGGGTTGATGGGGTTGAATGCGGTTGGATCAGGGGGAGCCAAGGGGGTAAAGTACTTACCAAAAGCGTGGAACTAACTGTAATAGTCGCAAGCGCTGCTTTTTAGCAAGAATGGACTCGTGGCGATGCACCAGGGGCACAAGAAGGTTAGGGCCTTGTTCGCAGCCAAAAGCAGGACACTAAGAGCGCTTGGGAGGTTTGGAGCAAGTGTTGACTAGGATGAGAGGGGAAAGGCGCGGCAGACTAACGCGGAGTCTAAGCCCAGCTTTTGAAGCTAAGCGAGGCGACTGAGAGAGAGCGCTGTATTAGTCATGGCTGATTAAGGCGGGCACTCACCCACCTCACTGGCTGAAATCACTCATCATGTGTGTGGCGAGAGTTTAACAATGCTGGAAATATATTATTTTACAGGATATTGGTTGGGTTGCTTATTATTGATCTTACTTTGGTTTCATTCTTTCCATCATTACTAATCCGTATTATTCTCTTCGTTGGTTGTACGCGACGTCTGGCGTACGCTGTACCGTACGTACAACGTAGGCTTTTATACCTTGCTCTGTTGCCCCTTTTGGAGTTTCCGGGGATTTGAGTTTAGCCGTATCGTATTATACTCGGGCTGGTATTACCCGAGTATAAAATTACAAGCTACAATACGATTCTCCGCAGAAAAGATAAGTTGAATTTAGTTAAACCCCTGTTCCCTTCCCTATTATCAATGTTTATCTCGGTATAAAGTATGTTTACTTACTCTGTACGGACCACGATCAAGGGAGCTCTTCCCAGTGCTGGGATCTTCTCTCTTTTTTGAATGCTTAAGTGACGGTGAGCGGGGAAGAGGGAATGGAAGCACTACAGTACTCATAATGAGAGGAAATTGATGGCAATTCAGTCATGATTGTTCGCAGGAGAAGGGAGTGAGTTTGATTATTATTGATGTGACCATGTTCGTTCCTTGATTGCTCAGGGGTTGGGCCTTCCTTACTCCTATTTCTGGGCGAATTGACAAGGAGTTGAGCGCTTCTCAACTTCGAAGGAAAGTCGAAACGCGCTTCGCCGGCTCGACCAAAGATAGATAGATGGCTTGAAAAAAACTTTCTTTTTCTCAGCTTTCTCCTCGTTCTTCTTCTTTTTTGCCTCTTGGCGTTTCATTGCAGCAATATTAGTTGTTTTCTTATGCAGATCGACCCTGTATCATAATCTATATGAAGAGAATCAGATGATCAGCACGCATATCACCAAAACCTCAACTTCCAGCATTCCTCCAAAACGAAAAAAAGAAAATAACACTAATCTTTTGGGGAAATGAAGGCGGCTCAAAAAAAAAAAAAAAAAGAAAAAAGAAAAAAGAAAAAAGAAAAAAGAAGAAGAAAAACTGGGCACTTCGATTCAAAGAGCCTTCATGAGTCAAGGACATTGAAAAGCCCGTTCAATAGCGCATTCAACGTGTCATAAAATGCAACTCCAGAGAGGGCTCAAGAAAGAATCACACGTGGAAAATGAATAATAATTTGTCAAGAAAAGAAGAAGAAAACGGTGGCTTTTCCATGCTTTCTCACCTCACCTCACATGAATCCCTGATCGCCTGGCCAAGTGGTCATTCCACCACGATGGGGAAAAAAAAACAAAAAAGAAAAATGGCAGTGGAAAGCATTTCTGACTGGAATTTGGAATTGGTTTGTTCGCGTAATATTTCCGTATCCAGGTCAGAAAGAAACAAAATTCTTCTCCCCTGGGATAGCTTTGCCACATTCTTCTCATATGTAGTATTTTCAGTCTCAGGAGTTAACGACCTTTCAGGAGTTAACGACCAAGTTCGGTCATGGTTGAAAATAGCTTCTTGTTCTTGCAGCAAAAATAATGCTATGGTGCTGGTGTTGTGACCGGCGGCGGGCACCATGCCTAACAAGCTTCTCTAGCTTGATCTCAAAATCAAAATAGGAAAAGAATAGAGGAACAACGGACGATGGTGCGTGTTTCCCCTCCCTCCCCTTGACCTGGTGGGCGGTGGCCAGGAGAAATGGGCGACGGAACTTGGGCCCGCCCTTCTGATTCGAACGCTAACTGCGCTCTGTTTAATGATTTCAGACGCTAGAAGCTTATGGACGAAATTGGCCCTTGCCTCGACATGGGGCAAAATACGCCGGCGTCTTTCTCGTATTTTCCCTCACAAGTACCTATTTTGGATTTTTTTTTAGCTTTTCGTTTTATCATTTTCTCCTTCCTCTTTTCTACCGATTTGCTTTTTTTGCATTTGTTTATTTTGCCGATATCGCTTGGGGCGCCCATTCGGTAAAATGCCAGAGTTACAACAAGAGGCACTGCTGCTGCATGTCACCCCACTCATACGGGGGGTGGAAATGAAGAGCAGAAGTGCCGACATGCTCCGCAGTGACCCATGATTTGTTTGGAGAGGCTCACAAGGGCTGGAAGAATTGTGTTACCAACCACTGAGCATGATTCCATTCCATGGAGCAATCGTGGGACCATGTTGACAGGCGGAAGTGTCAAGCCTCAATTCTGGAAAGGACTTGGAAGGAAAGTCTTGGGGAACGGACAAGGGAATCGGGCAAAAAGCGAACAAAACTGACCCCCTTGTTCTGTGCAAACCAAACACGTTCAACTCCCAGCTTTTCTGATAAAGTTCACGGCGGTGTCTGTTTGGCAGGAGTAGCGGAAGTTTCTTGCTGCAGTCCATCTGAAGGTGAACCCATCTTCTCGGGATCTCGGCGAATGCTGACACTTCTGGCGGCCTAGTTGCTTTTTCCCCCTCCTTGTCAAATCATACCAAGCCGCCAGCTCAGCAATCCCCGTCGCTTTGGCCCCCTTCTCGTTATCAGCAAATGGCACCACCAGGTGAGGTGTCCTGTTCAGCGGCCCTACCAACACCCGCTGCCTCCTCTCCTGCAGTCTGCCCCCACGTCGCCAAGGGTCCCATCGTCGTGATGTTTTTGTAGCACCCTGTCGGAATTTGTTGTTCTTGAGCTCTCCGGCCGCCGTCCGTCAATTTGTTTAATTGATGTTCATCGGAAATGCTCAAGGGTGACTGTCAAAGGCGCCTCATACCATTATTGCCCAAGAGCTGACGGTTGACCGATCCTCTCGCATCGGTGTGGGAATCCCGGGTCTCGTCTCGGGTTTCGTTCCCCTGCCCCCACCCCCCGCATCCCCTCGATCGCCTGCTTTTTATTTTTGCCTAAAAAATGAAAATCGTATTCACGTGATAGACTTCAATCTCCCTTAGGGCCTAGTAGGCTAGAGGGTGAAAAGGCGACGGAGATGGGCAAGAGACCCGCATCATCTGTGCTGACAGTTTAAAAAGTGAGGCTCCGTCATCAAAGGCGCCGTGATTGGCTACGTTGCTTCATCATCTTTCTCCTCGCGTCTTGATGGACAAGCGGCCATGCTTCCCCGGAACTGCGGATGCAAACTTGCGAAGCAGTTCGTCCGCTCTGTTGACCAGAACAGCATAAACAGCATATCCCTTCATGATTTTTATTCTTTATGCATGGGGTGATGCTAAACTATCAGAGGCCTAGCAGGCAGCTTTACTATGCGTAGCCCTTCCCAGCATCTGGATCCAGGGTTTTTGACCTTCGGTTGCGAATTACATCATCTGCTGGCACATGACCAATGATGGGCATGCGAATCCCTCTGTTCTGTGTGATGGGTGCGGGCGAACCCCGTTTTCATGCTCCATCCTGCCAAGCATCATCCTCGCGTCCCCTTCCCCTAGACTTGCATGGACGGCGGGTTTCGTTGAAGCTGGCCGCTAGTGTCATGCAGGTTGACCTTTGGGGGGAGCTACACGAAAGCAACGGAGTACCATACCGGCTGTTGTCCGCCATACTTTGCCCGTATTCGGCTATATCATGCTTCAACATTTCATCCAGCGCGCTCAGTAAGCACCCCGGTAATTTTTATAATGCATAAGTTCCAAAGGTTCTCCTTTTGAGCGTGGGAAATACTGCCACCCTTAGAAGTCCGAGTTCCGAAGTCCACGGCATCTGCGCTTCAACAGCCAGGGTTGTTGGAAAAACGGAATAGAATGCGAAAGACAAATATGGGCCTGAATCTCTGCTTCTGAGGTGCGTAAAATCAACAACAAGCATCCTGCGAGTGTCTGGGTTCTTGCAGGTCGAAGGCTCCAGGCGAAGTTGGTATCCCAAGTGTTTAAGATACTTCCCACAATCCCTCCACAACATTACATCTCATGATGCCAACAACCATCCCTTTTCATTATTATTATTATAGGTAAGATTTATGTCTCTCCTCGACTTGTTGAAATGTGAAACAATGCAAGTCGCTGTATTGAGGGTTCCGCATGCATGGACAGCCCCTCCTTGTGCGAGTTTGGTGAGGAGAGGCCGAGCTTCCACGTTCCCCAGAATGATCTCCAAGTCCAATACTCGTAGTTGACGCCGCCTCTTGGACTACTGAAAATATCTCGATTGAAAGAATCACGATCCAGGCCTCTTTTTCCAACGTTAGCCAGTAAAACGTGCCCTCGCCAGAAGTAGGACCAAAAAATGTCCTCTACTTTGATCGGCCCTAAAATGTTTTGCCCTTTTTCCCACAAGCGCTGGCGTCACACGACTTGCCGAAGGGCATCAAGATCTGTGCTCTGTACGGAGTAGTCAAGAAACAAACAAAGTTTGGGCACTAAAACGCGGGCACCATCCCGGGTCTCGTTGTTAGTTGATTCCACGCAGGTTCTTTCAACTTCTCTGTCCAGGCGCCCTGGGCTAGCTGCTCGGTATCCTTTCAGGCTTCGTCGGCGAGCTAAACACGGCTAAGGCTAAGCTCATGTCCCTAAAATTTTCGGCATGTTCCGAAACTAGACGCGGGAGCCGTGCTTCTTGTCCTTAGAGTCGTTCTTTCAGACGAGACGTGCAGGATGGTGGCTGGCCGTAGCGCTCGTTCTATAATATAAGGGGTGGTGGAACAAGTATCCCAGCAGTGAACAGAGGTTCAAGCACGACGACATGCAGTACATGGATATATCTAATCTGTAGAGTCCCTGGCTATATAGAAAGGGCTCAGACAAGGATATGCTGAACATCATGCGGCTTTGCCCTCCAGCCAACTTCTGGTATGGTATGTGTATGGAGTAGCTTTGGTTCAAGAGGCTGAACGAGCCCTAGATCGATATCTCTGCACACCTAAAGTGCTTGTACAGTACAATGTACCTGGCAGTGCTGGCATTCAAAAGCTATTAAACGGGCAACACACTGGATAATGAACATATTTCAGGCTCTATGTCGGCTGTAAGAAGAAGATTGAACCGGATTTTGCTCTGCACACACAGGCATAGATACCAACCAGTACGGGGTAGGTACATGCGCAGGATATACCTAGTTATACTTGCACGCAACCTGGTATCTATCCTATCTTCATACACACCTCTTCCATATGCACCGCCTGCTGCATCTGTACGTTCCTTGAATTCAATGAATTATGGTATTATGGAACGGCGCATTTCATTGATTGCATCTGAACTTTCTGCTGGAAACAAGGAAATGGTGGCAAAAATGAGAATTGAATATGGGAAACCTTGGTTCCAGGGAAAGCCACAACACAAACTTCTTTCTCAAAACATCACTTGTAACAATAAATACATAGTAAGTACTAAAATTGTTCTGCTTGAATATATTATCAATTTCTTTATTTTTATTTTTATTTTTATTTTTTATTTTTTTTGTAGTATTTTGTTTTCAGGGGGGTTGTTTTGGCCACTTTTCTGTTTGTGACACTTTGTGCAGCCATGCTTCTCCCGAGTCCATTCACACGAGCATCAGCACACCCGCGTGATTTCAACCCTTTCTCTACATATTGCATCGCATATGTCCCATGGGAATTGGGAGCGTGTGAAAAAGGGGGAGGGGAAGCATGAGGGCGGTAAGGGGGGAATAATAGCTCCGACGCTGTGTACCTCAACTGCTGGGTATATTATTTCGAGGATAAACAGGAGGAGGAGGAAGAAAGAAACCGCTTGGTTGCGCGTCTTGGGTATGGCTGGGTGTATATTCATGGATTATCTGAGCGGAGATTCAGTTGATATCCATGGATATTCCAACAATATCCTACTCTCTTTCCGCGAAAGTGTTGACCTTTTGGATGGCATTCCCAGGCAGTATTCAGAACCTCCTCCTAACAGGGTGCAGGCGTTGGCGAATGGATTCGACGGATCGCCCGGAATGAATAATAATGGAGAACAATGAGAGGTCACATCAGAGGAATTGTCAGGTCGGTCAACCTCTGATTGGCATGCGTCATTTCTCTTCTTCTCTTAGGCCCCCCCCTTCACTTTTGCCGCTTGTGAGCAAATCGCAGACTGGTCAGAAATGATAGGAGGACGAAACGGGCGTGGAAGATGCAAGAAGCGTCTTTTTGGCTGCCGGTACTGGTTGATACCGAAATTACGAGACAACCTCGCTTGATGGTCACTAATCATGGTGTTGCAGCGTGGCTTGAGACGGCCTGGCCCTGGTGGGATTTTGGGCAGGCCTGTGGACCTTGTGGTTCCTGTGGACATTATCATTCATGCTTGCGAACGGTCAAGGGGCTGGTGTTCCTGAACCAGATGAACGAGGTTATTCTTCCACCAGGCGGATGCTTTTCTGGCTTTAGACAAGCCCAGAGTGTATTATTGAAAGGCGCCCTCGTGCGCAGCACACAATCGAACGGCTGCGAGCAATCCCTTCTACCCTTGGTTACATTTACTTCGCGATTCTTTTTTCTCCGTTCCGCCATAAGCCTGAACTGTCAAGGCCCCATGAATGGGAAGAAGATGAGCACTGGAAGCATGTCGTGTTGTTCTACTTTCCCTCTTGGCCCCCCTGACACCCCTGCTCGACCCTCTCCACCAGAACAAAATAGGCAAATGGAGGCGAACTTGTCGTTGGAGCAGCATTGATGCTCATCTACCAAGCCTGTACTCCGTACTTCCAAATACACGGCGGTCTGACTGACGGTTACATGTACGCAGCGTACAGAGGTAGAAAGTCATACTTATTATTAAACGATAATAGTCAGGTCTCGAACAACCCAGCAGCAGACAACAACTCGAGCAGCTATGCATTCAGCCCTTGGAAGTTAGCCGGCACTGGAGGAACTCATGCGGCCCATGTCTTAAATCACCTGGCAGTCAGCTTAGGATGTGACGTCAGCCAGAATCCCATGGGTGTTAGAATCGTTCATCGCTCTGTGTTTTGCTCGAAGTTGGAAGCACTCCTCCGTTAACTATGGAATTGGGCAATGCATTGTGAGAAAGGAAAAGAAAGATTTTCAACATGGCAAAGGGCAAAGGTCAAAGTCTACAACTAATAATAGCCAACTCGTCCCATATCGTCCTTGCAGCGGATGTGACAGTGTAGCACATCAAGTCTATGCGGCACAGTTCCTTCGTGAATTTGGATTTGACCATTGAAACAAGACGGAGCAAGCGCTCTGATGAAATGATTCATCCGTATCATCAGAAACTCATACTCTCCAAGAGTAGCTTTCTTCATGCAGATGTTGACCCGTTAGAATGAGACCTTTGCCAGGCCCCAGCCAAGGGTGCTGTAAAGCCAACATAACTTGGCTTTTGGATTGGCCTTTGGATGGCTTGGATGTATGTAGGACCCTGTGCGTTGCAGCAACCCTCTATGCAGCCTTATCGATCCCTTTGACAGAGCAAAACCCCTACCAAACGGGTATGTTCCGCCGATCCTAACATCCTGTAAGGCGAGGAAAGGGTAGTCCCGACGATGGCTTCGATAACCATGCGCCGCGCATCTCTCGGTATTCTTTCGGAACACCCAGAACTCCAATGCTGCCAATATAAGGAGAAAAGTCGCGCGGAGTAGTGGTATACTCTTCCAGCGGGCTCTATATGTTTTCAAGGATGATGCCTTTCGTGCGCCTCCTGATATATTTATCCCAGTTCATAACCCCCTTGGCTTCCATCGCCATGCCATGTGCTGAACAACACAGAATAAATAAATCATCCACACCTCGGTACTGCCGGTCGGGCCCCCCACAGCCGGGCAGCCCCCAATACTATCTATCTCCCACAACGGCCCTAGAATCCCAGAAACACGAACCTCCCGGCACCGCACCCCAATTCCACTGCCTATAGCACCCATAATCCATTCTAGGATAAGAATAACGGGTGCTCCAACACTGTCAGATTGGGAGCTTATTACAACGGGACATGATTCCCCCGACGTGAAGGAGCGGTACATATACATGCCATAGTGCGTCTTTGCCATCACTGATTTTACTCGCACAGCTCAGGCCATGGAGAAGGGCGGGGAGTATTGGCGCCGAAATCAAGGGGTAGAGAGAATTGTGCGGTGCATGGTGAAATCTAGATCCTTTGGAAACAAAATACTTTTGGGAGGAGCTCATGTGTGATTTTTAGTGATATTTAATTAATATCGGCTATATTATTATTATTATTATATTCTTATTATTGAATTAGAAGTCCCTAAGCATCTTTTCCACTCATTTGGATTTGCATTCTTCACTGTCTGATCTGTATCTTTAGTTATATTTCACGCGCGATAATTTCAGGAGCTTTTTACTGCATATTTCTTTTCTTCTTCTCGTTTTACATAGCTTTTCTGCGGGTTTCTACGATTCACATTGTAATAGGTTCGTCATTTGGTGTTGCTACTATAATGAGTCGATGTCTATATCTATATCTATATATATATTTATAACTACGCACGGAACCATGTCGATGTGTTTAAAAAAAAAAAAAAGACCCTTATACATTATTTACTGTCATCTAGGTATATAAAAAGAGGGAGTGCAACACCAACGCGATCTTTTGTTTTCAAATAGTAACTAGCTCTGGGAGGCTCAAATCTTTTTGTAGAAGCGTCAAGGTATTGAAAGAACAACTGTAGTTCCCTAAAATCACCATGGGAAGGATTATATATCATTATCACAACAGAATGCAAATATTAAAACCAATAGCCATATAATTCAACGCAATTTCTTTGTCATTTCACTGTATTTGTATGTAAGGAAAAATAACTAAACAAATTAAATCCATAATTAAAACTACTTGGTAGGTGTCATGCCAGAAACACTGCCTCATATAAAACTATTACCGGCGCTGCCTTTTTTCGTCGTCAAGCAAACTAAGGTGACAAAAATCCGGGCATTCGAGAAAAATGATCAAGGGAACATCGAAAGTGAAATCTAAGATCAGATTTTACCAGAGAAACGGGGACCCTAACCCTTCTCCATTCCCTCGAAAAGAGGGGAAAAAATACACAGAAAGATATCGAAATTGGGAATGCAGAAGCAATATAAGCAGAGAAAATGTGTTAAGGGCAAAAAAGAGTCAATCGAAAAAAACAGTTGTTGGTGTGGCGCGGTGGCCAAGTCAAACGCGAGGTCTATCAGAGCAAACGCCGTCCTGTTTCGAAAAATATAAAAGGTCTAGAAAACGTGAAGAAAAAGGTACCGATATCGATATCGGAGGGAGATGACCCCTATTCGTCTCGGGGACGGGGAAAATGAACAAGGTCTACGATACGATGGTCTGATGTGGCTGGTGATCAAGAGCCAAATTGCCTTACCAGCGGCGATTGTTGCCCAAGGGTGCAGCATTGGAAGCGGTGAAGCCGCCACGGCCGCGGCCACGACCACCCCATCGATTGCCACCACCACCGCCACCGCCGTAGCGGGCCATTTCGGCAAGGCGAGGATCGATCTGCTGTTTGGACTCAGTGAGGATAGAAACCAGATCACGAGCCTGCTTAGCATCTATTGTTCAACAGTTAGCATCAGTGTTTGAACTGGGGAAATAAGGAGGTTTAAGAGCGCAGGTAAAACGTACTGTCAGTGGTGAACAAGGTAATTGCAGTTCCCTTGGCACCGGCACGACCTGTCCGGCCGATTCTGTGAACATAATCTTCCGAGTTGTTCGGATAGTCATAGTTCAACACATGAGTAATATCGCGAACATCTTCACACACATTTAATGTTAGCAAAAAAAGCGCACAATTGAGAAAACAAATGGCCTGAGCCCTTTTCTCAGTCGTGTGGGACTTGATGCATCACTCTCTTCGATCTCTGTCGAAGATTCATATTTCAATTGTCCATGGGCTGGAAATGAATCGTGGTCCTGGAATAACCTTGGAAATGCAGCTTGAACAAGTTCAAAAGGAGAAGGACTCTGCCTCCCTACTTGAAGAGACTACAGAGTAGAGAGACATAATCAGAAGCACGGTATGCTACACTGCAAGTAAGTCCAAGGTTCCCTGGAGAGGAGAACCAACGATAGAACCGGAAAGCCGGGACGAACCATGTTTTACCAACATGTAATAGAGTAAAAGCATTGGGTCATGGTCACACGACATCAATACGGGTGAAGGAATTCAATAACAGTGTACTGGGGAGGGGAGGGGATGGGGAGAGCAAGGTCGCAGATTCATCATACCAATACCACGGGAAGCCACATCGGTGGCAACCATGATGGGACTTTTTCCAGTCTTGAATTCGTTCAAGACCCAATCGCGTTCATTTTGTTGTTTGTCACCGTGGATAGCTATTTATTTACATTGTTAGCAGATGTAGTTAAAACAATATGGGAGATCTATGGATAAAACTTACAAAGCGCAGGCCATCCATCCTGCCGGAGGAATCGAGTGATGTCGTCAGCAACGCGTTTGGTTCCAGTGAAAATGAGGACTTTGGCATTTTTATTCTCCTCCATAATACGGTCAAGATGCTTCGCCATTCGGTCACGTTTCTCGAATTCCGAAACAATTTCCACGATTTGAGTGATTCTGTGGTTAGCGGACAAATCCATAGAGCCAATATTGACCTGAATATAGTCGTGGAGGAAGTCCTGGGCAAGTTGCCGGACATCTTTGGGCCAAGTAGCAGACCACATGCAAGTTTGTCGGTCAGGACGAATCTGTGAAACAATCTTGCGGATCTGGGGTTCGAAACCCATGTCAAGCATACGATCTGCCTCATCGAGGACAAGGTAAGTAACACGTCGTAGGTTAGTTCTTCCCGCCTCCAACATGTCGATCAATCGACCTGGAGTGGCGATACAAACTTCGACACCACGAGTTAGGTCACGAATTTGAGGTCCCTTGGGGACACCACCGTAAACGCAAGTATTCCGAATACGAGATGATTTCCCAAATTTGGTAATCTCAGTTTGTATCTGAACTGCCAACTCACGAGTAGGCGCAAGAACAAGGACGATGGGGCCATCTCCTGGGGCGAGGAGAGGCTGGGCGTTAATGTGAACTATAGCAGGCAAACAGTACGTCAAAGTCTTTCCGGATCCAGTTTCGGCAATACCAACTACATCACGACCAGAGAGGGCCATGGGCCAGCCTTGAGACTGAATAGCCGTGGGCTTCGCAAAACCTTGGGCCTTAACCTCTGACATAACGTACTGGGGGAACCCAGCTTCGTCGAAAGTTTCCACTGGACGAGGGACATTTTTGCCTTGCACAGTCATTTCCTGCTCTTTGCGAAACGCGTCAACCTCCTGGGAGGATCGCTGTGTAACGCTAGGATGTTCTTTGTAGAACGATTTTTCGAATTTGGGCAGGGTCGACAGGTCTAGGATATCTGAAGTCAGCATTTTACGCGAAGTTAACAAGCATTGGTGCTGTTTTGACTTACCCCAATTTTGCGTCTTCAAGCCGGCACCAAGATTTGACATTCTGTCGCCCCCAGCACCACCGTAACCACTGCCGTGGCCGCCAGCACCTCCTCCATACGAGCCATAACCACCGCCGCTGGAGTGGCCATGGGAGTGGCCATTGCTGCCTCCATAGCCCCCACCTCCGTAGCCACCACCTCTGTAGCTTTGATTTCATGTTAGCTGCTGTAATGTTTTCTTTGTTGGAACGTGGGATATCAAAGGATCATGTCGCACAAGTGGCGAAATAAGGGTAAGATCAAAAGATCTCAGAATAACAAGATGGGATATGAAATGGTATTGTGTTTGCTTACCTAGAGTGCCCGCCACCACCACTGCCATAGTGGTCTCGAGAAGAACCGTAGCCTCCACCGTAAGACATGATTTTTGGTGAAGATATTAAAACTTTTTACTGGGGCAGAAGAGAAGAATTCGATCGAAATAAGATAATAAGATGGGAAAAACACAAGCGTTTGGTTGCTTTTCGGTTTTCGGGTCTATTTTGCAAAAGCGGCAAAAAAGATCTATGTGCAAGAGAATAGACGGAGAGTGAATAGCACAGCGATACGGATCGCTCTCGGGTAGATAGGAAGCGGGAAAAGAGAGAGAGAGTATGAGAGGATTAAACAAAAAGAGAGATGGAAGAAGTGAGGGAGAGAAGATCGAGAGATGAAATATGCGGCAAGAAAAAAAGCAGCGGAAAGAACTAGAGAAAAAAATCAAAACAGGAAGCGAGTGGCGCGTTGCCCCAAAGAAGCTTAACCTAAAAGTCTAGTCCGTATCAGGAAATGTGTGGCTTGGCTGCTGAGTCATCACGGATATTAAGAAACATACCTAGGTTTGTACGCTGCGTATATTGTATTGAATAATGGATTGGATTGTATAGCATACATGTACCAACCTACATACACATACATACATTGCCTCACCCATAGGCTAATAACACGTTCCTAGCCAACATTGCTTTCCACATTTTGTATCTTATTTTTCATCCTCCACTAGAGCTTGTCCGCCGTCAAACCCATGTCCCAGAATCCAATCTCAAGCTCCGTAGCTCGGATGAAAATCTTGATCAATTCCTCCATCCGACTAGGCGACACATCCCTCATTCGCTTTTCAAGGAGTTCTGTTTGGCCGACCGATATACGTTAGGTAGCTGGGATATAGGAAAATGAACCAAACAAAAAGAAGGGTAGATAGATAAGTCTTACCACAGCCAGTCTCCACTGCCTTCATGTAATCAGCTGCTACATAATTTTCAATCCATTTCCAATACTTGTTTCCTGTGCGTGCGCTGCTCTCATCGCCATGTAACCTTTTGGCGATAATTCCGTACCCAATTAGACATGGTGAGAGTGCAACTTGCAAAGCCAACCAGTCCTCCGATTGGCCTATGTCGAGGATATATCTGCTGTAGGCGACACAGGCTGTTATAGATTGTTAGTGACCAACGCATGTATGTACATATTTCCAAAGATTAGGCTACTATACCTAGGCTCTCCTTGTAACTTTCGATGTCCTGCTTTGTCAACCCAAACGATGCGCAGTAATCGAGATGCAGATTCATTTCGCGCTGGATGTGAAGCACTATTTCTGCGGACTAGATCATGACCATGTCGATTTTCAGCAGGGCCTTTGTTGGAATCAAAAAAAGCATATTGAGGATGCTGGGGTTTGGGGCGCGGGCCTGTTTATCTCACCATCTTTATCCCTTCAATATTATTATGTTTCGATGCTGCAAGCGCATTGCTCCGGGCAAAGTGAACCTGTTTTTCCGAACTGTCAGTACTTAACACAGCCAGGTAACTAACTACCCTTCAACATGGCACCATACCAAATAATGATAGTCCTGGATCAAATAGCCCTTGAACTTTTCCACGGGAAGCGTCCCTTTCCCCAAACCTTCCACAAACTCGTGTTCCGTATATGCCTTCCAAACAGGCTGGACATCAGGGCGATTCAGCACATATTCGAGGAATCGGCCGCTATTTCAACACCAGGTTAGTTTGTGGCTTCTCCCAACCAGAAGGAACACAAAATAAGATATGGCAAGGAGTAGCAAGATTGATACATACGGCGCAAACGGTACCGAGTACAGAGAGTGGAAGTGATTAATCGGCCCATTGCCTTTACCCATATCCACGCTCGTCCTGATGCCGGCCTCGACGTACCTGCACGCTGCGCGAACAGCTCGCACGACATCCATTTCCTGGGCCAAATTTGCCGCAATCGCAGAAGCAAGAGAGCAACCAGTTCCATGGGTATTCTTAGATGTGAGAAACTCATTCTCAAACAAAGTCACCTTTTCGCCATCGAATAAAACGTCAACCACTTTTGACGGTTGCTGGTCTGCTGTTACTCGCTCGTAACTAGCCGTTAATGGCAAATGACCACCCTTTAACAAAACATATTTAGGGCCAAGGGTATGGATCTGTTTTGCTATTTGGATGGCATCTTCAAGGTTCTCGGGATTTTTGGCATCCGCCCCTGAATCTTGGAGCAGTAGGATTGCTTCGGGTATGTTAGGGGTTAGAATTGTTGTCAATGGTAGAAGTTTCGTCCGGACGATATTCGCGGCTTCACCCGGGAGCAGCTTCGAGCCACTGGTAGAAACCATACCTTAGAAGAAAATTATGTAAGAAATAATATGCATGGAGTTGAGGATTGAGATCAGAGAGTATAATATTATTACCGGATCAAGAACAACTGCGGGAATCTTGTGATGTCGCAGAGTTTCAGACACCATCTCCGCAGTTTCCGCAGATGCCAACATGCCTGGATGGAGGATATGATTAGAAGACGAACACAGCATAACTCAATTGGTTTAAAGAAAAGCTTTCAGAGCTCAATATTGGGGCTCAAAATTGGAAGACAACCAGGGCAGCGAATAAAAAAAGAGCATTTCCTCAGAAGTAGAAAATATAAAATAGAACAACTGCATTCATTCGGATATCTGCATCATCGGTACGCCAAGGGTAAAAAAGATAACTTACCCAACTTTACCACGTCTGCCCCAACATCCTCCAACCCAGCATTGATCTGCTTCCTTACAAACTCCACAGGGACGACATGGATATCCTGAACACCCAGTGTGTTCTGCGCCGTCAAAGCCGTAGTGGCTGTGAGTGTATAGCAGCCATGAGCGGTAAGTACCCGCTGGTCTGCCTCGAGGCCACTGGATCCATAACAGAGTCAGTCAATCAGTTCATGCTTGTATATGGTTGGTCCTTGTTTTTAACATTATGAAAGATAATTCATCATCTGATCTAAGGGCGGGGTTGGAAAACAGAAACAGGACAGAAAGTTAACTTACGCTCCGCCAGAGCTGTCCGAGCCCGCGATTACAAGTACCCGCTTTAGCGCCATCTTTCCCATAAAGATATGAGTAGTGTGTTTGGATGGTTGAGGAAAAGATCGTGGAAAGAAACCTCGTTATTTTGGGGTGGATAAACGATGGGTATTTGTCGGTTTGGGATCTCACCGGGAGGTTATTATTGCTTTGAATTCTCCACTAGTAGAACCAAAACTTTTGACGAAAGAGGGAATTGACACACAAATAAAGCCCTGCCCGCGAATATCTCCACTCCTGAATACATTTGTATTTCAGAATAACAGCAGGGCAATTGATAAAATAAATCATAAAAATTCCATTCTTCTACACCAAATAGACCCATCCATTCATTAAAAGACGAATAAACTATCCGGAACTGTTGCAAAAGGCATGCGACCAGATGCTGACTTATAGAAACGGGTAAGAGGAGGATGCCCGGCAAGGCATAAAAGAGAACTACCAAGAATACAATACCTTCATCGCAAAGCAAACCCAAAAAGAACCTCCATGTCAACCCACTGTCGTCCACATTTCTTCAAATACGCATCTACAACCCCCTTTAATGTCTCAAACCGCGGCCGATTCCACTCGACCATCGCCATAATCTTTTCCCGCTTCTCGGCATTAGTTTCCTTCTCCGCAATCTCCTTTGCCTTGTCTACATCCCACAGTCGGGCAAAGTATAGCAGCTGATTATACAGTTGTTTATCTGTATATTCGAACCCCATGCGGCCGAGGCAGCTTTCAGCACGGCCACGGGGCCCCAGACATCGACGGCCGTACACACTCATCTGGCGGGTGCGGTTGCCGCAAGAGGAATCGTCACAGACGAGCCAGCCTTCGTAGTACTTCGATGTTTGAGCGCGTATCTGGCTTTCAAGCTGTGCTGCTATAGATATAACAGTAAATGGTTTCCCGCAGCCTGAGTTGGGACATATGAGTCCATTGGCAGTGCACATCTCGGTTGACACGCAAAGACCTTCGAAACTTGTCCGTTCGTGACAGAATCGACAGCGAAGTGTCAATCTAACAGCGTCTTTGAAGCGGATGGAATCTGGAATTTGCGATTCGAGAGGGAATATTTCCATGTTTTGTTGATCGCGGGTGCTGGAAGTATTAATTTGGTACTTTTTAACATCTAAGCCTAGGCACTCGGCGAGCCGGACTGCGTCCGTGCCGGGTAAAGGGGCGCAGAGACGTTCTACTGGTGGGAAGATCTGTTTCAAGAGATAATATTCAACGTCGGGTTTGAGGCCGGACTCCGGTTTCATCACATCCTGCAGAGTGTATGATCGCTTAGCAGGTGGTAAGGAAGACGTGTCGGAATCTCCTGTGGTTACAATGTAGGCAATAACATCATTTGGTCGAACGGTTTTCCCTCGGGCTAGTTCCCGCAAGGCCACCTGCGCTGGGGGCATGGTCTCCTTGTTGGGATACTCATCGGGGCGCTTTGACAGTTTCTGCCACATGATGTTAGTCCACGGACCTCGTTTTCTACAACATTGCGAGGCATGACATACCGTGTATATAACATATTTCTGCACAGGGATCGTGTATTCCTTCATCTTTTCTGTGATTTCGCGGAGGTAGTCGTGCACCTTTGTAAGAACCATGTCGGGATCTTCACCGGACAGAATCTCATTCAGGAGTTTCGAAGAGACCTCTTTAGATAAGGCGCAGTACTCTCGTCTCTTCATGTCCAAGCCTTTGACCTCAAGTTGGTCGACATACTTGCCATCGATCTCAGTCATGGTCATGGCCGCATACTTCTTCTTCGCGTGAAGAAGGAGGCGACGGAAGACACTATCAATGTCAATTTCGAGCAATTGATACCGTTCATTAACCAAACGTTTAAATGTATTGCCAACTTTCAGTGCGTCTTCCATATTGTCGGTATTAGTGTTGATCATTACTGAGTCAGTGTCGCCATAAATAACTTGCAGCTGGTTGTTCTCCGCAAGCTCTTTTGTACTTCGAAGAATTTCGCGGCCTTTGGAGGTCGTAAGCATGGCAAGTGGTCGAGCGTAGAATCGAGACTGCGTGTAGCCTAGACATCCATACATAGAGTTGGCAGTGAGCTTCAGCGCCATTTGCTTGGTGTCCCAAAGAGCAAGGTCCTCAGGGCTTGCACGTTTGTCTTTCATAAGTTTCTTCACTTCACGTCGACGGTTGACAAGGGTAGCAATGAGGCGCGGGAGAATTCCCGGGCTTTGGTTGCTAGGAACTTTAGGGACCTTTTCCTCATTCTCATTTTCGACCTACAACAAGTACCTCTTAGCAATCGAGTGATTGATCAAGACAGTCAAGAGCTACTTACGACAGCTGCCCGGTCCACAGTTGTAAAACAGATATTAAACTCCTGGATAATGCTGGGGTACAAGCTGTTGAAATCCATGACAAGGATGTACTTGTCGTATAGGCCTTTCTCGGGTGGAAACACCAGACCACCCTTATATTTGTCCTTCTTTTTCTTGTCCGCTCCATCTTCGTCTTCCTCATTCGCTTGTGACATTTGTTGCTGTTTACCGCCATACTTGTCAGGGCAGATGTACTTGTTTCGATAGAACTCATGTAACAAGATATACTCATTCCGTTCCGCCCTCGTACCGCTGAGAGTCCTCGCCCACGAATTTCCTGCCAAATTCGTAAGTACTTTAGTCAGCGGAAGCATTTGTAGCTTGAGAACAAGAGCGGCAATAAAATAAGTATCGGCTTCGCAATGACTGATGTAGTTCATTAGTCCCTCTTTTGAGGTTGCCCAAGATTTTAGCGCTGCTTCATTATCAATGTCTCGACGGAGATTACCATCTCCTAGATATAATTGACACATCTCTGTTAGGCTCCACGATTGACATTTCAACATTAAAGACTATGAAGCGGTTAGCTGAAAAATGGATTTTTGAAGAGAAATACAGGTAAAATTACCTTCCCCATGTCATTTGCAATATCACAAAGCAGTCTTCCAGCTACAAGCTTCCTTTCCGCAAAGAAGCTGGAGCCTCGCGATAAATTTTTCGGCCATTCACTTCTCTTCATCCTCCCAATGCGGTGCCAGCCGGGTGTCTTTTTCTCAGATAGCCTATTAAGGAGAATATTAAAGTCTACCTCTTGGAGTTGATGGCCCATTAGGACATCCGGGTCCATCTTCTCAAACAGAGCCATGAACTTGCTGAGAAGAAATTGTTCGCTCTTCTCCATCATGAATGTGCCACGGCGTTTTCGAGTTTCGGCTTCGAATCCAATCGGATATGTAGGTCCAGAGGGTCGCATCACTGTAAAGGTTTTGCAGGGCAACTTTTCCGGGGGTGTAGTATCAGTAAGTGATACATTCTCATAAACGCGAGCGCTTGCGACCACTATTTCTTGTTTGTTATCCTTCACGTTCAACTGTGTTCGGAATGCCAGACTCATCAGCGTCAGTCGTGGGATTTCCAAGCTGTCAGAGTTTGGAACAACCGTGATAAGTTTGGGTTCCGAGACCTGGCACTCCAGCTTGCACCATGACGCCCCATTCACAGCAGTGAAGTCGGCATCTTCAAACTTAAGCCAACAAGGGCCCATGATATTCTTCCAGAGCACAAACTGCTCGAAGAGTGCAGTGTTAATTCCGAAAACTCGAGAGAAAGTCTCACCCTTAACATCGATTGGCAAAGCGGGCTTGTCATAAGAATACATGAGTTTGAGATATTCTCCTTCCTTGGGAACGTCTGGGAGCTCGAATGCATATTTCCTTGTCACTTCTTTAATCTTGTGCGTGCCGACTTTCGTTCGTGATAAAAGTGCATCAACTTCCTTGTAGACGTCTTCCATGTCGATTTCCTCTTCCGTTTCATGGCCATGGCGTACCCGGTATTTCCTGGGAAGAAAGTAGAGTTTCCGCAAGATGTTGTCGACTTTAGCAAAGGCGCTCACATAGTCCCCAGTATCCTTGTTTTTAACTTTGCCAAAAAGACACAGGCTGCCGTTGATTTCAACATAATCTAACCAGAAGAATAGGAGACTTCCGTCTTCCTCAACAGCGCTCGGAGCGGCAAGTTTACCAAATGTTTTAAAGTCAGCTGTGGCGGGGCTGCTCAGAACGTTTAATTTACTTGTGACATCGTTCCATGACGAAGGATCGATGCCATCTGGATTGGCTCGAATAGGAGACGAAGTCGCAGGAGAAGGATATTTCGGCTCCTTGACTTTTGGCGTTGGCCGCTTTCCCGTCATATTAATTCTGGCTCCATTTATATCATGGTGCGCGGTCGTTTGTGTGACCACCATTAATTCATCTTCCTCCTCTTCTTCTACTTTGATATTTTTTGGGATTTTTCGCTCAACGGCCTTTGTGACGGGTGAAGATGGTGCCGGATCACTCATGAAAACATCGTCATCATCCCCCGCATCTAGCCATGTTGTATCATTGTCTGGATCCAATTCTACCTTGGAGGCAACTAGTGGGCTCGATATGTTGTTTTCTTTCCGGTCTTTTGCGGCTTCGGAGGTTGTATTCTGAGAAAGAGGTGGTGATATGATCCTAACTTTCCGCCGCGTCTCAGATTTCACTGCCTTCTTCGGAAGAACACGAGAAACAGGGTTGGAGTCGACTTCTTCAAGGAGGTCTGCCAAAAATGCCTCATCTTCAGCGGTAGCAACAGGCTAAAGCAAATAGTTAGTCAATTTAATTGGTGATGAAGGATTTTCCGTTGATATACCTTTGGCTTTGAAGGAGCTTTGGCCGCGGGCCCAGTGTTGAAGTATTTGCTAATACCATTGTTAATCTTTTCCTTCCTCTGTTGATCCTCCTCGCGTTTTCTTTTGGCCGCTTTGCCTCTCAATGGCAGCTCATCGCCGTCACTATCACTATAGTATTGTTTCGAGTCGTTCCACTCTTCACGCCCATCATCCGCATATCCCTCGCCAGTATCGTCAATCACGAAATCGTCTTGGTCCAGCCGCTTCCGCACAAGTTTTTTGTATCCTTCCTCATCAATTTCATCGTAAATATCCCCTTCGTCTTCGACTTCGTAAGTGGTGAGTCGCTTCTTTCCAGCGGCTCTGAGTGCCCGTAATTCGGCGAGCTTTGCTCGAGCTGCAGCCATTGAGGGATAGAGGTTTTCAATGATATTGTAAAAAATGGCGAACAAAAAGGCCTAAGAAGAAAAAATCATATAAAACACAATATGACTATGCTGGCAGTATCATATCATCATAGGTTTGTTTTAGTTTCGAAGTTGGCAGGAGGAAGACACGCCTCGGTGCGCGCGACATTTTTACGCGTTTCATTCACGCTAGTGCGCCCTTTAACTCCGGGAGCAAGGAATGGATTTGCCCACCATCAACGCACCACCGCAATATTTCAATGATCAGGCATATTTTCAACAATTACACGACGTTCAGAATATCAGGCCTTGAGAGAATTTCTCAGCAATTACATTTGTTGGGCTGGAACGGACGACCAAAACCCAAAGCTCCGCAATTGCGAAATACTTCGAAAGCATACGAGACAAAATAGTAGTAAGTACAATACAAGTTCGGGTTGTTTCAAGATACTTGGATTCCTAATTATTTTTAAAAATTGCGAGATTTAATAAAACTGAAAACCTGTATATGTCCCATAGCCCGCTAAAAAGATACCTCAGTAAAAAGAAACAGCCCATTGAAAAAGGAACATGCTGATCATCAAGTAAAATTTTATTTCTCCATTTTGTGTATTTAGTTCATTTGCTTGATAAGAGCATTGATGTTCTCCTCACGGTTACCAACATCACCACCTTCAATGTAGTGCTTGAACTTGCGGGTTCTGAAGCCACCAGTGGGGTTGGAGAGCTTGAATGGCCACAGGAAGTTGGAGGCCTGCTTGAAGTTGGGGCCAACAGTGTAGATCTCGTGGATCAGATCTTCCATACAGACAATGCCGTACTTGCCGAGGTTCTCTTCAATGATCTGGTTGTCGCTGAGGGCAATACGCTGCTTGTTGATCTTTCCATAGCCGCGCTTGTAGATGAGCTCGCGCACGCTCTTCAGGTTAGGATAACCATAGGCGATGTAAGGGTTGACAATGGTAAGCATCTCCTGGGTGGCCTTGGTGAGACGGACGAAGACACCATTGTTGATCTGAAGGAGACGGAGAAGCTGCAAAATCTTGCGAGGCTTGGGGGCGATTTTGTTGATACTGTGTCACAAAAGTTAACTTGCGTTTCCATGGTAAGTAGTCGTGTCGTTGATATGGAGATCTTACCCCTTAATACGGACAACGAAGACGAGTTTGTGTTCGGCGGGGACCTCGAAGTTGCCCTGCTGCTTGGCCAAGCGGGCAAGGCGGATCTTCTCGCGCTCAGCATCGCGGTACTCCTTGACGTACGACTCGGCACGCTTGAAAATAACAGCACGCTTCTCCTTGTTGGCCTATTGCACAAATCACGAGTTAGCAAGAGAAGTTTGACTTCGTGATTCTAACAAATGTAGACAATTGAGGAGACGGTTTCAGCCCCGAAAGATGGTTAACAAAGCGACAACATCGACCCGTAGGTCTAGTCGCGAAGATTGGTATTTGTCATCATAAAAGTCCCGTTCCCCTCCCTCCACACAAAAAAAAAAAAAAAAAAAAAAAAAAAATAATAATAATAATAATAATCAAAATCAAAATCAAAAGTAAAATTAAAATCAAGGAAAGGTGATTTGAATCTAGGTTCAAGAAACATACCTTCTTCCGCTTGATGAGCTCAGCAGTGGTCGCGGCTCTAGCTTGTTCCTGGCTCTTGCGCTTCTTCAGAAGCGTCTCAGGCACGAGGACCTGGTCCTGGGTTGGTACAGAGCTGTAAATCCGAATATGATAGGTTCAAGGTCAGTATAGTCTGTCCAACGACGCAAAGTACATAATGAACCTTGTCGAGTGTAAGAACTGCAGCTTATAGCGCCGCATTCTCTGACTGAAGCGGATGTTATGGTAGAAGGAAAACTCGACGGAATGCATTTAATCAATGAGATATAGAGCTGCGGGTTCTCATGTGCTGACAACTACTAACGCCAGTGTCCATCACACTACACTATGCAGCATGAAGGCATGGTGCTTTCGTAAATAGGCCCCGAGTCTGAAAATTTCTCATCTGACAAAACCCTAAACCAATGGTTCAGGAAAACAATGCTAATTCAGCGTGCTTCCCACAATGGCTTATCCAAATAGGATATACTTTGCGGTTGAGCAGTTTGGACCAGCAATTCTTTTCAGGGAGAAGGGAGAGCCTTCAACCCCAATACCCCGACACAAATTCCGTTTCTCTCACTTGGAATATCCCAGTATCACCCGGTCAATTGAAGATGGAAGAGAAAAGGAAGGGTGCCAGGATTTGATCGAGCTGGCGCTGAGCATCACCATGCAAGGCATATTTGACGAACAGCATCTCCAGCGAGAAGGACGAACTATATCTGGGCCTGTACACTCATACGAATATCAGCGGAAGAGAAATGAGAGGGAAGCATACGTAGCCATGTCGAATGATGGACGTTTGTCGTCTGTTGGCGATTGGAATTGTCGTACCGTTGGAGTCTGTCGAGGTTCAAGAAGCAACAAGAACAAAAATGCCGAAGAGAATGAATTTGTGTGGATGTTATAACAACGCTAGCCTTTATTAAATTAGCCTTTTTTCGGCGTCACGTTACATTCTGATCGGGAAGGTTAGGGCTATTATGTCATCTATCAGCGGCCATCCCATCCACGCTTGCTGTGACAGGCCTGGCAAACGACATTGTCCTTGTATGTTCGTTCCAACACACACGCTGTTACATATCTTATGTATGCGGCCAATATCCCTCTTAAAAACGAACCATGTCTGCCCGTCGCGGCGTTGGCCTGGGAGCCTTCGTAAACCGCAACCAGTCAGCACAGTCATATGCCACTCATGGTGCCAACCTCCGCACCACTCACCTTACCTCTCTACAGACCCAGCTCTCCGTCTTCCAGTCCCTTCTGCATTCCTTTGCCCTCGAGCATGCCTCGACGATTAAATCGAATCCAACATTCCGCGCTGAGTTTGCGCGCATGTGTCATGCTATCGGAGTGGACCCGTTAGCTGCTAGTAATGTAAAAGGGAAGGGGAGGAAGGGTCTTAGCCTACCTGGCTTGGGAGAAGGAGGTAGCTTCTGGACTCAGATCCTGGGTGGTGATGTGACCGATTTCTATTTTGAAGTTGCTGTGCGCGTTGTAGAGCTCTGTCGGGAGACGAGAGGGGAGAATGGGGGTCTTATTGGGGTTGAGGAATGTATGGCTAGAGTGGGCAGGGGTAAGGCGATTGGAGGTGGTCTAGAGGTTTCTGAGTGAGTTATATTTGAATTTACTTTCCCTTAACGCCATATTTACTCTTTCGTGTTCATTGCATAATTAGCGAGAGTTCATGATCGTGCCAATGATAGATATTTATTGTGCTGACTCAACGCCACAGAGACGACATCCTCCGTGCAGTCAAGTCCCTCGAACCCCTTGGGTCGGGATTCACAATCATCAAAGTTGGCAGCAAGCAATATATACGTTCAGTTCCCAAAGAACTCAACACGGACCAAGCTACCGTACTAGAAGCGATTCAGATCCTGGGCTTCGTTACTGTTTCGATGCTACAGCTTAATCTGAATTGGGAAAAGGCGAGGGCCCAAACAGTCATTGACGATCTCTTGGCTGATAGTTTGGTCTGGGTTGATTCTCAGTGTGCAGAGAAGGAATATTGGTCACCTCAAAATTTACTTGATGACGGTGATTGAATTAAGTAGTGTCATGCGAGCACGCCACTACTACTTTACAAACGCAGACGCCAAATGCTGGTTTAATACCGCTCTCTATAACTGTCGAAGGGAACCTCCCGGTCGACGTCAGAGTGTTTACTTGAGCGTGACTTCCTTTGGAGCGCCCATCTGCTGCAGAAGTCCATGACCCCGATCATGGCTCACCCTTCAGGCAATTTGTTGGATGTAAGGCAGGACCGACCGACCGCTACGATAACCCATGTGCCGCTCATTGAAGCGGCAAATGGAAATTAACCCGACGCCATCTAGCAGGAGAATTATGATGCTTATGAGGACGAATCGGTGCCTAGTTCAGCTGGGCCGCCGGTATTATGTTTCTGGTTAAGCATGTATTTAACTACCTCGAAACCAACACATATAAGGCACAATCTCCTCCTTCTCAGATAGAGTAAACATAAGTATTTATTTTAGTTAATGAAAGTGCGTCACGTAAGGATGTGGGAGAAGCATGCCACATTCTCAATTTAATCAAATAAACGTAATAGCGAGGACAGCCAGCTGCACTGGGCCAACAAGCGGCCCATACACTGAGCCACCTCACGAGCTAAGCCACCAAGTATGGCATGTAACCGATAGGAACTTTCCATGTGGAGCTAGAGATCAGCTGATTCGACAAACAATAATGAGCGAAACGTCTGTTAAAGACATATACCAAAATTGACCATGAAATTCCACTCTATTGTAATTTTCTGTTTCTTTTTTCTTTAAGCTACAGCGGCAAGCACCAGAGAACGAAAAGTGAAAAGCAGCAGCCGCCGTTCGTATGACATGAGATAAAGTGGGAAAAGAGCTGCATCCACTACAAAATAAGAGTCCGGCATAAAAAAAACCATCGACGGCGTAAAGGGAGAGAATAATAAGAAGACAAATTGATGACTAACAAAATTAATGGAAATATTCATATTCAATAAATGGAGAAACAGAGTTTAAAGCAAAAAAAAAAAAAAAAAGTAAAAAAAAAAAAAAAAAACACCCCCCTTTATGCCTTAATCGCCCCCCCCAAAGCCCCGCCGCCGAATTGTTGTCCACCAGGTCTCCGTGGCAATCCACCACCACCTCCCCCACGTCCACCACCCCGCCCACCGCGACCACCTCCTCTTCCACCACGGCCACCATGTCCCGGATCGCGTTGGAACGCGTTAGCCATGCCTTGCGTCCGCTGCTCAAGTGTCTTCTCATTAGCCTCAAGAAGGGACATGGACTTATCAGCAAGCGTGACGATTTGGCTCTGGAGTCTAGATAGCTCAACGCCCTTGCGGAAGATGATGGCATCATTGACCTGGTCGAGGGCGGCGGCCAGTTCTTCATGCGAAATCATGCGGCTGACGATCGCAGCGATCTTTTTAGGAGACAGCTCGAACATGTCTGAGAGGGTGGAGATGGAGAGAGAGTCGTAGAAGGGAGCGTAGGTGAAGAGGTAAGTACGCAACCCCTCTTCCTGGATCTGCTCGCCGAGCATTACCTTGATCTTGTCCGGTTGCGCCATCAGGTCCCAGATCTTGATGGAATTGAGGGTTGCGGAGGCTTTTTTCCAGTCGCCGGCGGCGAGTGCTTTGGCGCTCATGATGACGCCGTCGCGAGTGTTTTCGGGGGGCCCATTGAAGACTTGTCGTTCGTTGTAGTCGAGCATGCGTCGGAAGGTCTTGGAGATAATGCGTCGCTTTAGCTCGGGGGATGAGGAAGTTTGTGCCATGAGGGGAACTTCGAGGAACATGCTTGAGGTGAGGTAGATGCACTCAAGAAGTTCCAGGTTAATGTGCATGTGGAAGGGAAGCTGGCGTTGGCGTTCGAGCTTCTCTTGCTCTGGAGATACGGACGAGTAGCGTTGCATGATGATGCCTTGAGCCAATAGTTCTTTTTGTCTGCCACTGCCACAAACTTCGGAAAGGATGTTTTGGGCTTCGTAGACTAGTCCTGCGCGGAACGCGCAGAGGCCAATCTGGACAAGTGTTCGGTTGAAGAGGATTTGGGTGCTGACATCGAAGTTGGAAATGTTTTCTGTGAGATGTGACATGAGCATCAAATCGCGAGCGCGGTGGTATTTATCGTGGAGTGCAAGGAAGTAAATCTGGCACAACATAGCCCTGGCACGGATAATACCATCGCTATGGGCGAAGAGGTAGTCACACAGAGTTTTAACAAGCGCGGGAACATCAGTGCTGTTGTTCTTGCGGGGAGTGATGTTGGAGTCAAGTTTCGCGGGGAGTGCTGCCCATGTGTTTTCTTCAAGGATATTGACAACTTGCGATGGTTTGAAGTAAACATGTTCCAGGCGTCTCATCAACACTCTGTTCACACTCTCTTGACGCGCTTCAGTCTTCTCGACCTTGTTGAGCACTTCAACATAGAGCAGCGCACGGACAATACTGTTATACAGCGATTGCTCATCGCTGAGCCTTTCAATATATTCCGCAGTATGAGGATCGATTTGCTGTAGCGATCGGGTGAGTTCATCATCCAACCGCTCAACGAAAGAAACAACGCTGCCGGGCACTTTGAGGGTTTCGCCAGGAGCAAGCTGAGGCTGTTTCTCATCATCTTCCCACTCCTCTGCACCTTCAGTGACGATGAATTCGGGGTGTTCTTCAAGCGTAGAAACCAAAGTCTCAAGTTCTTGTATGGCCTGCTTCCATTGCTCTGTACTCATGTAATTCGCGGTCGAGGTGGAGGTAAGATCGAATCGGGTGGAGATGAGAGTTAGCAGAACGCGGATAGACTGATATGGCGTCGTGGCAACCTCTAGCAGCTTTTCCATAGTCTTGATCTGCTCGAGACGGTCGGTGTTCTTCTTTCCTCTAGACTCGACGATAAGCCGCAGGTGCTTGAGAATGCTCTCGGGAGTGTATTGGAGCGTCCTTCCGCCGCGGCCAACGATCGCGAAGCCCTCATCGTCATCGCCCAACAGCTCCTCCGGGCGAAGAGTTCGAACTTTGTCCTTCTTCTTCTCGACAACTTCCTCCTCCTCTTCCTCAATCATATATTCCTTCTTGTTCTCACGATATTTATCGATCTCCGCTGCATATTCTTTGTTATTTTTCTTGATACGCTGCTTAACAGCATTGAACCCCTTAGCATTGCTTGCGTTCATTTTCTTTGCCGACGACTTCTGCGCCACGATAGTCTCGTTCATAAAATCTTCAAGATCAGCGATAGCTTTGATATAGATCTTAGGCGTTGGGCCCGACTGGGCAATCTTCACAATTTGCCGATTAAGCTTATCGAACTCTGTTCACGCAATAGGTAGCCAAGTCAGCCTTTCCGTCTTCTCATTTTATCATCCCCCCTTTCTAGCTGAAGAAACCAGAAGGGAAAATCATGAAGAAAGAAAAATTTTTAAAAAGGAGAGCATACCCGTCGAAATAACCGCCCAATCATTAATCTTCTCAGCATTCTCAATCAACCGCATAGTCTGCTCGAGCTCCTCTAACCTCTTATCCTTCGCACTCTTTACAATCGTAACCCGCTCCTCATCATCACTATCATCACTGTCATCATCAGCACCGGCATCGTGCTTGAAGAACTTCGAAGCACCACCTTCTCCGCCGTCATCAGAGTCGCTGCTACTCTCCTCCGAGGAGGACTCCTCCTCGCTGGACTCCTCTTCGTCATCGGAAATGTCTTGGCTCTCATCGTGATCGCTATAGAGTTCCTCCTCGTCCGAGGAGCTGCTATCACTATCGCTCCCGCCTCCGTGGAAAAATCGCGACATGGCTGGGAGTTTTGTTTTTTTGCCTCGTCTTTCAGGTGAGTTTGGACGCTTCGGTTTTTCGGGTTCGGTCCTGAAACACTTGGTACAGTATACTATTCGTAAACGAAGGTCGTGGACACACGGTGGTAAAAGAAAAAGAGCCGTTTACTTGCTCGCAGTCCTTGCTGTTTGGTTAGCTCTAACTGAGAAATTTGATGTTGTCTGGGTTGGAGGCGAGGTTGGAGTCCACGATAAATTTTAAGCGAGAGCCACTAACCCGCATTCGGGCAAGTGTGACTCCCGGCTGTTCAAATTACTCAGGAGATATACTCTTTAATGCAACCAAAGGGTCAAATATAAATTCCAATGATTCGCATTTGGCAATAGCCATTATGGTCCAACTCACTGGGAGTAAAACTCCTTTCAGTAAAGATTGCAAAAAGTAATTATTTGGTCGTGTGAAACAGGTGCGGATTTCTCTCAGAAATTAAAATATCCAACAAGCTACAGGCAACAGCCATGATTATGAAGTAACATCTGCAGAAACACATCTGCAGGGGACTAAAATTCTGAGCCAAAACCACCAAATGTACAGGTTTGGCAATTGGAAAGAAAAGAAAAGAAAAAGTTGGAATTTGAAAAGGGGAGGGTGAAAGGTAAAAAAAATTGAAAGAAAAAGAGTAGATATGTGTATATATATATGCCCATTGACAAAAAGAAGAGAAAATAAAAACCCCAACACGCCAACGCTATGCCGAAGGAGAAAAGTAAAAAAGAAAAAGAAAGAAAAGAAAAGAAAGAAACGAAGGGAAAGAAGAGAGGAGCACAGTTAAACACACTAAGAAGAGAAGGAGCAAGAGGAAGTGGAAAAGCAGATATTGGCAAGTATAAAATTCAGGGAACATTACAACAACAAAAAGGAAGACAAAAGAATACTAAACAACACAAATAAAGAGGGGGTCAGGTTGCATTGAGAGTCTTGACTTTCCAAAATATTCACAAATGAAGGAAGAGGAAAGAGAAAAATAGAAAGATACAGGGGGCGAGAAGGTATGTTGAACATCAACATTCACGAATGCGTGGACCCCTATCCCGTCCCCAGCCCTAAAGTCCGCTCAAAAGGTTCCCCATCCGTATATAAAGGAAGAAAGGTTAGGAGAAGACGAAGAAGAGAAAACAAGAATAGCTAGAAGAACGGAGGGACAGATCCTTTTTGGGTGTTTCAAAGAGAAGAGAAAAGAAGAAAATATAAAATATAAAAGTGAAAAATGAAATGAATCAAAATTCCTCAATTCCCAATCCACGATATCATAACAATGAACCCGCTTTTTGTTCCCTAGCTCGTGTCGGCGTAAGAAATACTTTTCTTCTCTCATTCTCGCTTCCGTTTGAGCATCCATTTTTATTCCAGAGAGATTCGAGACGAAAGACCTCTGTTCTGCCCCAAGTGCGAGGCCCTATCCAATCGTATCCAAAGCTGTCGAAATTAGGGTGGGGGTAGAGGTGAGGGTGGGAGCGGGGTTGTTGCCGTTCATATCTTTTCAAAAGTAGACTAAGGTCAGGAATACTACCACACATCTAGACAACTGAAAAGGACACCTGAGTCAGGGGTGAGTTGAATATCGACAATGCCTCTGATCAACGCCATCTGTACTTGTTCCAGAAAAGATATGACTCGGAGAAAAATCCATTACCACATGAGCAAATCGGAGGCGATCGTCTCGTCATCCTATGAACATATATATACTGTATATATATAATTATAACCGCTCCCCAATTCGTCAATTCAATGCCACTGATTCTGACCCATGAAGTTATCGCCCATGGCACCGTCTTCAAGTGTCCGGATGAAATCCCTATTGTTGCGTCCATGGGTTCCAGCCCCGCTGGCTCCAGATCGACTACCCCTCCGGCGTCCAGCTGCGGCAGCAGAAGTGTCGCCATAACCGTCAGCGGGCGGGGGGTAATAAGCAGGGCTTGGCTGT